TTGGACATGTTAAGTGATACACTACTATCAAATTAGTGAGGTGGTCTAGATCGCGCCAAACTCCCTTGTTGTTATGGAGTCCGCTATTGCGATTGTGCCAACTACCACGTATTGGGGCGTAGCGCTATATGCGAAGGCTTCGTGTAATAACGAAGATAATTCCGAACACGTTGATATATGTATTGCGATTGGCCCTTCCCCGCTGACTGCCGTGTGCCGTGTGCTCCGTAACCGTTTGAAGTTGAGAATTGGCTGCAGCACTGTGAGCTTGGTCTGCATGTAACCCTTGCACAGAAGACGCTTGGCGTTGGCTTGCGTTAGCGCGCTAAAGCAGTCGATCCATCAACCACGACAAGTGACAGCCCAAGAGCGAGGGCAACTCAAGCTGCATATTACTTGGAGCATGCATCAGAGACATCAAAATCGCACAAAATTGACAGCGGATTTCAGCGATCGTCCAGACTGCAACGGCAAAAACCTTTAAGTGTAGCAAGCTAAGAGCACGTGCGATCATATGCGTATCGATCGACGCGGTGGTCTGGTGGCTGAAACCGTTGCTATCGGTTTCAAGCCGCTTCGAGCCGAACGGTTGCGCCGTAGGGTTGACGTTGTCGCCGATTGGTTCGTTCTCCGACCGTAATAATAAACCGACGTTGTGAGTAAATACCTTGCATATTGTATGCAAGCCTCGCGGCCACTGCAATAAAATGCACGCGGCTAATGTTCGACGGTTTTGTCCCGGCGATGAACTGTTTTGTCGAAATACAATAAAGGTAGAAAACACCAGCCAATTCACTGGATGTCAGTATGGCGTTGGTTTAGATTGCATTAAAAACACCGTGCGAGCCGATTAAAATACGGCTCGCCGTGGTTTGCATCGGGCATCTTGAACCGGTGTATCTTGTATTTTTATCCCACTGCGGCCATGCGCGCCCAAGACGGCCCGGCGGAGGTCGCATGCGACAAGGTGTCCCACGCCAGCAGGTCGACGTCGCCAAAGACACGGCGCGGGCCGCAGCGCAGCGCGATGGCCGCGCAGAGCCCGACGCCCCGCATGTCTGCGCTCGCGCGGCTAACGACGCACCTCGCAGCCACGTACGCGCGGTGTGGCCTCGCGTACAAGAGTCCGCTCAAGGTCGAGCGCCGCGTGCTCACCAAGAACAGCCGCGTCACGGGCAACAATGGCTGGGACAACGACGAGAACAACATTGTGCTGCGCGTGCGAGACCTCTTGGGCGTGCAGAGCAAGAGCGGCCACCCGCGCACCTTTGTCGTGCTGGACCTTCTTGGTCAAGGCACGTTTGGCCAAGTGTTTCGGTGCCAAGACGTCGACTCGAAGGAGCTCGTGGCCATCAAGATAATTCGCAACCACCCGTCGTACTACAAGCAGGCGCTGGTCGAGATCCACGTCTCGATGCTGGTACGCGCAACTGCCATCACGTAGCAATCGCATTGATATGTACTACAGCTCAGCACCGCGTCCGAGATGGATGGCTCTGAGCATATTGTGCAGATGCAAGATCACTTTATGTTTCAAAACCACCTCTGCCTCGTCTTTGAGCTGCTCAGCATCAACTTGTACGAGCTCATTAGCCAAAACAGCGTACGAAATACCTAGACGACCTCTGGCACAGCTCATTTAACCCCGTCTAGTTTCGAGGCCTCCCGCTCACCGTCGTCCGAGGCTTTCTCATCCAAATCCTCAAGAGCCTGGTGCTCCTTGGTCGCACCAACATCATTCACTGCGATCTCAAGCCCGAAAACATTCTACTCTCTGGGTACGCTCCTTCATACTTGCGCGCTGGACACTGACATACAGCGTGCTAGCACCGAGCAAACCTTCTCCATCACAGACGCAACGTCGCGGCGCCAGGTGCCGAAAATCAAGCTTGTGGACTTTGGCTCGGCGTGTTACGAAGACGAGACTGTCTACTCGTACATTCAGTCGCGCTTCTATCGGTCGCCCGAAGTGCTTTTGGGACTGCCCTACAATGGTGCGATCGACATGTGGTCGCTAGGCTGCATCAGGTATACACTCCTCCTGCATTGGGGTACTACAGGACGCATGCTAGTGTCGAAATCTTCCTCGGATTGCCGCTCTTTCCTGGCGTCTCAGACTACGACCAACTCCGACTCATCGTCGAAACCATCGGAGAGCCGCCGTGGCACATGCTCGCCGCCGGCCGCAACGTGCGCCGATTCTACCACCGAGACGAGCGCGGTGTCTTGCGGCTCAAGACGCCAGACGAGTACGCCGCCGAGACGCAGACGCCGCGCAACGTCTCGAAGCGCTACTTCAAGCACTCGGTTCTCGATGACATCATACACGCGTACCCGATTCCCCGCAGCGCGTCGTCCGACGAGTGCGGAAAGGAAGTCCAGGCGCGGCATGTGTTTTGCCACTTCCTTCGCGGCCTCCTGGTCGTGGACCCGGCGGTGCGCTGGACGCCAGAGCAGGCGCTATCCCACCCGTTCGTGACGGGCGACGCATTTGAACCGAGCTTTGAGGTAGACAGTGGAACGACCTTGACGGACAGACTCATTGTTCTCGTAGCCACCGCGAGAGTACGCGCGACCTCGGTACCGACCACCGATGGCCTCCATGCCACCGCCACAGTGGGCCGGCTACTACTCGGCCCCTCGCAACATTCCTCGGGCCGATCCCTATTACCCGTGCGGCCCCGTGTACCCCCACTCGTGCCCAATGCCCGATGGCTGTCACCCCATGTATTATATGTCTCCCGACTACTTTGGCCCCCATATCATGTATACGGGCATGTATGAGCTGCCGCCCGCGGCGTGGGAGTACCCACCGCCCGTGCTCTTGCACGCTCCACAGATCGACGACCGGAAGCGCAAGGGACACGCCCCGCACCCGCTCTTGTACGACGACGACATGCGGCCTCGGCGACAGCAGAACGCCGCGCCAGCAATACCCAATGCGACGCACCGCAAGTGGCCGCGCCGGCGAAAACCCAAAGACTCGCTGACGGCGCAGTTTGCCACCAAACTCGATATTTAACAACGTGAGAGCTGCTGGATCTTTTGACGGTCGGTGTCGAGTTCGCTCAAACGGCGAGCGCGCTTGTCTGGGCCGTGGGCGCCGAGGAACGGGACTTGGTCGAGCTCGGTCGTGCACGCGTCGAGAAGCGAGAGCAATGCTTCTCTCGAGACAAGCCCTTTCTCATACGCAGCCAGACCCGCGCCCGCATAGGTTTCGTAGAACACGACGCCTTGCCTACAAGCCACATCGCATACGTGGTCGTCGAACTTGGTACGTACGCGCGGTAGGTGTCCTTGGCGCCGCCGTCGCCCGTCGTCTCCTCCTGCGGCGCAATGTCGTGGATGAAGACGGCGGGGACCTTGTCCGGGTACAGATGCAGCAGCCGCGATGCGAGGAGCGCATCGCCTTGGCCCGCGTCCCCAAAAAACACAAACTTGTACTCGGGAAAGAGCGTCGCGTAGCGCTCAAAGTTCTGGAGCTTGAGGCTAGTCGATGGTAGAAATGTGAGAATTTCACGCAAGAAAGCAAGAGATACCCAGCAATCTTGGCGTTGCTCACAAGGCCTTGCACGGACCCGTTGAGGACGGTGGGGTTGGTCATGCCGAGGCTCACGAGGTGGTCGGCCGTGAGCGTGCGTCCGAGGCTAAAGAAGCCGCGCGGCCGGGCTGTGAGGAAGGTCACTGACGGCGCCTTGTCGACACCGTGCGCGATCGAGCGGTAGAGATGCGAGACGCCAGGGTACAACACGTGCGCCGGGTACCGCTGGTCTGCCCACCTACGCGCCAACGTCAACGCCAAAGCGCACAAGAGACGTACCCTGCAAAGAGGGTGTCGTCGATGTCGCTCATGATCTTGATGAGCGGCTTGTGTGAATGCGCCATCGACACCTTGAGCGACTCGACGGCGATGTGCTGCATAACCGAGACGACCTGCGTCATATCCTTGGCGCCGTAGATGAGTTGGTAGAGGTCGCCGCCGCGAAAGCCGTCTTGAAGTGCATTCAGCGAGTTCTCGGCATTGATATCTTCCTTCAGAAGCGTGAGGTCGACGCCATGCGTGCCCTTGAGGATGTTGAAGGCCGCGGTCTGGTACTCGGACTTCTGCCGCACCAGCGGTGAAAGCAGTTGCTGTTGGATAGATCGAATGATCACGCCGCGGTTTGGTAGCCTAGTCACGAGTATAGTGTGATCAACAAGACGCGACGTCGTACGAGATGTCGGGCAGCCGGGACTTGCTGAGCACGTCGAGCACCATGGAGCGGACGCGCGGCGCGCAGTTGTGGAACATGAAGCACGTCATGGTCGTGCAAAAGCGGTCCGAGCCTTCGGGCGAGATGGCGCCGAGGATGCCATTGAGCGTCTCGGGCGACGCGTTGGCGAGCACGTTGTGGCAAAATGAGAGATCGTCCAGCGGTACGTTCTTGCCCTGCTCATGCTACAATCAGCCCGCGCGCAGCCTAGCGTAGAGATACATACGCGAAGATGCATCTCGCCAGGCGCGTCCTTGCCGTCGACTTGGAAGACGACGCCGCTCTTGCGCTGCTTGAAGCGCCACGTAGTTCGCTGCGCCATACATGCGAGTCTGAGCCATGCTGCGTCATGCCCACGGAGCGTACCTGCTTCATGCCAACCCATTTGCGCTGCATGCGTCCGGCGGCGATCCGCCACGTCGACATCTCGCGCTGGCCGCGAAACATCGCGCTCATCAAGTTTCGAGATTCAAGGACTGGAATCGAATGGAATTCGGCTTTTGCCTGAAAATAGGACAGGACCGAAACTCACTGAAATTCGGTTTCCCACCGTGAAAAACACCTTCTTCACATCCATGCAGTCGTGGCGCGACATTGCACAGCACAGCGTTGGCGCCAAAATGCTTGAGCGTAGTTTCGATCGCCACGTATACTTGTAGGAGCATCCCACAGGAAGACCACGTTCCTCGTATAAAGGAGCTTGCTATTATTTGCGACCTTGTTGTTTTGTAGTCCTGGGCAAATTCACAAATAATACCAGTGCCGTAGCTAGAGTATCCCGAGGTACTACCCGTTGACGTTGTGGTGGAAGAAGCGATGGAGCTTCTTGGCGTTCGAGGGCCCAAGGAGTGGGTCGAGGTCGGCCAGCGTCATCTTGCTCAGGTCCGCGAGAGTGCGACAGTGAGCGGCGACCTTGCGGTAGTTGTGCGCCGTGATCCCCGGGAGCTTGCGCAGGACATCGACCGCATTCATGTTGTAGAACGACGAGCCGCCCGAGGTCGCCGACCCAGCGGCCATCGCGGCCTCGACGTCCGGGTCGTCTTGGCCTTTCTTGACGAGTCGAAAGAGCTCGACTGTCGCGTGGGGTGACTTGGACCAGAGAAAACGAAGCTACCCGGCCATGACTACCGCAGAATCGACGCCTTGCCTACCTGAGGAAAGTGGAGGACAAGGAGACTCAACTTGGACGTGATGCTGTTGTGCTTGATATCGCTCGTGATCTCGCCGGCTTCCTATTATATAACAAGGTGCGTACAGCACCTAGGCGCTTGCTCGAGGTACCTGGAGCGCAAAGGGTTTTTCGGGGTTGAACTCGATGAGCAAGAGCGGCGTCTACAGCGTGTGTTGAGGTGCCGTGTCTCTCCGACCAGTCGACCTGGTAGTGGCGGATCATCATTTCGGCTTGGTTGAAGAGGCGGCCATTGTTGAGCGAGCCAAAAAGATCGCTGATGGACTTGCGCTCGACGCACATTTGCGACGAGAGTATGTAGTCCCCCACCTCGAGCGTCACGGGGTGCAAGACCATGCCTTCCTTGTGCAGCATCGACGGCAGCGCCGACCGAAACTCGCGGACGTCGACAATGACGCTGTGCGACACGAGCTGGACGCGCGCGCGGCCACCTGTCCGCGTGTCCAAGCTGTACTGCGGCGCCTGCTTGGCCTTGATGTGCGCCGGGATGTCAAAGACGTTGAGCGGGATCACCATGTGCTCTTTTTGTCGAATGAGTTTCTCAAAGGCCTCCTACAACCTTCATATGAGCTGCATAGTCTCTCGACCTAATACCTTTTCGCGTTGAACTTCGGTCAAGTACGCTTGCTGCTCGGCGCTCTCTTCGTAGACCATAAAGTAGACGCTGAGCGGGTCGTCGGCGTAGTGCGCGTGGTACACTTCCAGCTCGCGAATGAACGCGACGTCCGGGTCGTACAGAATCACGTGTTCGGGCTGCACGTCGTGGAGGAGCGTCGCACACCGCTTTGCCTGCGCGTACGTGCAAATGACGAGGTGGTCCTTCCGGTCGAGCACGGACAGCGGCACCGATGGTTTGGCCTTCTTGACCACGTCGTCTTGGCTACGTCTTGCGTGAGCCCGATGCGTGAATACGTTGGCACCTTAGTTTGACGAGCTCGTCCATTGAGAGCCCGTACGACGCCATTTCGCTCGGGAGCGGCTCGTTCGTGGCCGTCACGGCCTTGCGCTTGCTAGAGCTAGCCTTGTGCGCCACCGGCGCGATGCCGCATGCGTGGAGAAGCAGCTGGTGCTCGGTCGAGAAGGAATTCCCGCCTTTTTGCTGGAGGTACTGCCGGAACCGACGCTGCAGCATGTCGGTGCCGCCGCAATAGAGAAACTCGCGCAGCTGGGCGCACGTGCGTTCGTCCCGGACAAGGATAAGGGTCGTAGCGCCGCCGGTGACGGTACTTGTCGCTGGTGCGTCACGGATCTCGGTCAGTAGCTCGTTTAGCGACTGCCATTTTGAGTTGGCTTCGAGCGTGAGCTCGATCACAGCGTCCTTCTTGGTGTTGATCGTGTACAGCCGCTTCTTGGCTGCGATAAAGAGGCGGTCCGCGGCGGCGGTGAAGAGCCACGGTGACGGCGTGCGCTGGTTCCCGCTTTGCGCCTTTTGCGCGAGGAGAAAGCTATAAAATGTGATGGCGTCGTAGCGCGTCAAGTACGCGAGTAGCTAACCTCGATGAGATCGTCAAAGGATAACACTCTCTGTACCTGGCGCAGCACCGTGAGGTCGCTCGTGAGCTGCTTGGTTTTGTGCGGCAGCCGGTGCCAAATGGCGCTCAACTAGCGTCCAGATCGGAGGTGTAGGCGGTGCATGCGAACGCACCTGCTTCTTGAGCTGAAATTCAAGGGCTTTTGTTAGTGCGTTCTTCATTGTGAGCTCGGTTTCGTCAAGGTCCTTGCAACCGCGCTTGAGCTCGTTGAGCGTCGCTTCGAGCGCGACAAGCAGCGCAGCTTGTATGTCCTTCATGAGTGGCGTGAGGCTGACTTCAATCTCGTAGACCTCGGGCGAGTGTTGGTCCAGCACCGAGTGCACGGCCATGTGAAAGCGCGGGTAGAGGAGGAGCTTGCGAAGGTACAGGAGCTTCATCACCTGCTCGACCTTGTGGAAGCCCGAGGCAAAGGCGTACGCGTCTTCCGAGAAGGCCTTGACGAACCCGGTCCGATTCATCTCTCGATAGAGACGCAGAATGAAGGCCTCGACCGACGTGTCCGTGACGCGGTGCGCGTCACAGACGAGCAGCCCCGAAATCATCTAGGAGAAGATGAGCACTCGGCGGGACACATCAACAATGGTCTACCGGGACATCGATGGATTGGTTGAGCAAGTCGACCACGAGGATGCGAGACGTAATGAAGAAGCACCCGCCTTCCTTGTAGAGCTGCTTGCGCTCCTGCACCGTGCACTTGTTGGTGATGATCTAGTCGCATAGCGCAATGCCGATCCCGCCAGGGTGATGTCACGCAAAACCTACTTTTGGTAGCTGGTCGAGCGGGACGCCTTGCATCGTGAGCGCCTCGACGTAGAGCTCGGCCGTGTCGGTCGCGTTCAGACACAGCACAAGGTTCGTGGGCACACCGTGGAGGCGCAAGAAGTTGGTGAGCAGCGTGCGCTGGGCGAGGCCTTTCGCCATGACCACCATGATGTCCCGCTCCAGCATGAGGTTCTCCATCATCTCCTTCTCAAACTCGAGCCAGTACGGCGCCATCGTCCGCAGCTGCTCGTGGGCCTTCACGTGCCAAATCTCCAACAAGGCCATTGGTCCATTTCGATCCGATTTCAGCCAATCCCAGACGTGGCATTTTTGGATCCATGCACACCGTCGCAGCCAAGCGGGCGTTCCGCGCGGCCCAGGACGCGAGGGCCGACGGGCTCGTCGATGGAGGCGGCAGCAAGAAGGCCTTCCGCCAGGCTAGGAAGTCGGGCTTCCTCTCGCTGCCAGCGCGAGGCCTTGCGACCTTTCCCGACGAAGCCTGCCACCTGCAGGACTCGATGGATCCGGTGCGCGCTCGTCGATCCACGTGCGGCCGCTTCACCGTGCGTAGGACGAGAAGGTCTGGGAGTGCGTCGACTTGGTCAAGATCGACTTGAGCCACAACGAGATTACTGCGGTGCCCCACAGTATTGCGCTCGTGACCGGCCTCCTCTGGCTCAAGCTGTGCCAGAACAAGCTCACGTCGCTCCCGCCCGAGCTTTTTTCGCTCTCGACACTGGCGTTCTTGGACGTGAGCAAGTTCGTTGGCGCAAGTCGTTTCTCCATGCAATTCACGTGGCATATTTGATGTAGCAACGCGCTCAGCGGCGGCTTCACCGAGAAGCTCGGACAGCTCACGCAGCTCAAGGAAATCATTCTGTCGGGCAACAAGCTCACGACGCTGCCCGACTCGATCGAACAGCTCCAGGCCCTCGAGGTGCTGCGGGTGGATGACAATCTCTTGCGAGCTCTCCCGACCACACTCGGTACGGCGCTACTGTGCATGCAGCGCTCAGTATTTCCGCAGGCGGACTCCAAAAACTGACTGTGCTCACGGCGCCAGGCAACCAACTCGAGTCGGTCCCGGAGTCGATGAGCCAGCTCCGCGCACTGGCCAACTTGGATCTGAGCAAAAACAAGCTCTCGTCGCTCCAGGGCTGCCTCCAGCAGACGCGCAGTCTGAAATTTCTAGACCTGCGCCAGAACCGTCTGGTGCGCTTCCCAGAGCTGCCGCTCGAAGCATGCAGCGTGGACCAGCTCTTCTTGGGGTTCAACCTGCTCGAATCGATTGACGAAACGTCGCTCGTGCGCGCTCAGCACCACTTGACGGTGCTCGATTTGCGCGATAACAAGCTCACGGCCGTGCCCGATGGTCTCGCGCAGCTCTACCGCCTCAAAACACTGGATCTGAGCAACAACGACCTCTCGGACCTGCCTCCTGGTCGACTCATGTCACTAGTCGAATCGATCTCACACAACGTAGGTCTGGGGTATCTCAAAGGCCTCAACCACATCCTCGTCGATGGCAACTCGATGCGGTACGACTGCTCTCCTGCTCACCCACGCATGTACGAGCCTGCGTAGGGCCATTCGGCGCTCGGTCTTATCGGCAGGCTGCGAAGCCCTCAAGAAATACCTTCGCACCCGCGGCAAGCCGCCCGTCGGTGTCGACGCGATGGACGAAGAGACGGACGAGTTCACGCTGCAGGCACCGAGTGCGTCAGGTGTCGACAACCACGTCTTTATGGAAGCGGCTGCGTCTGGAAGTCTCGACTTGACGTCGCAGCGGTGCCAACTTCTGAAAATCCGTTCTTATTTCATGACTAAGCTCGTAGATTGAGCGCTGTGCCGCAAGAAGTGTGGAGTTTTGAGCCACTCACGTCGAGTCTCACATCGCTCACACTGTCGAAGACAGGCCTCTGCGCTCTTCCCGACGAACTTGGCCTCTGTTTGCAGATAACGACGCTCGTCGCGGAGGACTGCCGGCTCGAAGCGCTGCCAACGAGTGTGTTGGGGCTCCCCCACCTGGTGTACCTCCGTTTGCGCAAGAATTCGCTGACCGAGCACACATTCGCTGGTGCCTTCCACGCGCGCATGAAGCTCAAGGCAGGATCGTCCTGGTTCAGTCAGGTTCTGACGTTAGTACGTAGGAGCTGGACGTTCGCAATAACGCGCTCAGTATGCTTCCAGCCAACTTACACCAACTGTCGAGCTTGAACACGTTGCTGCTGTCGTTCAACCGTCTCTCGACGCTCGCAGGCATGCCGTGGCGTCTCATGAAGGCGCTCTCGATCGTCAGCGCCTCCGACAACAAGGTACCGTGGCTATTGCATTTCCGATGTATGACGTTATGTATCGGCAGCTGACGGATCTGGGCACAATCTTCGAAGCGCCGACGCTCTCGTCCTTGTCGGTTGAAAACAACAGCCTCCAAGCGGTAGAAATATCGATCGGTTCGAAGAATCAAAGGACGTGTAGATCCCGGCCGAGCTCGGACTCTGCCCCAAGCTCAAGGCGCTGTACATTAGCGGCAACCCCCAGCGCACCGTGCGCATCGCGACAGTCAACAAGGGCACGGACGAAATCATGAGTTACCTCAAAAACAAGCTGCTGCCCGAAGAGATTGCACAGATTCTTGCGACGCGCGACTGCAACGCGCAAGGCGATCCGCCACCGCCGTCGCCCGTGCACGACCACCTTCAACGCACTTCACCGCCCGCTGCAAGCCCAGCAGCGGTGACGCGGACGACGACGCCGCGGGAGCCCGAGGCGTCGCCGTACGACGGACCAATCGCAGCCCTCGAGGCGCAGCTCGAAGACCCGGGGCTCTCGGCCGCCAAGCGCTATGCGCTGAAGAAAGACTTGGCCAAAGCCCGCGCCGAGAAGCTCCGGTCGAGTCGCAAATGAGCACAACTCGTCAAAAGGAGCGGAAAAATGGCAGTGTATATAGATATAGCAAGTTAGCGTCTCATGCGGCGTTGTGGGTCTCGACGTACTGCGTCCGGTTCGCCTGCTGGTCGCGGAGGAAGCGCTTGCGATGGAGGGTGCACTCGAGGACGAAGCCGAGGATCGCGACGACAACGATGCAAATACCGGCGATCCAGCCGCCCGAGAGACCCGCTGTTTGGTCTCCCTGAGGCGCGCCCGTGATGATCGAACTCGCACACTGCGCCGCATCACAGACGGACCCAATCGTCACGGGCGTCGCGCCACTCCCCAGCACCAGACCGAGCGTGTACCCGCTGTAGTTGACAAGACTGTTGGGGCACGAGAGCGTGAGGTTGGTCGTCGACATGGCCGTGCACGAGCAGGTCGTAAAGGTAACCGCGTCCGTGCCCTTGGAAGCCACGACACTGCAGTTGACGCTGCCTTTGGAAAACCCGGCGCCCGTGACCGCGACGTTGGCAAGCAGGCTCGTCGACGGTACGGTGTTGGCGGACGGCGTGATGCGCATGCTGCTTCCGCTGTCGATGCTGCGCGAGATTGAGACGCCGCAGAGCGTATAGTTGAGCGATGCGGTGCTTGATGCCGCCCATGGCGAGGCGAGCGTCAGCGTCGTGTTGCCGGTCGATGCAGTTGACGCCGGCAGACTCGTTGCATTGGGCGACAGCGAAAACGAAACATCCGTGCCGGTGCACACGTCGCCTCTCAGCTCCAACGTCGTTGCACCGACCGCCGGTGGGTACACGGTGAAGCGGCTGGTCGTCGAGAGCGCTACTCAAGACGGTTTGTGAGCCGCTAACTCACCGAGGAAAGGTAGCTCTCTACCTCCAACCTTGGCGACTTTGGTCATGCCGCTCGTGTCGGCGTCGCCGACCGTGAGTTGGACGTACACGAACGAGTTGGTCGCAATGGCGTCGCAGCCAAAGGGCTTGGTCATCGAGAGAAAAGCGGTCTGACCCGCGGACGAGGCGGTGACGTTGCGCAAGATCTCGTTGGGTTCTGAGACGACGCACGTCGACGCGCCGAGTGGCCCCCGGCACACGCGCACTACATTGCACGCGTCGAGGGTCGAGAAGCGGGTGCCAGACACGGGGATGCTCATGCCACAGGCCGTGACGGCCGTCTCGGCCGATGTCACGGTCGGTGCCGTCTCGGTCGAGAAGGTGGCCACTTTGACAACTTCGGACGACTGGTCGATGGCCGCAAGCAGCGTGTTGACCACCGACTTGGCCTGCAGCGCGATCGCCCAGTCGATCGGCGACTGCAGCGTAGCGACAAGCGGGCACGGATCGGCGCTTGTCTTGGTGCAAAGGCCCGAGGCCGTCGTGTTGGTCGCCAGCGACTTGACCTGCGGCAACAGGACGCGCTTGGCGTCGCACGACGGCGTTGCACTCAACGAAAAAGTAATCTTCGGTGCACTCGATGCGTCATAGTAGCAGAGTGAGAGGGCTACCGACGTGGCGCCGCCCGTGAGGTTCGTGGTGCCTTCCAGGAGGCACGTCTTGCCCGCGCATTCGGCGCACGACTTGGCGCCTACGAGGTTGACGTTGAGAGCGCTGGCGCAGTCGCCGGCGAACCTGCAGCGGCAACGGCGAGGAGCAGCAGCGGCGAGAGGAGGCGTACTAGTGCGAGCATGCTGACGCGCTGTCACGGAATGTCGGGCGAGACGTCGACTGCGACGACGACGGCCGATGCAAGCGGAGATCCGGTGTAGTAATTTTAAATCAAATTGTTCGATCAGATATAAATGTCTCTATTCTTCGTTGCCGCCTTTTTTTATTGTTTTGTGGGGCCCCCTAGTGGATGACGCGAGAGTGTCCCACGCTGCTGGTGAGTAATCCCTTCCAAAATGGGGGGACCCAAAACGAAAGTTGAAGTTGCTCGCTAAGTGTGTGACAGTAAACATGCAATCTGCAAACTGCAAATTCGACGCTTGCCCAAAAGTTTCAAGTCCCTCGAAGCGTGCTCTAGTGCTTCTTGCGCCATCAACTCAACACGATGACGGGATAAATAGGTCGATCAACTAGGCAAGGACAATGTCGCTGGGTTCGCCGATCAAGAAGAGACGGTCGTCTTTGGAGAGGACCGTGTCGGGCAGTGGGTTTGTGTACACAAAGCTCGTGCCACTCCCGCCGTGAAGCAGCCCAATACAAATGACGTCCTAGAGCAAATGACCGTCGCAAGACGCGCGGGTGCAGCGTAACGCACCGCTTTGAGGAGCTTGGAAAAAGCCTCGGCAAAGGTCTTGCCGTAGAGTGCAAACGGGAGTGGCGCCTGAAACAACTGCCGCTGCCTACGTTCGTGCTCGCATAAGACGTCGGATACAATAAGAACACATATACTTGGAGACGTCGGCCGTGTGACCGTGCAAGAGCATGTCCAGGATCGGCACGACGTACGGCTTTTTGTACCACTCGCTCATGACGCGGTCAATGATGCCGCTCACATACACGCGCCCTGCACTCGTTCGCACAAGGTGTCACTCGATGAGATTGCGTCGTACCAGAAACGTACGGTGGCTCAAAGGTGTGGGGCATGTCGGGCAGCGGTGTGATGTTGCCTTCCGCATGCTGTTCCTCGCTAAGCTCGCGCTTGATGCTTCGGATAGGGCTCATGGTCGGCACGCCGCGATGGGTCTGCACGATGCGGCTGAGAAACTTGACGTTCGACGCCTTCTCGAGCTCCACGACCATATTGGGCTTGACCTTGTTGCGCTGACAAGCCTCGACGATGTAGCGCACCGTCGTGATCGCGTCGGCGTCAATCATGTTGTCGTCGAGGTAGTGCTTCCGGTTCGTGCTGCCCGAGCCCTACGCTCCGTCGCACCACATTCGTTGCACACGAAGGGTTTCGTACAAGGACAATGATGGCGCACGCGAGCTGGATCGAAATGCGCTGCAAATCGGACGCGCTGAGCGCCGAGCCTTGGTAAAAGTAGATCGATGTCGTGAACCAAAAAATGCTTTTGAACTGCGCCTCGGTCATCGGGTGCTGGGACATGATGACGATCGCTTGGTCGTGGTCCTTCATGTCCGTCTTGTTCGACTTGAGTGCGGTCACGACGTCAAAGAGCGAGAAGGGAATCCCAATCAAGATGATATGTCGGCGCAAATTGTCTGGTAGCGGCTTTGCCTACGGCGCGTTTGTGAGCTTCCTGTCCCAATGTCGGAATGCACGATCGTCGTACAAGAAAGAGCTCGAACGGCGACTTGGCGTCCTGGAGCGACTTGACCTTGGTGAGACTGTTGCTGCGCGTCGTCTTGCGCATCGCCACGACCGCCGAGTTCGCCTGGCTCGTCCGCGTCGTTGCGAGGTACTTCATGAACACTGGCATCTTGAGCATTTGGCGCTTCTTGGCGTCAATACGTTGGCGCGACGCTTCAATGTCGTGGCTTGACCGAACGACCTGACGCGTCCGGACGCGCGGTTCACTCAAGTGCAATTCCCACTGGAACGTGCGCACGTCGTCGAGCAGCACCTTGCGCACATCGTCTTTGGCGCTCGAGCCCGAAGCGACGACGTACACGTGACACGTCTGGTCGTCGTAGAGGGGCAGCGCATGGTCGCTATGCATAAAATGGGGGCCGTCGCCCTACAAGCCATGACTCGAGAGTCAAGTAGAGCGGGACGGTACCGACTCCGCCGCGATGCAAATGATGCGAAAGCGTTGGTAGAGGAAGAGAACGAGCTCGCCGTACGAGAGATCAGCAAACTGCGATGGGACCTCGAGAAGGTACACCTCGTGGCGGTACCCGTGCAAGTAGGCGGCTTCCCACGAAGCGGCACCGCGCGGCAGCTCAAAGGCTGGCGACACGGTCGTGAAGAGATTCGAGAGCAGCGTCGAGGCACCGACGGCGTGGATAGACTTGCTCAAAATCGCAAGCTTGATCTGTTCAATGCTAAAGGCGGCGGTCGCGCCCGAGATGACGCAGTGCTGGACACTCCCGGTCGACAGCACTTGCGTGAGGATGGGTACTTTGGGTGACAAGAGGCGCCGGCACACGGCGGTGAGAAGCAAGCTTTTCTGGTCGAGCGAGTCGGCGCCGGGGCCGCGCGACGTCACAATGAAGCAGACGACGGCTCTGCGCAGCGCCGCGCGCTTCTGGTCGTGCACGTTGAGGGGCGAGCCCACAATGTACTTGACGCGCGGCTCGTATTGGTGAATGACCTTGACAATGTCGGGGCTCGGTGGCTTCATGTGCAAAATCAAGAGGTTCTCGCTCCAATTTGGGCTGTCGGGGTGGAAGAATTCGCGTAGAAAGTGCTTGAGCATCGTGGCGTTGATCGCGTCCGTGGCCGAGAGGAGGACTGCGGTTGGGTGCGCCTTGTAGTCGGTGTACCGAGTCGTAAACTTGGAGCGTTCCGACATGAGCGCAACGAGCGCATTCACTTGAAGCGGGATCATGACGAACGTGAAGAGGATCATGGAGCCCATCGTAAGGCGGCCGAGGCGCGTCTTGGGCGCAATGTCACCGTACCCAACGGTCGACATGGACACCGCAATGCAGTACATCCAGTCAAAGAGCGGTCGACTCTGGCAGTTGCAGCAGTAGAGCGAGGCGCCGACGCCAGCGTTGCAGAGAAGACTGTTGACACACTTGTGGCCGTCGGAGCGTAAAAAATCCTGGCAGCCCCACTGAACGCACTGGTCGGGGCAGAGCTCGATGATCTGCATCGCGCCCGACATGGAGACGATGATGCATACGACCGTGAGGAGCGTCACGAGCACTTGTCGCTGGACCATGGACGTCGTGAAGCGCAAGAGGCGGTACGCGCGCAGGATGCGGAACGCCTTGAGGACGCGTACAAACTGCACAATCTGCTTGTTCTCGGGCGACGTTTGGGAGAAGGCGAGCAGCTGGGCCTGCGTCATGCTTATCTCGACCCATGTCGGGATGATGCAAATTAGATCAAAGACGGACGCGTAACTCTGGATGTAGCTCCACCGGAGCGGCGCGGCGTACAGCCGCAGCATGTAGCTAGATAGACCATGAGAGACAATGAGTCGACGCCATGGAGACGTACTCGAAGGTAAAGATGGCGCCAATCATCTTGGTCGCGACTACACCATGGCATGAGGAGGCGACGATGGACAAGAGGACGCACAGGATATGCCGGCGTTGGGGATGTTCTCGCCACTGGACCACACGACGTGGATGTAGAGGTACACCATGGTGAAACTGAGCAGAATCATGACCGCGTCCAGCGTCTTGCCCGCCAACGACTGCTCGAGCGTGTGCTGCGTGTACTCGCGGAAGGACTCGCGGCCGCGCTTGGGGAAGAACGGGTCGCGCGGCCACCACGGCTTGACCTTGAGCTCCTGGAGGTAGAGCAGTCGCACTAGGCGTATCCACTGCAGTCGCTGCTCGAGGCGCAGCGAGCACCATCGCAGGACCTGCCGCGCCGTTGGCATCGGCGCGCCTTTCCCGAGTGCGAAACGGAATGCGGCGTGAAACCTCGCATCCGCCGATTGGATAAAATGCGACCCGAAACGCGGCGCCGATTTGCCAGTATTCTCTGCAATCGGATTGGTCCAAATCCGACAATTATTTTCTACGAGTGCGATGACGGCAACGCGGCCGAGCAGCGTGCGGGCGTCCATGGAGTTTGCGGTGCGCTACCAAGATGCTCATGCGATGGGAAGATCACGCTCGATATATGTAGGGTCCGCTGAACGCGGTCTCTGTCTCGTCCAGCCAAAAGGTACGGCGAACCATGGGCCATGCCACCAACTCACATGCATGCCACTAGCTCATTGCCGTCGGCGGCCGCGATGTGCTCAAGATCGTCGCCCTCGAGAGCGGTGGCTTTGTCGAGAAGCGCAATCTGCGCTCGGCCAAGTCCAGCCTCAACTTTAGCACCAACGACATCCGGTGGCATCCTCGTACGCGACGTCGCCCTTTCGGGCCGTACGAACTCACATCCGCCACGTAGAGTCCGACTACCTCCTCGCAACCGCGTCAACAAACGGCTACATTGTGATCTGGGACATCCAGCGAGACACCGCCAAGCTCCAGAGTTGCCAAGCGTTGCGTGACATGGCTCATGTCTGTCCTAGAGCGCGACTTTAAGGCCCACGACCGCGCTGTGAACCGGATTTGCTGGCATCCGACGGACCCGAACCTGCTCCTCAGCGCGTCCCAAGACGGCTTGATCAAGCTCTGGGTGCGGCGCGCTTCCTCCATAACACCATTTGCTGATGCTGCAAGACCATCCTAGGACCAGCGCTACAAGGGCAAGCAGATCAATGTGTTTCAGCAGCAAAAGTCCGAGAGCGTTCGCGACGTCAAGTTTAGTCCCTTTGGCGACACCAAGTTTGCCGCTGCGTTCGAGAACGGCACGGTCGAAGTACGTAGAACGGTCAACGCGCGGACCCATCGTCGTCGTCGTAGGTCTGGGAACTCGGCAACAACAAGAAGCCGGAGATCACATTCACGGCCCACCAGGGCCACATCCTGTCGCTGGACTGGCACCCAACGCAGCCATCGGTGATTGCAACCGGGTCGCGTGATCGCAGTGTCAAGGTACCCCTCGTTCGACCACGTCGCCTGATCGATGCGCAGATTTGGGACCTCAACGACGTCAACAAGCCCAAGCAAACGATCGCGCTGATTGCCAACGCAGGTCGCATTCAATGGCGCCCCGACTGCCCCGGTACGCCGTCTTCGATCGCTGATTGGACGCTGAAGTGTCCACTAGATCACATTGCGACGAGTTCGTCGATCACGGATAGCAGGTAGCGTTCTTAGTTCGCTTCTTCTGCAAAGGTCTACGCTAGCATCAACGTGTGGGACACGACGCGGCCGTTCGTGCCGCTCGCGTGCATGAAGGGGCACGCCGACATTGTCTCGGACTTTCAGTGGTTTGACACGCCGTTGCACGGCACACCGCTGAGCGATGCGACCGGTAGGCTCCATTCTGTATTTCTCGATGCATACACTGGATGTTTAATGGCAGACAACGTCGGGTGTGGCTACTGGCAGCACATGCTCGCGTGTTCCAAGGACAAGACGCTCAAACTCCACGCGCTCTCGAACGCGATCAAGCCGCACCAGAGCATGCACACGGTCGCGCTCGCCATGAACATCTCGGGGCACGTCGTCTCGTCCCACGACCCCATTGGTCAACAGCTGGAATATGAGACAGTAAAATTGATCCAGTGGGCGTAGACCGATCGTGCGCAGCGCTCAAGATCCACCAGTACGACCAAAACGAGCTCTTTGCCGCGGTGGACCCGAGCCTCGCGATGCAGACGCCCAGTGCGTGGCGCCAGCAGCAGCAAATTGCAGCGTCCACGTCGGCCGGCAAGCCGCCACTGAACGCGTCACGCCTCGCGTTCAAGTCGACGCGCAAGCCGTCGACGTCGCGGTCGGTGCCCAACCTCGCAGCACTCTTGACGGAGAGTCCGCCTCCCGTCGAGGTGCCAGCTCCCCAAGGTACAGTGGCATCGTGATCGTCCTATGTCTGGACATGGTCTTAGCGATGGTCGCGGTCGTGAGCTTGCAAAGCGCCGTGAGCGTCGAGGACCTCCGAGCGCACTTGACGGAAGGCGCGGGCATGCCGTCGGCACCGTCCTTGTACCCGCAGCTCTTTGGCTTCAACGAGCAAGTGTTTCAGTTCCTTGCCCAAGAGTACAAACTCTACGGGTCGATGCTCTTTCAAGACATGTGCGCCTACAACGCCTACGTACGCACTCATTTCTCGTTTTTGCTTAGTCATTTGTGGCATTTTCATAGGTGGCTGGCGCTGCAGGCTGTGGGCACATGAAGAAGACGTGGCTCATCTTGCAGCTGCTGTACGAGAAACGCACCAAGAGTCCGGCGCGCGCCCCTGCGTCCAACTTGCCACCGTCGACGCCGCTACCAGGCGAAGAGCCCCTGCAGCTCGCCAAAAACGAAGCGTCGTCGCTCTTGCAGCAGCTCGACCAGATCAACCCCCAAGCCATGCACGTAAGTACATCTACCTTGGCGCAACGAGACCGATCTCTTATCTAGGGCGTGGACCTCTACCCGTACGAAGACGGTGCGCAAAAGGAGAGCACACCGGACGCAACGCCGACGATCGGGAATACCGTCGACGTCTCGCGGCTCCAGGATACGCTGCTGAGAGAGGTGCTCGAGTACTATACCGAGGCCGGCGACGTCCAAGCGTGCACGAGTATCGCGGCCGTCCTGAGCAAGGTCACCAACATCGATGCGATCATGAAGAAGGGCTGGCTTCAGCAAGTGTACATGCACTACATTGGTATTGTATACGTCGTCTGGAGTTGCTGGTCCTACGGCTTCTGGTAGACTTGCTGCACCAGCTGCAGCTCTACACCGTCGCGAATCACTTGGTCAAGAACTGCCCGGACACGGGCATTCGCCAAATGAACATGGTCCGACTACCTTTTCTCTTGCGACTTGGTTGATCGCTGTGCGTAGAAAGCCACGACGATCTACACGTCGTGCTCGGGCTGCGGCAAGCCCATCGACCCGGTCCTCGCCTCCAAGACTTCGTCCGCCAAGCCGGGGCAACAGGGCTTGTGTCAGCACTGTGCTAACCTCGCCACGTGTTCGATCTGGTGCGTCTCGATGCGTTAGCTAAAGTCGGATGTTGCTGACGAGCCTCGACTGTAGTCAACTGCCAGCGTCTGGACTCTTTGTCTGGTGCCCTGTCTGCGCCCACGGCGGGCACCTCGCCCACATGGAGGAGTGGTTCGCCACGCAGCAGGTGTGCCCCACGGGCTGCTCGCACGTGTGCGCGCCCTACATGAAGCTCGTGCTGCGTCCGACGTAAGCGTAACATGCACAGCGTTTCGTTTTGATATTTTTGAACGCAATGGCGGGCTCGAAGCGCGAGGAAATTGGCGCGACGATGGCCGCGCTGCGGGCGCAGCGAGCGAGCGACGAGGCTGCCCGTGCGGCCAACGAGGTAGCGAAGCGCGACCACACGCGAAGCCTGCTCAAGCTCATCGCACTCGACTCGGAGTTTCGCGACGACCTCATCGCATTTGACGGTCTTTTTCGACGAGTCTTAGCCATTTCTGATCTGTGTTGCGCAGAGGAGTGCAAGCTACAGTGCGAGCGCCACGACCTCCAGCAGCAAATACGAGAGCTCGACGCCGAGTACCAAGCCGCCAAATACGCTCACGCGGGCGACGGCGACAAGTAGGTCGACCATGCAACCACGCTTGTATATATGCCATGTCGCAGACGCCGCAAGCACGAGCTTTTGGCGGCGGCCAAAGCCAAGCGCGACCAAGGCACGGTGCTGCTTCGCGCCAAACTGACAGAGCTTGGCGATCCACCGGCGTCGCCCTTGAAGAAGGCGCCGTCGCGCCTCACGTCGAGCGGCGTCAAGGAGATGAAGGCCGAGATCAAGCGGCTATGGCGCGAGAAGCATGCGATGCCGGATCCCAAAGTCGCCTACCTCGAGGTAGATGCCATTCCTTTCATTGGTTCTATACCCAACGTGGCAGATTGGCAAGCTTCTGCGCAAGCTCGGCGACGAGGTCAAGGCCATCGAGTACGTGACCAAAGCTGTCGGTCCCAACGCCAAGGCGACCAACGCGATGGTGCCACCGACGCCCGACGAGCTCGCGACGCTTCGGCGCATCGAACACAAGCGCGTACGATCTTATGTTTGTCTACTCCAATGGCGGGATGAGTGATCACAGCCGTCATGCGACAGTTGTGTGAAGCGCACTCGATTCTCTTCCACTACTACTTGAAGCTGCCCGATGCGCAGCGCTGCGAAGGCACGCGCCTCCCACCTGAGTTGCAGGCTCGTGATCCTCTGTACAGAACATATGGTGGCCTATCTGGCCTTAGCCGACGGCGACGTGCGCATCAAGACGCTCATCTACCTCGACAAGTACTACCTCGCTTGCGCCGAGCCGCTTCGACCATCGAGTAGGCTCCTCCGCCGCGTGAGTGGCGTCGACCAAATTGGGCAGCCGACGGTCGAGAGCATGACGCAGTCCATCATGGTGCGCCGCAGCCTTGGATGGTAGTATACGTGTTCTTGCGCGGTCGTCATTCGTCTCCAACTTTGTAGCTTACCAGATCTCCGTTTTCGCGTCCTGACGCAGCTGAGCGCAGCCTTTCCACATGACGCATGTACGTGCGGTCGCATGCAACAAGTCGCTCGATGCGCATAGATCTGCTCTCGTCGATCGCGAGCCTCAACGTCCGGCGCTACGACTTTGGCGCCGCCAGGACCGCGACCGACGCATACACGTCGCTTCCCGAGATCGCGCGCCTGCACCTGAGCGCCGACGTCCTCGAGTACGTTCCAGCGCCGGCGCTTCGATGGCCACCGCCGGCTGGCTCCACTTGCTAACGCGTGCTGGCCCGCTGCGTGGGATTGGCCTCGGGCCCACGATCTCACCTGACATACCACGCCTGGTCGGAATTGTTGACAAAAACAGGGACTGTTGCGGAATCGTGAATGGATTTATTGTATGCAAGCACCCTTTTTTGTCGAGAAAGGGCAATGTGGTCGGTGGCGCTCCTTGGCGCTTTCGCACCTACTTGAGACGGTATACAAATAGCAAGGTATGCGAAGACAGCTTTGAGAAACGGGCTTCTGCCGAACGTCATGCATTGCACACACCATCCCGCCGACCACCATGCTGCTCGACGCAGACCAGCGCTCGGCCATGGACTGGACCGTGGGCGTGACCGCGTACGTGCCAAGCGCTCTGCAACAGGGTGGTGCTAACGATGCCGTGTGCAGGTCCATCTCGGTGCTCGGCTGTGTCTTTGTGCTCGTGCGCCACTACGGCCGCGTCGTCGCCCGCGAAAAGATGGACTACTCGACGACGCTGGTGGTGGCCATGTCGGCCATGGACCTCGCGGTTGCCGTCGCCAAGCTGCCCGAGATGACGCTCGTCCCCAACAAAGTGGCGTGTGACATCCAAGCCTTCCTCATTGACTGCGGGAACATGCAGGGTACTTGATCTCCGCCTTACACACAGCCTTGAACATGGACATAGCCTGGGTCTGCTCGTCGTGCATGGCCTTCAACCTCTACCGGTGGTGTGTCAAGCGCGACTCGGACGAGAAGCTCCGCAGCCGCCACAAGTGGTACCTTGCCATCTCCATTGTCCCCGCGACCGCCATGTCGGTGTGGCATTGGTGCAGTATGTTTGAGGGTGCTCGCGAAGGACCTTTTGACCACGCGCTACGTAGGTGGCGCGTACGGCGGCGCTGACTTTTACTGCTGGCTCTCGAGCGAGACCAAGCAGGGACGGCTCGCCAAGATGGAGCACTTCTTCCCGCTCCTGCTCGTCTGCGCCGTTTTCAACGCGCTCGTGATTGGCATCGTGTGGCACAACACGTGGAAGTGGGCGCAAAAGTACGTCTTACCACCACTTTACCGCGGATGATCACCTCGAATATGGTCTAGGGAGACATCGGACGTCGCGTCGACTTCGTACTCGATATTGCAAAAGCAATTTTTGCTCTACCTCGTCTGCTCCGTGGTGCTGCTCCTTCCGAGTCTCGTCTTTCGAGGTTCAAGGCCCCTATATTTGAATCCTAGTTATCTGACCTCCAATCGCAGGCATCCAGGCCCACGACGACAGCCGGATTCATTTTCCACTCGTGCTGCTCGCGCAACTGACCATCAACCTCCAAGGTGCACGCCGAGGTGCATGACCCTTCTCACACTGCGCAGGGTTCATCAACGCTGTCTTGTACGGCGGCATCTTTCACGACTGCCCGATCGCTGTCATCGCGCTCGCTTGCTGCGGCGTCAAGTTGGGCTGTGACAAGAAGGACGCGCCGTCCGAAGCCAACGAGCTTTCCTTGAGCCAGTATGAGCTCCAGCGCGCCATGATCTTTGCGACCACGTTCAACTGCGGCGAAGCCGGTGTGCCCAAGAACCTCGTAGGAACTTGTTGCAGAGAGCACGTCGAATGACGTCGTATCGTGCTGTAGGACGACTGGATTCCGCTGGGACACGATATCTACGTTATCGGGCTCCAAGAATGTCTCTACTTGGACGACTACCGCGCGGCGATCCACGCCCACTTGGAGCACCAAGGCTTTCCGCGCAAGCAGCGGTCCTTCACGGCCTACTCGCGTGAGATTGGGAGCCGCAACACGGCGCTTGGCTTCCATGTATTTTGTTCATTGATCGTTGGTGTGCTCATCGACAGCGTAGGGCTTCATCGCCATCACGGTCTTTGTCGCGACCGACGACGTGAGCTCGCGGGTGTTTGAAATGCACTTGGACGCCTCGGCCAAGGTATCATGCGCGCCTTCGATGCGGCTGCTGACGCGTCTTATCTGTAGGTCAACTGCGGCAAGTCACTTCTCGTGGGCCGTGCGTCCAACAAGGGTGCGGTCGGCTTTATGTTTCGGTACTACAACTCGACGTTCGCCGTCATCAACTGCCACCTCGCGTCCGACTCGGTACACCGACTCGTTTTTGACATGTGTGTTCTTAGTCGACGATTCTTGTAGAAAACGAGCAAGCTCGAGAAGCGCAACATCGACACGAGCCATGTGCTCAACAACATGGTACTCTCGGCGACGCACTCGGGGTTCGATGTGCCCATCATGGCCCACCACACGATCGTCATGGGCGACCTCAACTACCGGCTCACGTACCAGAAGGCGTCGGCGCGGCATGTGCTCGACCTCCTCGCGTCGGTGCTGCTCCACGTCAAGAACGCCGCGCTCTCGTTCTCGGTGCAGAGCCAAATCGAGCGGTTCCATTCCATGTCGTCGTCGGCGTACTCGCTCGTGACGTCGCCGACGCCGCAGCCGCCGCTTCTGCTCCAAGACGACGAACACTCGAGCGTGGCGACGCTCGACAGCAGCATTACGCGCGAGAACGCGTGGATGGCGCTCCTCCCGCACGACGAACTGCGGCTCTGCATGCAGCAGTCCAAGGTACGCCTCGGAAATATTGCTATCATTTCTTATTGTGCTGCAGATTTTCCATGATTTTGAAGAAGCGCCGATCGCATTTGCACCGACGTACCGCCGGCAACGCGGCACGCGCATCGACCTCGAGCTCGACACGACGTCGTCGCAGCTCGAGACAGTGTTTTCACTGCACGCCGGTGCGGCCGAGCGCGTCCCGTCCTACACGGACCGCGTTCTCTTCCACTCGCTGCCCGACTTGCGCGAGCGGCTCACGCCCGTCGCGTACAACAGCTGCGAGCACATAACAGTCTCGGACCACAAGCCCGTGAGCTGTCTCTTTGAGGCGTATGTGGAGCAGGGCAGTCGCTGCCTCGACACGAATCTCGTACGATAGATCCGATTTGCTACACCTAACCCTAGCTTTGTAGAAGGCGCAGAAACGTTGTACGGTGACGCTGAGCCACATTGAGATCACGTGGTCCGGCCAAAATGACACGGACGTCGAGCGGGATACGTTCAAGGAAGATACGGCGCCCAAGACGGACCAGTCGTCGGCGCGCAGTGGCACAACTGACTCGGCCATTGTCATTGACGGTAACCACGTCGCTAGTTGGGTCGCATATTTCAACCTGCGTAGACGCGGTGGAGGCGCGGGTGCTTTTCCCACTGCCGTGCGAAGACGACTATCTGCACCAGCGACTGGTTCTATGATACGATGCTAGTTCCGTGCGTGCTGACGCTTCATGTAGTTGGAAGAGATGGCGGGGCGGCTACAGACTCGACGCGACATGAGCTTGTACTCGAACACCAAGACGGTGAGTCTGCACCGCCTGCAGCTCAAGGGCATTGCGCAGACGACCAACACCCACCCGCGGCCGCACATGCACGTGGCGCTGCACATTGGCAAGCCCGACAAGGCGATCGGGCAGTGCGTCATCTCACTGTCCCAAGCGTACGCGCACCACGGGTCCAGCGTTCCGTTCGGCGCGACGCTGGCGGTCGGGGGTCGGCGCACCGGGGATATCACCGGCCTCGTCACGCTCCGCATCCGCTAGCGCATCATGCGCCTTCGTTGTACTACTGTCTCTCGCGCTATGTGTTGTTATTTAATAATCTTAGTCTTGCCACTTGGGTTTGGTCTTGCTGAGGAAGGCGCCGATCCCATGGCGGGCGTCCTCGGCCATCATATTGGTCCACATGACCTAGGAAGATGCTTGGAGAACGCGAGGAACGTGCGTGGAAGCGTACCGATGCCGCGAACGCGTAGGCGTCGCCCACGGGCATCTCGAGCTGCTGGTAGAAAGCTCGCTTCCCAAGGCGAAGCGCCGTCGGGCTCTTGGACGCGATCTCTTGCGCGAGAGCACTCACATGGGCGTCGAGCTCCTACGATGAAAATTACATCTTGAAGAAGGACGCCTTGCGCACCGCCTCGGGCACGACGTCGTTGAGCAGACCCATCTGGACGGCGTCGTCGGCCGAGACGAGGTCACCAGTGAGAAGCATGCGCATGGCCTGCTTCCGGCCGACGGCGCGACCGAGCGCGACACCAGGCGTCGAGCAAAAGAGCCCAATGTTGACGCCTACATGTACGCTCGTGCATCACGCAGCGGGAAAGCGCGAAACGTACCGGGCGTGCAAAACTTCGAGTGGGGCGTCGCAAACGCGAGGTCACACGTTGCGACGAGCTGGCACCCCGCTGCTGTCGCGACGCCGTTGACCTTGGCGATCACGGGCTGATGCAAGGTCAGGATCGACTGCATCATGCGACTGCACTCGTCGAAGGTCTCCTTGAGCTTGCGCGCGCCGTCGGACGAGGCGAGCACTTGATCGTCGGAGGCGCAGGCCTCACGCGCTGCATGCATTTCCTTGAGGTTGTGCCCCGAGCAAAAGACCGGGCCCTCTGCGCCGAGCACGACGACACTAGACAGGATGATCGAGAAATCGACCCGTTGCTCCAGCGACGCACCGAACAGCACGGTCCTCGTGGATGCTGCGGAGAGCGTCCTGCAGCTCGCGGATGAGGCCGAGCCCGAGAGCATTGCGCGTCTTGGCGCTCGTAAGCGTGAGCTCGCACACACCATCGCGGACCACCTTCGACAGCATTCCGATTCTGACCAGGCTCGAAGATCGCCGTCGCATCCGGATAAAAACAGCCAATCCAACGCACTTAAGCTGGCAAGCTGCAACTACACCCCAGCTCTACACCCCACATTCGTCGTACTAGTGCGGAGGTACTGCGCCGCCGCAGCAAAAGTGCCTGTAAGCTCGTCACCCCGGCCCAGCAAAGCTGTCCGGACTCGCTGGACGCCGAGATACTAATTTCGGCATGTGCCGATTCCTTCGGATTGTCCGGATAACGTAGCTGGGCGGAAAGTATCCAGGACAACAGAATTGGCGACGACCTTCTTCTATCCTCTGCCCCCGCCGACGCAGCGTCGGGAAGCCGAGCGTCTTGGGCGACGAGCGACGGCGTGCTTGCTATGTGCAATGTGCAACGAGGACCTTTGCTAACTGTCGCTCGAATTCGAATAAAAGTGCGTCCGAGTTCGACATCCTGCGGCCGACCAATCCGGTGTCGAGAAGCCATTGCCGTGCGCGTCTGATTGGGCGATACGTCGACAACAACCGCTCTCGATGGTCGACGCCTGCTGCTGCGACCGGACCGAGGCTGCGCAGAACGCGGGCCCAAGCTCGCATGACGCCGAGAGCTTGCGCCACGTCACGAGCGTCGAGTGTCTCTTCTGCCCGCGCTACAGCGTCGCCACGCTCCTCGGTGGCATCGAGCGCCTCATCTCACTCCACGCGTCCAACCCGATTGCGGACTACTGGAAGCGCCTCATCCTCAACCCAGCCGCGATTCGCCGCGTGTTTGGCGGCATTGGCGTGCACCAAACGCTGCGGCAAGACGTCGACTATGGCATCTACCGCGACCAGTACGTGTGCTTCTTTGTCGCAACGCGGCTGTACCCGGCGTACCTGACGTGGCACCAGCCCGCACCAGCAAAAAAAGAAGAGTGCAGCCGGCGGCCGTCGAGCCCCGAAGCCTCGACTGAAAAGGTCAACGGTCAGCTGCGCGAGCGTGCGGCCTCTGCGCCCAACTGGTGGGACATCAACATCAAGCAAGGACCGGCGCCATCCGCCTTCAAGTACCCATGGACAGAGCTCTCGACAGACGAGTGGTCCCACGCGTTCCTGGACCTCTATCACTGCCTCTGGTGCGATGTCCCACTCGACCCGATCCTTCTCGGATTCCTCATCAAGGTATGTTCCTCTGCGCATGACAGAACCGTCACCTCTGTGCAGATGACCAAGACGTACATCATCTACACGCCCGTGTTTTCCATGCTTCGCAGCCTTCAGGTCGATGGCGTCACATGGAGCGAACGCCTCTTGTTCCACTCGTATCTCGAAGACATGGCGGTCTTGGTCCACGGCCTTGTGCACCTCGGATATGCGGCCGACTTGTCCCGTGCCTTTGCGAATTCGCTCGTGCTCGGGCTGCTCCATTCGATTGGGACGGCATATGATTTCAAGGCCGCGCGGGGCGTCGCCCACGGCATGACGCAGGCGCGCATGGCCAATCACAGCAGCGTCCTGCACGGCCTCGTCACGGGCATGTACCCCGACACGTTTACGTACCTGCAGCGAGGCACATCGCACATGACGTCGTTCGAGGCCAACGCCGCCTACATGCAGCGCGTCATGGACGTCGAGTTGCAGACGTGGGTGGTCGCCACGATCCTGTCGCCCGACGCACTTGCGCTCCTGAGTCCTCTCCTCGACATCAGCATCGACGAGCTGCTCTTTTGGAACGTGCACGCCGACATTGCCATGAACCCGACACCCACCGGTATTCGCGTCTTCGTATCAACGTATCAAGTTGACTGGTAATAGTGTTTGTGCTGGACGTCATTTCGGCGCTCCTCGAGCAAGTGCCAATCGTGGGGCTGGCCGAGACCGTCGTCAAGCACCTTGGCCAGCTCGTGCCGATGCTCACGACCTTGATCCACATTGCGCGCTACAACCGGCAAATTACGTTTTTGGCGACCCAAGCGTCCTTCTCCGACAGCGAAGACGACGACGACGATGATGACGGGTGCAGCGTCGACGCCCGGCTCGACAGTCGATGCGCGAGCGTCACGAGTCCGCTCAAGCGCAACTGGTCGGGCGCGCTCGACTGTATTCCGCTCACGTCCAGCTTTCTCCTCCTCCACGTCTTGCGCGCGATCAAAGCCATGATTGCAGTCGAGCTATGGGACGCCACGATGGCCGACCACGACCTCGTTCCTGGGCTTCTCTCGCTCTTTGAGCTGCACCCGAATGCCAACCTCCTGCACAACTCGCTCTTACGCATCTTCTTGACGCTCCTCGACCGCCCCAACGGCAAAGCCAACAACGTTTTGCTGCGAAGCGCCTTCCGACACGAAGCGCAGAACCTGCTGCGGTGCATTGAGCAAGGGCTGATCGCACGCGAGACACCGTACCATGGCCATGTCGCTCGCCTCGGGATCCGCCTCCACCAGATCTGCAGGTACACCCCTACCGCCTCCAAATCAGAACTGATACTCGTCTATTTGGGCTAGTGCGCCAACTCTGCAGCAGGAGCTCGTGCGCCAGTACTGCCAAAAGAGTCCGACATGGGCCGACACGGTGAGCCGCCTCGTGGCCGAGCACTACAAGCAGACGGACGACGTTGCAAGCGCGTCGGGCAACCGCAAGCGCCTCGACTCGGTCGGGTCGGCCGCCAACCTTGTCGAGAAGGCCAGCGTGACGCTCCACGCGGTGACGCAGAGCCGCGAACATAGCAGCAGCCAAGCGTCCTTCCCGATCACAGACGCAGACCTCGATGCGTTGGACGATGCGCTTCAGAGTGAAGACGACGGCGACGTTGTCTCGGGGCACGTCTTCCAGCAAGTCGCGCTCGGGCAATGGAAGAAAGTGCATCTGACGCTGCACAAGAGCACGTGCTCACTACGCATCGCAAGTGAAAAGCCGGCGAGCAAACTGCGGCTCTTCTCGCGCGGCAAGAAGTCGACCGGTTTCTCGATGGTGGATTGCCACGCGGCCGAGTGGATGGTGTACGTCAAGCAGCAGAACGCGTTTGGTCTCCAGGTCGTCGGCTTTGACACGATCAAAGAGGTGGACGTGACGCTGACGCTGGTGCTGCGGCAGCGCACCTCGCGCGACGCCTGGCTGCGTGCGATCGCGTCGTCCATCTTCCTCGCGACAAAGGGCGCCGACCTCAACGAGGTAGCTTTACATCCCGAACCCCATGCGTCAAGGAGGTGCGGCTGTAGGAAGCACACTTGCGCACCGTGCGCGCCATGTACGAAGCCTCGGTGAATGCGTTTCTGATTACGCTACCCCCGGGCAGCAGCACCTTTGTGCTGCAGTGCGAAGTCCCAGAAGACGTTCCGTTCTGGGGCAAGTATGCAGGACCGGCGGGCATGGCCAAGTTCAAGGCGCTCGTCGACGCCGCGGTCACCGTGTCGGTGACGTCGTCCCCGATGCTCGAGACCATTGGCCACGCGGTTTTTGCCGAGTATTCCATCACCTTTGGGAACATCGGCGTCAGCTGCGTGTGCGTCTGCCGCGACATTTACACGCTCGAGCGCGGCCTTCTCGTGGGCCTCACGCGGTCGCTTGTCGACGCCGAGAAGCTCGTGGCGATGCTCCAGCGCTCGTTATAATAACTGAGCTTGCATCCGAGTCTTATAGCGTTAGTGCGCCATGTCGAGCCAGCCCTTGAGCTCATCGACGCTCAGGAGCCCGTCGCCCGACGTGTCGAGTGTCGAGAGAACGCTCGCAATTTGTGCTGGGCCCATGGGCAGCCCGAGGTCGCCGCAGAGCGCCGTGAACTCGTCGACGTCGATGTTGCCGCTGTGGTCCTTGTCGTACTCGGCAAAGAGGCGTGCGTACCGCGCGTCGTCGGTCGCTTCAAAGCCATAGCGCCGGAGGAGCTCGTCACGGATTGTTGGGCGGCGCCGCGGGTCCTCCCACCGCGTCTCGTTCGTCCGAGGATTCCAGTAGTACTAGATGTCGGACATGCACAACCACTCGTGCAGCAGTATGAGGCCGTCTACCTCGTAGCCGTCGTCGTCGTTTAGCGGCTGCCACTCGTCGAGCTGCGGCAAGACTGGCGGCGGCGCCTTCTTTGTCCCAGCGATCGCGTCCACGCGTCGCAGCAGCGCGGGCTTCTCCCACGTCAAAGTGCCCGTGCGCGTATCGACGTAGTAGGCGGCGCCGGACGCAGGGTCGACGTACGCTTCGTAGATGGTCGAGAGGAGGTCGCGAAACTTGCGGCGCGCCATCTTGGCGCGATAGAGCTGCTGCAGCTTGGTGGCGGCCGCCATGCGCTCGGCGCCCGTCGCGTTCATCGCCGAGCGCTCGATGGCGCGCGGTCGCGGTGGCTGCCTAGCCGCCTCGAGCTTGGCGGCCACCAAAAACATTTCCTGCTCGGAGATGTCGACCATCCACTGGCATGGGCCGGGCGTATGGAAGCGAATTGTCGCGATCGCGTCCGCCTTGTACTGGGTCACGTGGAGGTTGTGCGCCAGCGCAGGTGGGACGACGTGCACAAGCTGCGTGCCATCGACGTACACGAGCTGGAGTCGCTTGAGCGCATAGAGCGACGGCGGCAGTCGGCCTATTCGGACATCTTGTGTGGGAATTTTGACATGGCACGGAGAAAATGAGACCGCGGAGCCGCGGGTTGTCCCGCAGCTGAAGCGACCGGAGCTTCTTGAACGCCCCAAAGAGGTCGGGCAGCGACCCGCGGAGGTCGTTGCGACTGAGGTCGAGCGCGACGAGCCGCCCTTTGTCCCACTTGGTGCCAAACCAGTCGAGCCCAACGCCCGACGCGAGCTCTTGCGTTCGGTCCAGCTTGAGCCACCCGTCTTTGCGCCGCCAGCGCGAGCCTGCGATACGATGAGCCACCCGACGCCACACGCGAAGCTACCGTCGAGGGCGTGGAAGAGGTCACAGAGCGCGTGCACCTCGCGCTTCTCAATGTCCAAGACGACCATGCTATAAATATATAGCGACCGACCCCTGTCGTCATGCGAATGCAGAAGAAGAGCAAGGTCTTTACTCAAAGCAACTAAGGTAGCGACTAGAGCGCGACGTTGTTGTCCTTGTAGTGGCGCTGGAGGACACGCGTGAGCAGCGGCGTCGCGTCGGCGGACCCATACCACGCAATGCGAACGGCCTTGGGCTCTCGCTAGCTCATTGATATGCGCATGGGCTCACATAAATGCTGCTCGTGTTACCTCGTATCCGGTGGCGGAGTTGACCGCGCTCTCCTATTTGTCCACCTGCGTCAAGCCAAGGCCCGACGCGAAGACCAACCTGCAGCGTCATCTCGACAAGGGACCCTTCGAGCGTCTCGGCCACCGCTGCATCAAGCGACGGCAGCTTCTCCCGTAGCTACGACAGTCGATGTCAGAGACGCGCGTACGTTGCAGGCGAGGACTTTGGCATAGCGGCTGGCCGGCGCACCAAGAAACACCTCAGCAACTACACCCATGGACTCATCGACAGGTCGAGATCATTCGCGTACCTTCGTCAAAAAGGATAACGTTGAGGAGCGTCATGCCAATCGCGCAACTGAGCTATCGTACGCCTGAGCCACAGCGACGTGCATACAAAAGAGGTACCACGAGCTTGTACCTCCAGATCACTTGGGTCGTCTCGTGCAGCGAAACGTTGCAAAAGCGGCAGTACGGTCCTACGCTGCCTGTCCGAGCCTCGTGCTGGTGAAAGTCGACGTACGCTGGTCGCCCGGCACCACTCGCTTGCAGAGCCCACAGGCGCGGTACCTAGCCCAAGATGAAGCTTCCTGCGCCGTCGAGTGCTTGGTCGTACAGCATCTTCTTCGTATCGGCCCGCTCGATGAGCGCGCTTGGCACCAAGTTGGCCTGCATCGTCGTGTTGCACGTTGCCAGCAAAAAATCGAAGACAACAAATCGAAGTTGGAGTTGCCTTCCTGAAGCCTGAAGACCTGGAGACGTATGCTATTTTCGATGCCAAGGAGCTCGCTCGCGATCCCTCGATGTCCGTCGCTTCTGCAACAATACGAAGCAGCTCGACCGCGCTGCTTGAGCAGATCGATTGCGAGTTTGGTCGTCGCACGCAGGTTTTGCCATGGTGTTGAGAACTTCAACTAAGAAGTTGTACGGGCGCGGACTCAAGACGTTGGAGGTGAGCCTCTGCACGTCGTCTGTTGCATTCATATTGAGCTACAGAGCGACGATCGTCACCATCGCACGCCACGACGGTCGTTTGCCCGGCACCAGATTGAACGGGCGCTCCGAGCGGTTTATCGGGCATCAAGGTGACGTGTGGAGAATGGTTTGTCTTCGCTGCGCCCTCGTGCGTCCTAGATGGCGGCTGCAACGCCGCAGCGTGCTAAGCTTGGTGGCCTCCAGCCCATCATCATGGATGCGACGCTCGAGCTTGTGGCGGCTTGCAAACCGAAGTTCGAAGCTGGACATATCAAATAAAATGTATACTGGATGTTTGTATGGATCTGCGCGACGTTTTAAAAAAGCGGGCCGATTGGCACTCGCAATCGGTGTTGCTCGGACGCGTTCCAAGCCAAATGCTGGCCTTTCATCGACGGGTCCTGCGCCCCCAAACGCTTCGCCTCTCGGGCGCGACGGTGCTGCGGTCGCAGTCGCTCGTGCTGGCAACGTGGAAGCAGACGCACCGCGTCTCGAGCATCAAGACCATGTACCAGCAGCAGCGCTGGCTGTCGCAGTCGCGGCCGGCCTTTTCGTCGGCGGCGCCGCCGGCCACGGGTAGCTACTTTGGTTCGTACAGCGAAGAAACAGGCGAGTGGGAGCCCGAGCGCGACCATCTCGAAGGCTTCCAGAGCGACCATGTCGCGGCGAACGAGATGACGTTGCAGGCGCTCATCCGCCTCGATATCAATGGCGCCCGGCGGCTCTTCCGCAATGTGCTCCAGCACCATTACTACCACGACATGGAGATGTGGAACAAGTGGGCGACCATGGTACGTCGCCATCGCAATGTGCGTGTTGTCCTCACAGGCGACGTGTGAGCGTAGGAGTGGCGCGACGGCAAGGTCATGCTGGCGCGCAAGATCTTCACCAAGGCGTCCAAAATCTGCTTCAGCGCGAGTCTCTGGCAGTCGTGGGCGACGATGGAAGGCGACATTGAAAACTTCAACGAAGCACGCCGCCTCTTCAACGTCATCATTGCGGCCGACGCCGGCAAGACGACGCAGACCGCGATGGCCGGTCTCGGTGCGACCTCGATCCCTCGGTCGCGCGATGCTCAAAGATGCAGCGTAGGCTTGGCCTTGGTCGAAGATCGCAGCGGCAACACGGACAAAGCCAGGTAGACATCCGACTCTCGACCGGCTTTGAACGCAGGAGCGCAGAAAGCTCTTTGTCGCTTACAAGAAGAAGTTTCCGGACGACATTCACCTGGCCGAGGTGCGTGTGCGATGGCAACTTGCATTCTCATGTGGCGTAGGCCTACGCGCTCTTTGAGGGCCGGCACGGCCACATGAAGCTCGCGCGCCAGCTCTTCACGCAAGCGACGCAAATGGCGCTCTGCACGCCTCAAGTGTTCCACGTACGGTGTATGCGTTGTATCAACTTGATACTGATCGACGACTCGACGTAGGCGTGGGCCCAGCTCGAGTACGAACGCGGCTTTTACGGCGAGGCGGTCGTCGTCTTGGACCAAGGCCTCGAGTCGGCACCGTACGACAAGAAGCAGTTTATGTTGCGTGCGATGAGCCTCGCCAAGCTCGGCGATGTCGAGGGCGCCCGCGACGCCTTCCGCGAATGTCGGTGCTTCTATTGCGCTGACACCAGCTTACGTGGCGTGCATGTAGACACCAAGTTGTCCTCGATCGACGAGCGCGCGTACAATGCATTTGCGCAGTTTGAAGACGGTCTTGGCAACCACGGCGCGGCGCTTAAAATCTACCATACCGTGCTCAAGCACAACCCGGGAAGCATCTCCAACATCACGGTAGAATGCGTCGTGTCCATATCTCGAGTGCATATGGATCCTAGTCGCTGGCGTACTTTCATCTTCGCACGGACGCCCAACACGGTCTCGAGGACGCGCGCGAGACGTTTTCGACCGGTGTCGCCATGGTTCCGGACAATGCGCAGCTGTGGCACGTACGCCGACGACCTCTTGTGCGTCCAATCGACTAACTAGAAACGACTAGAACTGGGGCATTCTGGAAGAGAAGCACGGCGATGTCGATCGGGCCAAGGAGTACTATGAAAAGGTACGGCTTTATCTACCTGACGCGTCGCTTCCTGCGCGTTGCTAGGCGACGCACCTCTCGCCGTGGTCGGCGAGCTACTGGTGCTCGTTGGCCAAGATGGAGGCCAAGCGGGGCAACATCGAGTCGGCCCGCGTTGTCTTGGACCTTGGTACGGATGGCTCTTATCCTGTCGAATCGATTTTATGCAAAAGCATTTAGCGACGCAGCAGTGCAGTAACCGAGTCATGCTGCTCACGACGTTGGCCAAGATCGAGCGTCGCGCAAAAAACACAAAGCGGGCTCGGGACGCATGCACGGCCGCCCTCAAAGTCGACAAGAAGCGGGCGGCGACGTGGAACCTCCGGTACAATGTCGTCACTTTTGACTCGAAAAATGAGATCTGCGCTGTGTAGCGCTCTTGTTGAGATGCCGCACCACCCCGAGAAGGCCAAGAACCTCATTGAAAGCGCACTCAAGGTGCGGATACGGACTGTGAAGGAGCGCTCATCGGCTGGTGCTTGTAGCTCATCCCGACGCACGACCACATGAGCTGGAGCATCCTTCTGTGCACGTACGGCCGCGCCCACGCCGCGCTCGGCGACTACCAGAACGCCATGATTGCGTTCAAAGAGTCGATTCGCCTCCACGAGCGCAATCCCGCGACGTACGAGTACCTCGCCGAGTTCCTCGTGCAAATCGGCCGCGTGGACGAAGCCGTCAAGCAGCTGCGCCTTCTCACGCTCATTTGCCCCGCCGAGCGCGTCGCGAGTGTCGAAGCCCGCTTGCGCGAGCTCGAACCGCCGGCTACGACAGAGAGCGCCGAGGCATAAGCAGTACAGCGTGTTCGGTGTTGTGTTTCTAGTACTCTGGCCGCAGTGCAGTAGGTGAGGCGCGACTTGGCGCATTTGTTTATCTTGTAAAGACGATCTGCTGCGCTCTACACGCTGCGAGGTCGAGTGTGGGCAAGACTAGTATCAAAGTATCGCGGCCACGCATCGCACGCCACTCTTCATGTAGAGCCGACAAGAGGTGTCGATCGAGCGCGGACGATATGTAACAAGTGAAATCACGTTGGGACATTATGACGCGAGAGGCCGAGATTTTTCTTCTACGCACATACACTGCGCTGCCGGCGGTATACACGAGATGACGCGACCGCAAGTGTACATGTCATTGGTTGCTTAAGATTCGAGAGTACAAGATGCATTGGCCAGTGGACGTACGAGACTTTTGGCCGAGACGTTGGCAACCTTTGCCCCGTAGTATCCTCGCCAGTACCTCGTGTCGCGTCCTCGCCATTCGAGCTGGAGGTGGGTGTCGTCAGTGGGCATGGCTGCGAGGCTCACGCAGCGTATGGTCTGGCGCCAGTGAGTTCCTGCTGCCTGGCAAAACAGCTCTTCGAAGAGAACCTCTTCGGAAGGAAGGCTTCGTAGCACGAGCGTCCAGCGCACAGCCTGGTCAAAGCGCGCGGCGGTGCTGAGCTGGACCTGCAGATATGGGAGCGACGGCGGTGGCCGAGCAAACGTCTGTGCAAGGCTACACCAATAATGTGTTGACGTGTAGCAGCGCTGAATCGAAGGCGGTGCGCATGTGCCACCGAGGTTGTGCGCGCGTCCAAGACCATCGGCCCACTCGTCGTGGTCGTCGACACGATGCTCTTCGAGTAAATTCGGGTCGACGTCCCACTGCGTCGTCTTGAGGAGCTCAAAGAGGTGGTCGATGACAAAGCACTTGGGCGGCGCCGCCACCGCGACGATGGGCACGACCTCATGGCACATCGCAAGCGACACAGCGATGTTGGTCCAAAAGGCACTCGACTCGGCGGCTGCGTGCCAGTCCTTGCAGACGTACACGGACACGCGATAGACGTCGGCAGCCGATCCAACGTATGTCAAGATGATTGGAAGCAAGCTGCTCAACGCTGCGCTCCAAGCGTGTGGCAGCGCTACGCGCGCAGCATGGTTTGACGAGGCTGTTTGCATTGCTCGATCTGGTGCAATCGATTACTGCCGTCCCATTGGCTAAAACCGATCAATCAAAACGCAGTACGGCCCGTGGACCAATGAAACAGCGACCCGGTTGGCGACGATGAAGCCATTCGACCAACTTGAGTTCCAACGCTTTGCGGACGCTCGAATCGTGACGTAGCCAAGAGGTACAAGCACATTTTGATGCATACTAGTAGGGCGGTACGAGTACTCTAGTAGATAGCTAATTCGAGCATCTTCACCCTCTTGGGGCTTGGACAGCGAAGCTTAGAGGCTTAGTAGTTGAGAACGACGGTGGCATCGGGCACGGGATGCACAAGGTACTTGGCCGATATGTTTGCGACCTTTGCGCCGTAGTGTCCTGCCCACGACGACGTGTCGCGTCCGAGCCACTCAAGAACGAGGTGGGTGTCCATGGCTTCGACGTCCTCGAGGCTCACGCAGCGCGTGGTGTGACTCCACAGGATCCCCGCCGCGTGATAAAAATCCTCGACAAAGAGGACGGTGGTGGATGGATGGCTGCGTAGAATTAGCTGCCAGCGTACGTTTTGGTCGAAGCGCGGAGCAGTGCAGAGCTGGATCTGCAGAAATGGCAGCGACGACGGAGGTTTCGGAAAGGTCTGTGCGAGGCGGCACCAAAAGTGCGACGACGCATAGCAGCGCTGAATGCAAGGAGGCGCGCGCGAGCCAACGAGGTTGTGGCAGTGTGGACCCTCGGGGCTCGTCATGTCGTCGCTGGTGTTGTCGCGGTACTCAACCACCAAATTGCGGTCGACGTCCCATTCCGTCGACTTGAGCTGCTCTGAAAGATAGTCGATGACGAAGCGCTTGGGCGACGTAGCTGTTGCGACCAGACGTGACGTGTCGTTGCCATTCAGAAGCGACGCGGCGACGCCTAGCCAGTACTCGCTCGAGTCTGCGGCTGCGAGCCACTCCTTGCACACATAGACTGGGCTGCGGTAGACGTCAGTAGCGGACCCAGCGTACGTCAAAATGAGGGGGAGCAAGGTGCTGAGCTCCGCGCTCCACGCGGGCGAGAGCTTCACATGGACGCCGCTCGGCGAGATCTCGGTGCTGGTGGCATGTGTCATTTTCGCTGACTGGAACGCAACCCAGCGGCAATCTTTTGAGGGGCGATTGTTGACACACATTGGCCAAAACAAATGCCATATGACCAATAAAATGGACGTATCATGTTTTTATTAGCCAATGGATGCATCGACTATAACCTACCCGCGATCTTCTCACGGAGACTTGGTCACCCACCGGCGGATGTGCTCGCGCTCCGTGTCCCGGGCGCGTCGAAGCGCGTGCGAGTCGAGCGGATGACTAAACATGAGGTCGAGGTGGTGCGCGCCGTTGTGGATGAGAAGCGCCACGACCGAGTCGCTCAAGGACTTTGTGAAACCGGTGGGGTACCACGGGTCCAAGTCGCCGTTGCTGAAGACAATATTGCTCGACTGCCGGAACGCATCAGTGCCGCCAAACACGATCGACGGCCAGAACGGTCGCACGTGCACGCCCCAATTGGCGACGCACGCCGCGTCATCGGTCGACGCGTTGTGCAGCTCGGGCCAAAACATATCGGTGACGCCGTTCTGGTCGAGCGGCGTGTACATGTCGGCGCAGTTGAGGTAGTCCCAGTAATCGAGACTCTCGTCGTCATCAAACGCGTAGCACGAAGTCGCGCCCGTCGTGTTGTAGTACACGTCGATGCTCTGCTTCAACGCATGAAGAAAATCGTCTGCCGACTCCAAGAGACCGCTAAAGGCGACGCACGCGGCGCGCATAGGAAAGGCCGGAAGTGTGCGATCGCCACCCGTGATGTACGACGTCGGATACGGGTAGTTGCCCATGGCCATGTTCTCGTACGCTTCTTTGGCCCAAGTGGCGAGGTCGTTGACGCGCCCCGGGGCATCGAGGTCCCGTCCGGGGCAGAGGCGGAAGACTTTTGCGAGCTTTGCACGGCCGTCGACGGTGCCACCGAGCGCAAAGAGGTGGTCCCAGGACGCACGAATGTTGGCGGCGCATTGCGGCGGTGCGCCCGCGGCCTCACTAGCATCGTGCGTCACGACGCGCGCAAAGGACGCCAAGTCCATGGGCGGGTCCATGCCCAGGAACGACCGCATCGGTGCCGATGCAGCAATCGCGCCCGCGACCAAGTGTGGGTACTTGAGCCGCAGCCACGCCGCAAGCATACCGCCGTACGACCCGCCAAAGGCCACAAAGGGTGACCGCGGCGCCGGTAGCGTCTCTCGGAGGTGCGCAATCAAAACGGCAAAGTCGGCGAGCGCCTGCTGCGACGAGAGGTGCACGGCGTACTGGCCGTTGGAACTGTTGGCCCGCCGGACGGGCATCGATTGGCCAAAGTACCGGTGCTCTGCAAAGACAAGGAGCGCGCGAAACGACGGCGCCGACTCCCACATTAACCCCGTGTAGTTCAAGTACAACTCGACGTCGGCTTCGTTGCCAGCGTAAAAGAAGATGGGCCCGGCGTCTTGGTCCCAGAACTCACTGCACACAAAGTAGCGCTGCGCGAACGTGCCGTTGGTCGACTGGAAGTGGTCCAGACGCTGCGTGAGGGTATGGACGCTGCAGCGGGTGCGGAGATCGCCGTCAAAGCCGGGTGACGCAACAAGCGTCGACAACGTCGATCGGTACCGCACGAATGACGCCACGCAAAAGCAAGCGAGGAGCACGAGACCCTTGGTGTACCGCTGTTGCACGCGGCGAGGTCTTGGCGGTAGCAGTGGTGTCGACTCGCTGTGCATCGGCTATGGCAATTGACAAGTGAGAACGACCGTAATTCCTGCCGTTGACCGACGAGGGTTTCGTCGCGTTGTTCGATGCCGTTGGGCCTTCCTTGGGCTCGTCGCAGACGTCGTGTGGCTGCGCCCACGGGTGCGTTCTAGTCCGCGCTCGCACTCGATGTTTCTCGAACGCAAAGCTGGTATTCCTGACGTGGCAGCTTCGGCAACCTGGCCGTGTACCTCGATATCCGGCAAGATTGCCGTGCCGGATAATCGACCGCAGAGCAACCCGACGACGATGGCTGTCCTCGTGGTGGTCCTGCTATGGCTGCTGACCGCTTGGGCGCGATGCACCGACGCTCACTCCCAGTGTACGCCTGCGTCGTCTCATGCAGCGGCTAACGCAGCATAGGCCATAGTGACGACGAGTGCTGCAGTCCGCTCGCTGGTACGCACCGCTTGCGGTACGAGTCTCATGCGTCGTAGAGACTGCGGGCGTTATTTGCTGCGGTTCTGCCTCGCATGGCCTCGGTACGTCATAACCTTGCGCATCACCGCTTGCTTCTAGCGTGCCTGGCAGATGTTGTGGCGTGTATTGCCGGCCAGTGCTACCGCGGTGCACAGGCCTGCTGGAGCTATCGTGACCAGCCGCTTTGTAATGTGTTCGATGCCGCCTCAAGTACCGATACGCCCTGGGGCGCATGCCAAGAGCGTACGCGCCAGCGCTTGTATGCGAGCGTGTATGACTCGACATCGCCAGCGCACATTGCTGCGCTCGAAGGCCGAACGGTGTGTCGATCCTCTACTGCAGCCGTGTCGGTAACGGCAAGCGTAGGAGTCACTCGAGCTGCTATTAGAGGAAGGCACCGACGTCAATAGACAGCTGCCGGACGGTCGCGCGCTGCTTCACGTGGCCGCGCTCAGTACGGACGGCGAAGAGATCGTGTCGTTTCTCATCGCCAACAACGCCGACTGGCGGCTCGTCAACGCCTCGGGTGCGACGCCGCTGCACCACTATGCCACATTTGGCCGGCACCACGGCGCGGCACTGCTCTTGGCCAGCGGCGCCGACCCCAACGCGCGGTCCTTACCTGACGGCGTACGCCAGATTCGTTGATCGCGACTTTAGCCACAACGATCCACTGATAGAACACGCCATTACACAACGCGGCGCTCGGGCAGCACGTGCACACGGCGCAGCTACTTCTCGGCTTTGTACGTCCGTCCAGGTCAGCTCGAGTGCTATGTGTGATGCGTAGGGTGCAGACCCTTGTGTGCGCAACGCCCGAGGGCTCACCCCGTTCGAGCTTGGTCTCTTCAGCTTGGCCCAGCCGCCAACCCACATGACTATGTAGTGCCATAACGAAACTCTGTGCGGGATTGCATCGAAGTGACGAGATGGCGACAGTCTGTGATGCAGAAACCATAGCTTTTTAGAACGGCGTGTGCCTTCCTTGCATTCGCCCTAAGCCACCGCACAATGCCAACATCCAGCTCTAGACATGAGCTCTAGAGTCATTGCAGCACCCGTGGGATGGCTCCTTGCTAGTCCGCAGGATGGATTTTATCCGGAAATTTTTATCCGGACAAAGAGCCCATTGTGGCGTCGGAGCGGGCAAGGTGCATGGATTTTCGAGTTTGAAATGAAGTCTCATGTTTTGTGCTAAAGGTATAGAACATGATGCAGGGAGTCCAAAAACGAAAGAATGGTGCTCGTAGCGTGCCTAGAACCTGCACTATACGTCGTTCAAGTTGGTGAAAACTGATACTAAATTGCTAGTATCAATGTATCGGTGTATCAGCCGACCACCACATTACAGTTGCAACTAACGCAGGTTCTAGGAGCGCTACGAGCACCATTCTTTCGTTTTTGGATTCCCTGCGTCGTGTTCTATACCTTAAGCTCAAAACACGAGACTTCATTTCAAACTCCAAAAGTCGATCCAGATCGCTCGGCAGTCAGCTTGCTGTGCTTGTCGTCCGGATAATTATGTCCGGATACATGTAGGTGCCGCAGTGCAGCTTGGCGTGTGCCGCTTCCATCGATGGTACTGACTCGAACGGCGGGAATTTGTACACCAAGGCCTCGAGATACGTGGCATAAGCTACCGGATATTCTGCTGCCGCGCGGGTGCAGGTCGCAAGCGGCGAGAGCACGACAAGACCGCTCACCGCCATCGCCGCTTAATCTGGAGCCGCCATCTACATGTAGACACGACCGGAGAACTTGTGGGCGCTAGAGTATGCTTTGCGACCGTACCCGTCAGCTCGTGTAGAGTCCGATCCGAACGGTTTCTCGGTTGGTGGACTATCTTTCTGATGGCTACTATTGTCTCGCTGGACCTAGTGGTTGGAGAGCTGTGTAGATTTGAATATCCAGTGCTCAACCACTGTATGAGGAGGCCTCTACTGCCATTCACGTCCATTTTAACCTCTGTCGCTGCCGACTCGAAATCCGGTGTCCCATATCAGTCAAGACCACACAACCAGTCTCCCTCTCCGAGCTTGACCGCCAACCTCGTTGTTAGTAGGAGTGGCAGCAACGTCCAATACCGCACTGCTGCATGTACTGTACGACTGCAAGGACCTGTGGCATTGACTGACTAGTCCTGAACCATGACCGACTTGGCTCAACGAATATGATGTCGGCCGCCTTCTTTTTCTTCGTCAGCTTCAACTTGCGGCCACCCATCACCCCATCGCATGCACCGTCTGCAGAGCAATTCCGTTGCAGCGCACAAGGACCTTGCGTGCTGTCTGGTGCTGTCTTGAGCGCAATTCGCTTGGTGTTTGCAGCACGCTCCCGCTCAGTGTAGGTCGGCTCGCAAGAGCAGGAAGCGCCTGGCCTTGTATAGACTAGCCAGCAGCGCGCGCTCTGATTGGCTAAAATCGGCATTAGTCGCTGGTTTCGGTCATTTGACGAGTGTAGTACACTACTAGTCGACTCGCAGGATGGGCAGGTACATCTGCGTCGCGCCGCAGTACGTGGACAATAGCAAGAACCTCTCGAGCGCGCAGACGCTGGACCAGAGCGCGACCTTTGACGCGATCACGGCCGTGGCCGCCGGCGACGTCCCGTGCGTGCACAGCCGCGACTTCGTGGCGCAGCAGCTGCTCGCGTTCGCGATCGTCTGGGGCTCGGCCGCGCTCTTCTCGGTGCTCTGGATGATTGCGTCGCGCCGCCAGAACCTCCGCCTCCAGAACGACGAGATCGGCTTCTCGCTCGCGCTGCGGCAGTGGGCGCGCAAGTCGCAAATCGCTGTGCTCATCGTACGCCACTTGCCATGACACTGCGTCTAACCTGCCCTGTAGAGCCGGCCGATCCAGCTCGTCGCTTCCGTTGGCATCTACCTCGTCATGGTCGTGCGCTGCCAGTCGTACACGGTCGAGACGGGCTACTACTACGTTGGTCTATTCCTCTACCTCATCACGTTCCTCGACACGATCGTGCGCTTTTTCGCCGCGAAGCGCAAGCTCGGGTACATGTTTGAGTTTTACACGATCCTCGACCTCCTCGGCCTCGCGTCCTACTGCTGCGTGGGCTTTGCGCCCAACATCAACATTGCCGGCAAGCCGACGCGGACGTGGCTCGACCTCTCGGTCACGCGGTCGCTCTTCATTTTGCGGAGCTACATGGAGATGGAGCGCCACTTTGACAAGTCGGAGAAAGGGCTCATGATGCTGCGCCAAGGCATCAAGTGCTTCCTCCTCCTCACGTTTGCGTCCTCCGTCGTCTTCTTCTTCGAGACGACGGGCGAAATCGGCGTCTTCCTCGAAAATGGCTTTGCGCACCTCTACGCATGCTCGAACGGTAGACCCACCATTCTCTAGCAGCTCACGGGAACGTTGCATTAGGTACCATCAGCAATCAAATATCCGACGACTGCTCGTCCGAGACGTGGTCGATCATGTTTGCTATCTACTATACCGTCGTTGTACGTACACCATCAAGTTGCTCTCTTGATACTAAGGCTGTCGTTAGACGCTGGCGACCGTCGGGTACGGCGACAACTCGCCGCACACGGTCGAGAGCCGCATGCTTGTCATCGTCTTTATCGTCGCCGGCATCGTGCTTTTCTCGATGGAAGTTGAGCACCTCGTGAACCTCTACAAGCTCCGGTCGATCGGCAACCCGCCGTATGCCCCAAAGCCGCGCACGCAGTCGGTTGTCATCATGGGCAACCCGACGTTTCCTCAGGTACCATGGCTTGCTAAGAGACTCGCACGATCGGTCAAGTAGCTCGCTGCGATGCTGCGTGAGCTCTTCCATCCCGACCATTTTCAAGGCGTCTCTGTGCGCCATCTGCACGTACAACGCCCGTCGGGCACCAGTCGCAATACACATACTGTGCGTAGGCCATCGTCCTCGGCGAGCGCAGCAGCTCCAAGTACGTCAAGGGCCTCGTCCAAAAGATCGAGAACGACCCCAAGTTTGCGTCGCGCGTGACGTACGTGGCCGGGGACCCGTCGCGCAACGAAGACCTCGTACGTCTAGCGGGTAGTGCGTGCGCCCGCATTCACACCTTGTGCTGCGTAGGACCGGGCGCGGGTCAAGGAGGCCCTCGCCGCGTTCTTTCTCCCCGACAAGGTGGGCTTGTCTCCTCTTCTTGCTAGGTTTTGTGTGACGCAGACCGTAGCTGGCCAAAGACCCGGTGAAGGAAGATGCCAAAAACATCATGCACATTCTGTCGACCAAGCAATACGCAGGGTGCGAGCATGTTGATGAACATGTCTGCATGCGTCGCTAGGTCGCGCTTCCGGTGCCTTGCGATGGTGCTTAAGTCAGAGAACGTCCGGCACATGATGGCTGCCGGTCTCGACCGCGATGATGTTGTGTGCGAAGACACGATGAAGCTCGGCGTCCTCGCGCAGAGCTGCGTGTGCCCCGGGTTCTCGACCATGATCGCCAACCTCGGGTCCTGTCTCACGCTCGACAAGCGCCCACGCACGTCCAAGACGATCCTCAACAAGCTCCAGCGCGCGCTCGCGGCCAAAACGACGACGCGACCGGTGCTGCAGTCCGACTTTGACCTCGCTGAGACGCTCTACACCGAGCAACTGTACTACGAGGTAGTCGTTTCTAGCATCGTGTCCAGTGCTAAAGACGTGTTTAGGGTGCGTCGCGCGAGTTTTACGTCGTCTCGCTCAGCAAGGTACCTCACCGATGCCGCTGAAACACAAGGAATAACTTTGGTGCGAGTAGAAGTACGCCGATCTTACCTTTGTCCAAGCGGCCCAGAAGATCTTCCGTGACTCCAACGTACGAGCGATCTACTTGACAGATCCATGTACACTCATGGGGCGATAGGGCGCTGTCGTGCTCGTAGCTGTCGAAGTGGTCATCGATGGCGCGCACTACGTGAGTGCGAAAGACGAGTCGCTCATCTCGGGCGTCCGCCTCGTTCTGAACCCGGGCTTTGCCATGGTGCTGCGCGAAGGCAGTCGTGTCTACGTGATTGCTGAAGACGCCGATATGGTCGCCAAGTTTCACATCTCGATGGCCGAACACCTCGGCGACGTTCTTGTCGACGATGCCAACCAGATCCCGAGTCCAATGTCCTCCAAACGCCTGCACGGCCGGTAGAGCTCCGTGGTATTGGGCACATGACCTTAGATGGGTCTAGATCGGACGCACCGTACTCGCCCGACCACGCGGAAGACACGCTGCGCACAACGTACCGTGGTCTCCGGTCGCCCGCTCAGTTTGGAAAAAACAAGTCGGTGCCGGTGCTTGGCGCCAACCCCCGGGTTCGTGCGTTGAGATCGCTTTCCCGCGCACTCATATGATCGATGTAGGTGCTTTTGAGCGGCGAGTCGATCCACGCCGTACGAGACTTGTCGATTCTGTGTCGTGGTAGCGGAGAATGTGCGATAGGACTCGGTGCTCTCGCGTATTGTGACCCATGTCCGCATGCCAAAGGCGGACATTGACCATCGCCTTCGGCACTTGGTCGTCGACGACATTGTGTCCATGTACGGGCACCGCCCACCGCGCATTCTGCAACCGCCGCCGCTCGCGGTGCTGCAAGACCCCAACCACATTGTGATTTGCAGGTGCGAGGAATAGATCGCAAGGACAAGTTGTCTGATGTATGTGCGTAGCTTCCTCGGCGAAGAGTCGCTCGCGTCTCTCCAATGGTTCATCTCGCCGCTGCGCGGGGTGTTTTCGCTGCGGCACCCGCCCATCACGATCCTCGACGCATCGCCCGTCTCGGACGAGTGGGCTGCCGCGATCTCCAAATTCCGAGACGTCGTACGTTCGATCGGGCATTTGCACAACATGGACATGATGTGTCTAGTACTATGTGTGTGGCAGCCCGCTCGTGTACCGGGAGCTGCAGCGCGCAGGCGCCAAGTCGGCGGCGTCGGTCGTCGTCCTCGCCAAGAGCGCCAAGGAGAGCGTGTCGGGTCTAATGGAGACGAGCATGGTCGACGCGGAAGCCATCTTTACGACGATGCTGATCGAGCTCAACATGGACTTCACGCGCATGTTTACGCTCACGGAGCTCACGGACGAGTCCAACTCCAAGTTTCTCAACAAGAAATTTGTGCTCTCGGGCTTCAAGGCGCGCGAATCGACGTCGGTCGCGACACCCGATCGCTTCTGGGACTTTTGGCAGACGGCGCTGAGCACGTCGTCCCAAGTGGCCGGCGCATCGTCCGAGGAGCAGCCGATCTACCGCATGCCCCTCTTCATGTCGGGTCGACTCCTCCACCCGCAGTTTTGCGAGACCGTCCTCGTCCAGGTACTGGATTTACGTCTACGACTCTGATCTGATCTGTCGTCTAGTCGTACTATAGCCAAAACATCCACCGCATCATTCGCCAGCTCATTGGCGGGCCGCGGAGCACGGGTATCGTGACGAGTGTGCCGTTGGCCAAGATGTACCAAGTACGTTCGTCGTCCTTGCTACCATGCGATGGTATCCCGTTGGGTAGAACCAAGGCATGACGTACGGCTCGATCTTCCGGCTCTTTGCAGCGTCCAAGTACCCCGGTATCGTGCTCGGCATCTACCGCAAGACGTCGCAAGAGATGAACGCCGGCACCGCTGTGAAGGAGCTCCCGATCGTCCTCACGACGCCCCGCGCCGACGTCCAAGTATATCGACTAGCGTCCAGTGGGATGTACTGATTGTCGACTAGGTGCTCGAAGGCGACACGTTCTTTGTCCTCTACGGCTGGCATGCGATGGAGAAGGCGTGCGTTAAGATTCAAGTCGCTTTCCGCAAGTGCCGGCGCACGCGCAAAGTCCTCAAGCCCAAGAAGGTCGCGCGTCGGCAGAGTGCGATGCACTGAGACGTCGAGTGTAATATACGCTGGTGTCTTGTAGGTGGATCTAGCATTAGGGTATTCGTGTGTGATTAGGCGTGACCTAGTCAGAGACATGAGAAAAGTTGGTCGAGGATTTCAATCGTACGCTTGGCCTTCTTGTTGCGCTTGGAGGCCGGCATGGCCTTCTTGTTCTTATCTTGGGTCTTGATCGGCGCCTTCTTCTGGTGCGGTTTCCGCTTGAGCTTTTTCGCGGCGAGGACGTCTTCGGGAAGCGACGTCGTGAGCGCCTCGAGCTTGCGCTTCTTGCGCTCCTTCTCCTTCTCTTCGAGCTGCTTCTTGTTGACCGGGCTCAGCAAGATGCGGATGTCGCGGACGATGCCAGGCGTCATCGGGATCAGCGACCCTTCCTTCTCCCACTGCTCGGGCGTCCACGAGACAAAGCGCTCGCAGCCTTGGTCGACGGCGTCCGTGTCGGGCATATCAGTCGGGAGCGAGAAGGTGCACGTCTTGAGGTCCGACGGGCGCACAAACACAAAGGTCTCCGAGTCCCAGATCGGGAACGAGCCCTTCGAGAGCACCTTCTTGTTCGAGTAGCCCGGGTAGAGGCACCGGTCAAAGACGACCGACCCGAGGTGCGAGAGCCCGCAAGCAGCCGCGATCTCGAGGATGCCCCACTGTCCGAACGGCGGCTTGGTCTTGTGCGTCACGTGCACCTCGCCACCGGGCGCGAGCGCGCCGAGGACGACCGAGAAGAAGCCCTTGAGGAGCGCCTTGTTCTCTTCCATCTCGTTGTTTTGGCCATCGGCGCCGTTCTCCATGCGGACGCACGGGAAGTTCCACATGATGCGGTCAAACGTGCCGAGGGCCTTGAGCGCAGCGGCGTTCGTCGCGTCGACTTCGTGCAAGACGCGGGCGCCCGCTTCGTCGAGTGACCGCAAGATGTCGGCGCTGTCCGGGTACGTCTCGAGCACCGTCTCCTTGGATTCGTGCGACGTGGCCGTGAGCTGCGCGCCCGACGCCAAGTACTTGGTCATGGCAAGCGAGAACGAAAAGTTGCCATCGCCGACCGTGAGCACGCTCTTGTCGTCGGTGGCAATCAGCGCGTTGGTCAGCGGCGCCGGCGGCGTCGGCTCGTCGTCAGCCTCGTCGTCCGACGTCTTCTTGGCCGACGGGCTCTGGAAGCGCGGGCAGTGCTCCGGGCGCTGGTTGGGCACAATGTCCTTGCCGCCGTGCACAATGACCTTGTAGCAGCATGGGCGGCAGAGGTCGAGCGCGCACTGGAGCGTGCTGGACTGCACGTACAGGCGGTTGAGCTCGCGTACGGAGGATGGGGCCGCCATGAGAGCTGGAAAGAATTGCCGCTTCGATCCAACAATCGGTGGCGTATCCGGATGCGCCCCCAGCCATTGGGTGGTCATGCCATGTCCGGATACGCTGATAGGCTAAACCCACGCAACAAGTGGACGGCGAAATGAGTCGCTGTGTTGTTCTGTTGGACCGTCATAAACGCTGCAGTTTTCGTGTTGTGTTAGTCCATTTTTGGCGTATTCAGTCGGTGCGTCACTCGTTTTCTCCACTCGCCAAGCCTGTCGCAGCGTTCGTTCCTTGAGCCAAGGCGCCAGTTCCAGTTTATTGGAGCTTGGAATTTGGAGTCGTTTGTCTTTTCTCCAACTAAGTAGATACTTGACGACTACAAGAGCAGCCTAGTGATGAGCTAGTGCCTGGTATCGCGAGCTGCTGCGGTGGCAGGCATCTGTGGCAGGCCACAACCTGGCGATTGTGCGATAGTGAACGTCCCGAACACGGATCGCAATCCGGTTTATTCGATCTCCGCTGCAACCGCTAACTGCTGCGTCAAATTTTGGCCCATCTATTCCACGCGAGCTGTTGTTTGGACGGGCTATGCTTCTTAAGAGGTCGTTATGTTGGGATGTCGAGCTTATTATGGAGCCCACGAGCTAGTGTAGACGTCCGTGGGGCAGGCCAAGTGGCCAAGTGCAACTGCAATACACGGCCACACATTTTGCTTCCCGGTTGCAACCGGTATCCACGTGGCGAGTCGGTGAACGGTTATCCGTTTCACATTCGAAAATTCGTTCGGTTATCGAATTTCGAAAGATTCAGGCCGTGGCGCGATTTTCGTGTCACTTGACGACTGGTTCGGCTTAGTCGACTAAAGTTGGTGCCGGAAGTATATGCACGGATGGACTTTGGATTGAAGTCTCGTTGGCGTAAGGCAAAAGATGCGGCCGCAAGATATAGTACCGCGTTATTCTACCTTATGCGATTGTCACGCGTGTTGACCTGCCATGACGTCGTTTCAATAACCGAACGTCTTCGAGCAATGCGTCTCGTCGGTGTGTCCTGCATGCCGTCTGGCTACACCCGCGGCTCTAACACCCCTAAAACGGGCCTCCGCAAATCGCCAAAAGTCATGCAATCAGCCTCTGTGAACGCGCCTTCCCACACCCTTGCTCTCATGTATCCTTCCGCCGCGCTACTTTAGTGTGTCACTTGGCTGTCGATCGACTAACTAAGCCGCCGAAGGGCAACCTCGCATCCGGATACAGTCCGTTTCGAAACTTGGCCAAAATATCGAAAAACGGGCGCTTGAGATTGGAGGGAGCTGTTGGGCGGCAGCCAATGAGCGGCGAGGGCGGGTGTTTTGGCTCGCGGGGTAGGGCAGATATATACTTTGTCCAAAAGAAAAATGCCGGGGGAGACTGACTCGACGTTTGTATACGAGGTGCCGGCGCACCCGGCGGTCGATTCCATACAAACATCAAGACAAAAGCTACCGAGAAACCGCTCGCGTATTTTAAAATTTTATTCGAATAGTAGGCGAAGCTCGAAGCTCAAGCGTCGCATTCGAGAAGCGAGCCGACGACGGATTTGCCGACGACCACGACGAGCCTGAGCCTCGGAGACGACGACGACGCGATGGAACCACGAGTCTTGGGCGCGCGCCCGTGCGTGAAGCTGGGCTGCCACCTCCTAGAGACGTACCGCCTCATCAATCTCGTACACCAAACGCATGGCAGGCTACGATCTTATTGTGACATTTAGGCGTACTACAAGAAGCAGCGGTCGAAAGAGAAGCTGGTCAAGGGCGCCAAAGACGCCAAGCAGCCACCAGAGGCGCCCACGCTAGGCGACTACTACGTGCCGGCCGAGCACGAGGTGCTCCATGCGCGCTACCGTGTCACGGGCAAGAAAATGGGCAAGGTGCGCTGCCGACTTGGCCGCCCTCGCCGCGCTCATGCACTGCATCCTAGGGTTCCTTTGGCCAAGTGCTCGAAGCCGTCGACATTCAGACCAACAAGCCTGTTGCCATCAAGATCATCAAGAACCGCAAGGCCTTTGAGCGACAAGTGCAATCTGAGATTGATATTCTCGAGTACCTGCACCGCAGCCGGCACGGCCACGACAACCACATTGGTAGAGTCCGTCACGCTCGAGTCACACTCATCGCATCGTAGTACAAATGCTCGACAAGTTTGTTCACAAGGGCCACCACTGCCTCGTCTTTGAGCTCCTCTCATACAATCTCTTTCAGCTGCTGCAGAGCACCAAATACGCTGGCATCGGTCTCAAGCTACTGCGCAAGTTTATGAGGCAGGTGCTTGAGGTATGACTGCATTTGCCCATGCACAACAGCATCTCACAACACATGTCTAGTCGCTGCGGTACCTCGCGGAATCGTCCATCATACACTGCGACCTCAAACCCGAAAACATTGTACTTGTCAACCAAAGCAAGAGCCAAGTGAAGCTCATCGACTTTGGCAGTTCTTGCCGCGTCGGCAAAGAGGTACGAGCGACACAACTGCACACCTCGTACTCATCTGAACCTGCAGATCTTTCAATACCTCCAAAGCCGCTTCTACCGGGCGCCCGAGGTCATCCTTGGTCTCAAGTACACGGCAGCGATCGACATGTGGAGCCTCGGCTGCATTCTCGTCGAGATGCACTCGGGGTCGCCGCTCTTTGACGGCGCCAACGTCATGGACCAGCTGCACAAGATTGTGCACGTGCTCGGCATGGTGCCCGCGCCCATCATAGACCAGCTCCATGTGCTCCAACGCAACAAGTATTTCGAGCGCACATCGACCGGGTATGCGCTCAAGCCAACGTCCGAAGCCGAGCCGCCACCGGCGGTCCGTCGCACCCTCTACGACATTGCTACATGCAACGGCCGGCGGTTTGGCGAGAAGGGCCACAGTCTCGACGAGTACGCTGCGTTCACCGACCTTGTCACCAAGATGCTCGAATACGAGTACGTCCTCCTGCCTCTAAGAACGCGTCCGACGTATCCTCTCGTAATAGCCCACGCAAGAGGATAACGCCGTCTGAAGCGCTCCAGCATCCGTTCTTTCACGAAGATGCGAGCAATACACCGCGACCAGTACGTCATCGCTACGCCCTGCGGCGCCATGCTAACGTCTTGAGCGTAGAAGGACAAGAAGCGCAGCACCAAAGGCCAGTGCAGTGCGAGCGCATTAATACCTAGTGACGACGTCGAGTGCGCCCATCGGGCCAAGCAGCGCAAGCTGCTCGCGCCCGACGCATGACGTGCCGTAGAAGCCGTAGCCGTATTTATCAAGTCCAAGCGTTGGTCCTGTACAGAGTCTGTTCTGCTTGTCGCTAGCAGTCAAGAGGATCGCGACGGGTGGTGGAGAACGGAGTCTCTTCTATTAACGACGGGATTTGGGTGTCATCAGTAGCAAACTGCGCGTTTAGGCCTCGACGCGGCTCTTGAGGTAGTTCAAGAGGACGTTGAGGGCGTGGGTCTCCTCACCGAAGTCGGTGATGACGGCGCACGACGTCGAGACGACCTTGCGGGCCTCACCGTTGTCGTCGATCTTGCAGAGACCGCACCACTCGCCGAGCTGCTTGCCCGAGGGAACGATGATGAGGTTCACGCCGTGCTCCTCGCAGAGCGCGCGGACGAGCTTCTGGTACGAGGGCTCGTCGCAGTCCTGGGCGAGGCAGCAGAGGCGGGCACGGCGCGAGTCGAGGGCCTTGGCCGCTTCGTGGAGGCCGCGCTTGAGGCCGTCGTGGACGAGGGCCTTCTTCAGGACTTCCTGGAGGGCTTCCATCTCGCCCAACTCCACAACTTGGTTCACTTCCTCGGCCGACATTTTGTACGTTAATAAACCAGCGTCCTCAAAAGTAAATCGCTAATGCTCGATTGCTCCGAAACCATTCATCGCCCTCCGCGCCTTAAACACCAACCGATTTTCATCCGCATACGGTATCCGGATATCCACTCGGCAGAGAGCCCCAAGATGGACCCCTCGCCGGAGGCAGGAGCAGGGTGCTGGCGAGGAGGCAATGCAGAGAACGAAGGAAGACAATGGTATATTGCTAGGTGAGGTTTACGCCTTGCCGAGCACGAGCGCGAGGATCGCCATGCGCACGTACATGCCGTACTCCATCTGGCGAAAGTAGGCCGCGCGAGGGTCGGCGTCGACTTCGACCGCGATCTCGTTGACGCGCGGCAACGGGTGCATGAGGATCATCGTCGCCTTGGCCTAGAGCTATCATGATGCATCGCGATCGAGGAGCGTCTCTACCTTGGTGAGCGTCGCGGGCGTGATGATAAAGCTGTCCTTGACAGCGTCGTACTCGGCGGCCGTCTCGAAGCGCTCCTTCTGGACGCGCGTGATGTACAAGACGTCGCTGGCCGCGAGGACCGAGTCCAAGTCGGCGGTCTCGTGCTGCTTGACGCCGACAGCGTTGAGCTCGTCGACGATGTAGCGGGGCATCTTGAGCGACTCTACGCCATGCTGGGATGAGGAGATGGCGAAGCATGGAAGTCGTACCAGGCGAGACATAGTTGAGCGTGACGTTGAAGTGCGCAAGGAGCTTCGCGAGCGAGTGCACCGTGCGGCCGTTCTTGAGGTCGCCCACCATCGTGATGACTTTGCCCGTCAAGTTCATCTCCGAGAGCTTGGCCTCCTTGTAGATCGTGTAGAGGTCCAAGAGGGCTTGCGTCGGGTGCTCGCCGACACCGTCGCCTGTTCAGATAGTGATGCGTCTTGCACAGGATATGCAAGGTAGTACCGGCGTTGAGCACAGGCTTGCGGCTCGCCGCCGCCGCGGTCGCAGCCGCACCCTTGACGGGATGGCGCAACACGGTCACATCCGCATAGCACTCGAGGCAGCGCATCGTGTCCGAGAGGGTCTCGCCCTTTTGGCTGCTCGACGAGCTCTCGTTCACGCAGACGACCGCGCCGCCCAAGCGCAGCATAGCAGCCTGGAACGAGCAGCTCGTGCGCGTCGACGGCTCAAAGAAGACGTTGGCCATAACCTATTCCCAATGACGTCGGTCATCTCGCAGGCTGAATAGCATTCGTTGGCGAACCTTGCCCTTGAGCGTATCGTCGCCGCCTTGGCGGGCCACCATGTCCTTCATGTGGTCCGCAACCTGAAAGAGGTATCTGCATGCGCCATGAGACATCCAAGCGCCACCACCATGATCCATGATGCGTACCGGACGTTCGCCGCATGAAGCTGCTCCGTCGAAAGCACACCCTTCCCGCTCCACGAGCCAATCGTCGTCCCAAGCTTCTCCATGTTGCCAGCCCCAATAATGATCCAAAATGAGCCGCTGGATCACGTATACGCTTTTGAACCACCGCGTCTAAACGCACGCATCCTTAGACACGATCCCACGCTCTGTCGCCACAGCGTATGCACCAAAGCTTCCAGCGCCGACACCACCACCTGCTCCAGCTCCCTCGTCTGCGCAGGGTGCGCTCAATGCATCACCGCGCATCGATCGCACGTTGCTTGCAGTCGCTCCATCACGGCCGCACGTTCGGCCGTGTGCCTGTGTCAAGTTGGGTGTTTCTACCTGCCCTGATCACCGCTGTTTGGTAGAACCTCTATGAATGGATATACAACAAGCATGCGTTTCTACGGGTGGGTTGATGTCAAGGATTCGAGCCTACTGAATCGCAGTGTGCGCGACGGGCGCCAGGCGCTCGACTGATTTTTATCCCCGCGTGCGCAGTTGCGTTTTTTTATTCCAATGGAGCATACAAAACGCAGGTCATAAAATAAAATGGAAGCCAATCGCGGTCATAAAAATAAAATGCGACCGGCGTATCTGGTTGTCTTCTTCGTCAGTATCTGAAGGGAGGCCAAGCAGCAGCAGCAGCAGCAGCATGGACCAGCTCATCCCGATCATCAACAAGCTCCAGGACGTCTTCTCGGCGATCGGGCAGTCGCCCATCAACCTGCCGCAGATCGTCGTCGTCGGCAGCCAGTCGAGCGGCAAGAGCTCTGTGCTCGAGAACATCGTCGGGAAGGACTTCCTACCCCGCGGGTCGGGCATTGTGACCCGGCGCCCGCTCGTGCTGCAGCTCTACAACATTCCGGCGGGCGACGACAAGGAGAAGGAGGAGTGGGGCGAGTTCAACCACCTCCCGAACCAGAAGATTTACGACTTTGCCAAGCTGCGCGAAGAAATCGACAAGGAGACCGACCGCATGACGGGCAAGAACAAGGGCATCTCCAACAAGCCCATTACGCTCAAGATCTTCTCGCCATATGTGCTCAACTTGACGCTGGTCGACTTGCCCGGCATCACCAAGGTACGTGGACGGCGGCGAGGCGAAGGCGAATGACGTTGGATTTTGTAGGTGCCTGTCGGCGACCAGCCCGCCAACATTGAAGAGCAGATCCGGGACATGTGCACCGAGTTCATCTCGAACCCCAACTCGATCATTCTGGCCGTGACGGCGGCCAACACGGACTTGGCCAACAGCGACTCGCTCAAGATGGCGCGGGCGATCGACCCGGACGGGCTCCGCACGATCGGCGTCCTCACCAAGCTCGACTTGATGGACAACGGCACGGACGCGATGGAGATGCTGCAAGGCCGCGTCATTCCGCTCAAGAAAGGGTACGTTCATGCTCGCTTCTAGCGTCTCCCATGTGCTCATGTCGTCCTATTAGATATGTGGGCGTCGTGAACCGCAGCCAGGCCGACATCAACAACAACGTGGGCATTCGCGACAGCGTCGCCAAGGAGACGGTCTTCTTCAAGAACCATGCGTCGTACCGCGCGATCGCGAGCCGCATGGGCACGCAGTTCCTCTCCAAGTCGCTCAACACGATCCTCATGCACCACATCCGCGACTGCCTGCCAGAGATCAAGTCGCGCATCTCGGCGATGCTGTCCGAGCTCGACCTGGAGATGGACGGCATGGGCAACCCGACCGAAAGCATGAGCAAGACGGCGCTCGGCGCGACGCTCCTCCAGCTCATCTCGCACTTTTCATCGTCGTTCATCAACTCGCTCGACGGCCGCCACACGCAGGCGAACGACATGGCCGAGCTCTACGGCGGCGCGCGCATCTCGTACATCTTTAACGAAGTGTTTTCCAAGAGCCTCCAGGCGGTCGACCCGTTCGACCAGCTCAGCGACGCCGACATCCGCACGACGATCCGCAACGCCAACGGCCCGCGCCAGTCGCTCTTTGTGCCCGAGATTTCGTTCGAGCTCCTCGCCAAGCGCCAGATTGCGCGCCTCGAGGCGCCCGGTCTCCAGTGCGTCGACCTCGTCTTTGACGAGCTCCAACGCGTCACGTCGCAGTGCGAGACGGTCGAGCTCACGCGCTTTGCCGACTTGCGTGACCGCGTCGTCGAGGTTGTGAACGGCCTCCTCCGCGGCTGCTTGAGCCCGACGCAGACGATGATCTCGAACCTCATCAAGACGGAGCTCTCGTACATCAACACAAACCATCCCGACTTTATCGGCGGGTCGCGGGCCGTTGCGCAACTCATGGACAAGCTGCAGCAAGATGGTGCGTCGCCGCCGCCCCAGGCCGAAGGCAAGCGCCTCTCGAACGCGACGCGCCCACCCCCGGCCGCGCCGCAGGCCGAAGAGAAGGAGAACTCGGGACTGCTCTCGTTCTTCAACGGCAAGAAGAGCCAGGACGCGCGGTCGTCGCCCGCCTCGAGCAACGGCGGTGTCGTCAAGCTGCCCCAAGTGCCCACGACGATGCGCCAGGCCGAGGTCCCGACCGACCGCGAGCGCATTGAGACCGAGATCATCAAGTCGCTCCTCGCCTCGTACTTTGACATAGTGCGCAAGAATTTCCTTGACCTCGTGCCCAAGATCATCATGTGCTTCATGGTCAACTTTGCGAAGGACCAGGTGCAGAACCAGCTCGTCTCGAGCCTCTACAAGGAGGAGCGCCTCGTCGAGCTCCTCCGCGAGTCCGGCGACATTGCCTCGCGCCGCTCCAACTGCTACGAGATGCGCACGCTTCTCTCCAAGGCGCTCGAGATCGTCAACGAAGTGCGCGACTTCAACACGTTCAAGTAGTCGTCCGTTATCGTAATACAAGCACCTGCTGTCTCTTATGCACTTGTCGCGACGAGGAGGTCGGCGTATCCCTGCGATGGCGCGTGCCGGCGCAAGCTGGCGAGAACCGGCGACACGCGGGGTGCGCTCTGCAACCGCAGAAGCCCCGCGACGGCCGACCGCCGCACCGGCCAGTCGTCGAGCATGGCGAGCTTGGCAAGGCGTAGGACCACGCTACCGCACATGGCCGCGCAGCTCGGATCCAAGAGCACGGGGGTCGTTGTGAGGAAATGGATGGCAATGCATTTGGTGTACTGCATCGCCTGCGTCGACCGGTCGTTCTCAGCGTGGCTTTGGTGCAAGTCGAGCACGGCGAGCGGGCTGCCAAAGACGGCCGGCCGGAAACACTTGTCGCTCGAGACGTAAATGTGCCAGAGCGCCTGGAAGACGTCGCCGTGCCAATGGCTTGGCGAATGCTCGTACCAATGCTGGAGAACGCTGGCGGCATACCCGAGCAGCGTCGGGTCGACGTCGACGAGCGTTGCACGTGCCAAGAGCGCGCGCACGATGGCTTCGCGCTCGAGGTGCGACACCGCGCTCGGTGGCAGCGACAGCAGCTGCGGCACGAGCTCGGGCCAGCCACTGGTCGTCGCCAGATGGGCTTGCGACGCTGTCCGGGACGGCGCCCGCCGCGGCAGTAGCCACACGAGCGCGACGAGGCTCTCCTGCAGCACGCACGGTGCAAATGACGTTGTCGCGTCAGCGATGTTCCAAATGGCCTCTGTGATTTTGCTGAGAAAATCCAAGTGGTGCGCTGAAAACGAGATGAGCGCGAGGTCAAAGGCCGACGCGACCGCCGTCACGGCCCGGCACACGCGGTGCAGCACGAGAGGACTCTGCCCGTGGGTCGTGAGCACGAGCTGGATGCCATTGGCCGCAATCTCGAACGGGCTCAAGCCACCGCGGACCTTCTCAAAGCACTTGGGCGCGACTTGGCCGCGCGTCATTTCTTCGATCGCTGTGAGGAGCACGGTGCACGGCGCTAGCGTTGGCGGGCCGCCGGCGGTCGGGGCGGAAGCGAGCACGAACGTGTGCTTTTGCATGCACACGTCGAGGAGGAGGTCAGCGACGCGCGTTGAAATGTGCTGCTCAATCACGGGGCCGCTGACGCTCTTGGGTGCGGCCGGCGCCTAGTTAGTCGTTCGTCGTTAGTAGCGTCGCGTGCGAGCATTCTGGAGCCCACGTCAAAGTTCATGTCGAGGAGGTTGGCGGCCACGGCGCTGGCCTCGCGGTTGCCCACGGGCAGTCGCGCGATCTTGCCGCAGAGCTTGAGAAGGTAGCAGGTCGTGATTGCGTCGGGTGTGTTGATCGAAACGGATCCTGTCCCGACGTGCGCCATGAGTGCGTCGACCACCTGCAGTGGCTTGGTGTCGAAGAGCGCAAGACACGTGGCTGCGGCGTGTCGGCTCGGAATGAACGCGCCTGCGATGAGCTGTGGAAGGAGTGGGTCGAGGATCTGCGGCGCCGTCTCACGGAGCGACCGAGCGACCTGCAAGGACGCATCGAGGAGCGCGACTTGGGTCGGAAGGTCTTTGTCCGTCTTCTTCTTGGCGCTCGTGAGCTTGAGCATCGTCCATGCGCTAGATGACGCGATGCCCGATACGAGACTGTAGCAGCGCTCGGGCTGGCGCAGCGTCGCGCAGAGGACTGTGTAGAGCTTATACGCCGATACCCGCCGTGGCGGAAACGGGTGGTTGATCTCATTCTTGGCGACAACGTCCAAGAGCGACGCGAGCTGGACGAGGATCGCGCCCGTGTTGTCGCCGCGGGGCGTCGACCGGCTTGCAGCGGAGGGGTCGTGGGCGGCGAGGCCTACCAAGAACATGTCAACAGCGAAGGATCGAAACGAGTGTGCCGTACGCTGGGCAAACTGGACTTGCTGCGCAATGTGCTGCAAGAGAACGTGTACAATGCGCACGAGCTTCTGGTCCTCCTTCTTGTCCTTGATGTTGACGAGCAGCGTCGAGAGGTCGCGGAGCACCGAGTCGTGGACGTACGCGCTCGAGCCGTCGGCGTCGGCGACGACCGAGACGTAGAAGAACGTGAGCTCATGGAGGAGAGCCGCAGTGCGCTTGGACGTGTAGTCCTTGGCGGCGACGCACTTGGTGAGGTCGTTGAGCACCTGCTGCTCGGACCGGCACTTGAGCTGGAGGTGGCTGTTCATCCGACAAAATGCGATCTTCTTCGCCTCAAGCGTCGTATCAGAAATAGTGTGAGCGATCGCAAAATGCACTTCAACATGCAGCACGACGAGGACCGAGTTCTCTCGTTTCAAGGGTGCAAATGAGTAGTGTGATCTGTACGTGGCGCGACCAGAGCACAGCACGCTGGCGCTGGCTCTGAAGACAGGTGCCTTGGCTGGGCGAACCATCGTCGCCTACCGAGCCAACAGCGACGATGTACAGTGATGGAGCTTCAAGTTACGAACTGCCACGAATCCTCCAGCACCGGCGCGTCCTGTCCGTGGCACGAGCACGGCCGCCACCTTTGTGGCAAGCTCGACAGCCACCCTAGCACCAGCCAACGCTTTCGCCACGAGCAACGCCGAAGGCGGGACCATGCAGACGCCACGTCGGCCATCGACCCAACGCGATGGCCCCAAGCAGTCGGCGCAGGACTTGCGCTGGCACCGACCGGATGCGCTTGCACGGAAATAGTGTGCGGCCATGTGCTGTCCGGTAAAATTTCAGAGCAGCGAGAGTAATTCCGAGACGGCGATGCAGCAAGCGCCGATGATGGACAGCTGCTTCGACGTCCTCGCCAAGGTCGGCGATGGCGCCTTCGGCGAAGTCTACAAGGGCATCGACCGCCGGACCAACGAGATATGCGCCATCAAGATCATCGACCTCGAGGCGGCGGAGGACGAGATCGACGACATCCAGAAGGTCCGCGCACATCGCGTGGTCGCCGCTGAGCCTTCGCACATAGGAGATTGCCGTGCTCTCGCAGTGCGCATGTCCGCAGCTGACCAAGTACAATGGCTCCTTCATCGTGGGCACGAAGCTCTGGATCATCATGGAGTACCTCGCGGGCGGCTCCGTCTTGGACCTCATGTCGCCCGGGTACGCGACGCAACCTCCTTCTCCATGGCTCATGCGCTGTAGGCCACTCAACGAAGTCTACATTGCCATCATTTTGCACGAACTGCTCAAGGTACTACGAGGGCCTTCAACCACATGGAAGCGAACGTGTGTAGGGCCTTGTGTATTTGCACTCGGAGAAGAAGATCCATCGCGACGTCAAGGCCGCTAACATCTTGCTCGCAGGCGATGGCCGCGTCAAGCTCGCCGACTTTGGCGTCACGGGGCAGCTCACGGACACGATGACAAAGCGGTACGACCCATGCCCGCACCTTGCCTTGGTCATCCATGCCATTAGAAACACCGTGGTGGGCACGCCGTTCTGGATGGCGCCCGAAGTCATCCAGCAATCCAAGTCCGAGACCTTGTCTTATCGGCGTCTCTCAACACGCTGTTTGTGTAGCTACGACTCCAAGGCAGACATTTGGTCGGTCGGTATCACCGCCATCGAGATGGCCAAGGGCGAACCACCCCACTCGTCGTACGCCGTCTCCACTTTGAGACTTGGATGTCTTATGCAGGACTAGGCTGCATCCGATGAAGGTGCTCTTTGTGATCCCAAAGGACCCTCCGCCGACGCTCGATGGCGACTTTTCGCCCAAGTTGAAGGACTTTGTCTCGGCGTGCCTCAAGAAGGACGCGGCCGAGCGACCGACGGCTCTCGAGTTGCTCAAGCACCCGTTCCTGACCTCACGCGTGGCCAAGGACGTGTCGTCGCTCACCGAGCTCATCGAAGTACGTACGCCGACGACGTCAGCAACCATGCTGACGCGCGATAGCGCGCCCAAATCCAAGTCCACGCACCCATCGACGAGTCGAACCGAAGCTTCTCGAGCGTCACGAGCTCGTCGGCGAAAGAGTCGCATCTCGACTTTGACGACGGCTGGGACTTTGGCGCGACCGTGCGCCTCAACAAGGACGCCCTCTCGCCCAAGCCGCAGACGTCCAAAGCGTACGCCCCACATTTGTCATTCGAGAGATGAGACGTGGTATGTCTAGTGTCTTTCAGACAGCAGGCTTGGCCGCGTCCATGCTCAGCGACGACGACCTCGGCGAGGTCCTCTTCGAAGATGTGCTCAAGCCCGCTGTGTTTGAGGTACGTGGGTGCTCGCACAGAAGAACGAGTCAGACTCTGGCATGCGTAGACCGTCGAAGACACGGACGACGAAGAGACACAGGACGTGCTCCTCGAGCTTCTGCACTCGCTCGAGTCGCTCAGCGTCGACCAACCGCGGTTCATGGGCAGCGTCCTGCGCAGAATATCGCGCGGCCTCCAGTCGCACGCCGACCCGCGCGTCCGAGCCTTCCACGCGTAATAAGATCTTGTCTGTGATCCGAAAGACCAAGTTGTCACAACCCAACCGCAGTCCAAGCTCGAAAAAGATAAAATAGCCGTGCGTTGTTGATCGCTGTAGTTGGGTAATCTATTTCCACGTCCCCCGCTTGGGCGGCGTCGTGGCCGAGCTGCTCCGGCGGGGCAGACTCGCAGTTGAGCTCACACTCGTGAGGCTGGTGCGGCTCACGGTCGAAGCGGAGCTCGTGCTGGATCGGCGCTGGATGCCAGGCTCCTCCTTGCGCGCCACCTTGGCCGATCGACTCCTACGCGAAGCCCATCAGATATGGCTGCAAAAAGTACACGGCCAACGTACGTGGTGAGGGGCGTGCGCATCGACGGACTCGACGTCATCGAGGTTCGCGTCGGCGTCGTGGCGAGCGACGGGACGGTCGGACGCTTGCGCTTGGCCGCTTCGTCTTGCGGCAGCGTCACGCGGCGGTTCGCAGCCGCCTTCTTGGCGGCCTGGATCGCTCGCATGGCGAGGGATGCAATGCTGCCACGATCCGACTCGGTTTCCGTGCCTGACGAAGACGTCGTTTGACTACCGGTTCGACTCCGAAGAGTCGTACGTTTGAGTGGTTCGACGGGGCTGCTGCCAGCGCTCTTGGACTTTGGCTTGATTGGCGTCGAGTCCTTGTCCAGCGAGAGGCGCGGAATGAGCTTCATCGTGGTTCGGCGGCGCGCTTCGTTGAGGTTTTGTCGGAGCTTGGCAATCTCTTGCTCGCGTGCCTGCAGCTGCTTGGCAAGCGACTCTTGGTGTGCCATCGTGACGGTCGACTTGGACTGCCACTGGCGGCGCTGGCGCTGTTCCTGGTCGGCGTGGCTGCCTTCCTGCTGCCGCGCCTCCCGCTCTTGCTTCCACTTCTCGGCCATCGCCGCGTTTGACGACTTGAGCGACGACATGGAGCCCTTGAGGTCTTCGAGCGCCTTGGTGCGCGACTCGACGAGCGTCGTGATCTTGTCGAGCTGGTGCTTGTGCTCCCGTTTCTACGCAGTAGCTGTGAGCGTACTAGCAAGTACCCATACGCGTACCATCGTAGCGATCGCCTGGTTGGCCTGCATGATCTTGGTATTAGATACCGAGAGCTGCTGCTTGAGGCTCTTGATTTCCGTAAAGGCTTGCTTGCCCGAGATGAGACTCTTCGAGTTCTTGGGCTTGAGGCCCTGGATATCAACGCGGCGCACGCGCTCGGCAAACTGCATCGAGCGGTACGTTTCGCTGGCCGTCGAGAAGCCCGGCGCCACGTTGAGGATCATGACTGTCTTGCTCTGCCCGCCGCCGAGCACGTCTTGGAGCGCGTACGTGAGCTTCGAGTTGCGGTACGGCACGTGCGAGCTCTTGCGATCGAGGGCCTCCATGACATCGCCGAGCGCCGACAGCGACTTGTTGATCGCCGCCGTCTCCTTGAGGGCGTCGCCGTCGACACCGCTGACCTTGACGCGCTCCGAGCCCGCGAGATCGACGAGGTACAGCGTGCCGCGGAGCCCCGTCGTCGACTTGACGTTGAGGACAACGACGCAGTGCGACCGACTCGAGCGATCGTGGACGTTGGTGCGGCTCGTCGCGCGGTGTTTCTGCGCCTGCGCGAGGAGTGCGAGCGCATGCGTCGGCGAGTACGACGTCGGCATCGTGAGCTGCGGGAGGCAGACTTCGCCCGTGTCGCCGTCCGTGTGGATCTGCAAATGCGGGTTGTCGGGCTCGAGGAGGTCCCGGAGGTTTTCGTTGTAGATCTCAAAGACGCCGATGTTGACTTGGTACATCGTCTCGTGGTTGGATGGCGGCGACGTGAACGTCGATTCGGCCGCGTTGTCGGCGACAACGACGCCACGCAGCGAGAGCGCGTCGTAGAGGTGCGCGAGAAGGCGCTGGTTGAGACCCGGGTTGTCGGGCGTGCCCTCCATCGTGTACGTCTTGCCCGAGCCCGTCTACAGGGACACGTGCACGTTACGACCCGAGCCTTTGGCACGAACGATCATGTCGCAATGTACCTGGCCGTAGGCAAAAATGCAGGCCTTGAAGCCGTCGACAACCGCCTGCGCGACAGGCTCGACCTCGCGGAACACATCCATCTGCGAGTCGTGCTGGCCAAGGACGCGGTCAAACGTAAACATCTTCCACGGCGCCGCATTGACCTGCGAGTGGTCGTCAAAGACGCTCTCGGTCTTGAGCTCGAGCGCGGCGACGTCCGTGATGCTGAGCACATCGACCGCAAGCGGGACCGTGTGGCTCACGCGCGGGTCGCGGCTCAGGAGCGGGCGCACGCGGCAAAACACTTGGATGTTGCCCGTGAGGTTCTGCAGCCGCGAGAGAAGCGCGGCGTTGCGGCGGCGCTCGAGCACATACTTTTGCGCAATCTCGCCTTCGACTAGAGCCGATCCCACTCGTGAGACATGAACAAGATACCGAAGAAGAAGCGTACTCTGCTGCGACGGCGACGCCATCGCGTTGGCGTGGCGCGACTTTTCCAGATCGCGCTGCACGCCTTCGTACTTGTCCATGAGCTCGTCAAACTGCGTCTGGAGGCTCTCGAAGGACGTCTTGGACGACTCGAGCTCTTGCACAAGCATGCTCTGGCGCGTGCGCTCCGTGTCGAGCTTGGTCGAGAGCTGGTCGTTGAGCTCCTTGATGCGTGCACACTCGACTTGCAGCTCGTTCATCGAGCGCTCGAGCGCCACGTAGTTGGCGTGGTCGTCCTGGAACGACTGAAGCGTCTGCAGCTGCGATTGGGCTAGGGCGAACTCTTCCTTGGTGGACACCAAGGTGGCTTCCATCGTCGCGAGCTCCCCTTGCAAGCGCTCGACCTAAGGAGTGGGATGGGACATGTCTTGGCAACGGAAGGGGATGGGCATACCTCGCTTTCGGTCTGCTTGATCACGAGCGCCTTCTCGATGAGCTCGTCCGACATCTCGCTGATCTCGGTCTCCATCGCCTGGATGTGCGCTTCGTTGTCGCGGAGTTCCACGAGCTCTTCTTCGAGCTCCATTCTCCGATCTTCTTCTTCTTGGAGGCGCCGTGCGAGCTCCTCCATTTCTTCTTCCAGGATGACGATCTGCCGCTCGGATTCCTCCGCGTCGCGGTCGGCCGACGAAATGTGGCGCAGCGGCGCGTCCGACTCGGGCGACAAGAGCATGTCTTCGTCGTCGTCCTCGTCGTCGTCCTCGTTGCGGAGGTCCTCATGCTCTTCGAGGTCCTCGTCGTCGTCGTTGTTGTTGGTGTCAAAATCGGCGCGCTCGTCGAGGTCGTCCATGTTGTCGCTCTCAAACGACGACGACGGCGACGTCGGGAGCAGCGGCGACGATGGCATGTGCACACTGCTCTCGCCGGCCTTTTGGTGCAGCTGCAACGCAAAGAGCTCGGACTTGAGGTCGAGGATCTCAGTCCGGAACCGCTCGGTCGTCAGCTCGTGCTCTTTCTCGATCTCGTCATAGTCGTTCTGGAGAAAGACCTTGTCTTCAAGCGCGCGCTCGAGCTGGTGCTTGAGGTCGGCCGTCGAGGCTTCGAGAATCCGGACTTGGGTCGTAAGGCGATCCATGTCGGTCTCCCACGCCATCTTCTCGGTCGCGAGCGTCGTTGCCTGCTCCTTGTACTTGTCGAGCTCGGTCTGGACGCACGCAGCGTCCTGGTAGCTAATGACGAGCTTCTCCTTCGTATCGGTAAGTTCTTGCTCGAGGCGCTCGGCCGAGAAGCGCCACTTGTTGGCGGCCTCTTCGGCGTCATCGAGGGCCTTCTCGAGCTCGGCCTCGATCTGCGCGCTGGCCTGGACGAGCTGGTCGTAGTCGTCCGTCTTGAGGAAGAGGTCGTCCTTGGCGCTCTCGAGCTCCCGGCGCAGGGCCGCGATGGTCTCATGGTCGTCCATCGACATGCTGCTATGGGGTGGTGTCAAGCCTCGGGCACGCTGAACACTGGCGTGTCCAGCTGCGAAGTGTGAAATTCGGTTGCACCATCCGAATCCTGCTGAAAAGTCCGAATTCACACCCGCTTATCGCCTGAAATTAGGACGCGAGAACGCGCAAAGATACGTGGGGGCAGGCGCAGACATGCCTAATTCGATCCATCAACCTTTTTCGGCCGTGTGTGCTCAGACGACTGACGACCCTCGGCGGATTGGATGGCCTCCACGGCGCGCCCAAGTGCAACTTGAAGTAGGACGGAGCAGGCTCGGCAGCTACTCCTTCGTCTCTGGTTGACCGACCGTGATAGCCGCTTCTGCGGGCGAAACCGAGCCAGCGCGTACCGTGTACTAGGATCGTGGCGCGCCGCGATCGACGGAATCGGCCGGCCGCGACCGGGGCAAGGGGCGTCGCCCGCGCCCCTACGCGTCCATTGGTATCGCGACTCACACTACAGAAGCACTGGATCGATCTCGCCAGAGCGACCGACTCACGCTTGCGCTGAGTGCGGTACTCGCTGAGCTCGTGGACCTACATTCTGCGGCCAAGTTGATACCAAAGCAGGTGGGATACCGGCTGCGATGCCGGGAGGCCGAGGCGCAAGGTACACGAGCTCAGGCTCACGAGCTCATACACCGGAAGCGGCGCTTGAAGAAGGGGCCGTAGCGACAGGGTGGGCCGCAGCCATGAGGCCAGTCTTGGCGACGGTGACGACTGTGCGACTCGCACCAATCAGGTGTAATGGCATCGAACGTTCTGACTCGGTCGCGCCAAAGCTTGAAGGGCGTGGTGTGGTTGAAGACAGCGCGCCCTGCTCCTGCGAAAAGATACTGGTTGATGGATTCACGACGATGATCGGGATCGATTTCGGTTCTTTCGGCGCCGAGGACAAGCTGCGCGAGGAAGCTGCGTGAGGACAGAGGAGATAGCGTCGACGCATCGACATTGACGAAGTGACGTCGATCGGCAAGCTACTCGTCGGGCTTTTCGAGAACGTCAAGAGTAAAAACAGCGTACTACGAGCAACGTACTGGCTGCAACCCCGAGGTTCTGCGAGGAGTTGAACCAGCACGCACGTGCTTGGGCATTCGACCAGCGACATTCGACTTGGGTGCGGAACAACACGCTTGCTACTTGGCACGCTACACACAGTAGCCGTCCTCGCTACGCAGGAATGGGGCGCGGTCGCGGTGGCTGGGCGATGTTGGTCCAGTCAGCGTGGCACCATCTCTCGGTTCACTTGAGTCGCAGATTTGCCACGATGCATGATATTCAGCGAGGATCGACCTAAGGACGCATTTAGAAGACTAGGAACTCAGCGCAGCGACGTCGTGTTGGGCACCAGAATGGCCAGAACGCCTCGGTCAGGGGAGAGTGTAGTTGATTTTCCCTGGTTCCGGTGGTCCAACGTGGGCGAAGGCGTGGCTTCTTGTTGTACTATCGGAGGCAGTGCGACGTTGCAGATTCGATTCTTCCATGGTCACGGTTCTCTGGTGCGCGGCTGCATCACTCTAGCAAGTGCTTCACGCTACGGTCCACGCCATGGCCTGGTCGCTTGGTCCATTTCGCAGATCATGCCATTATAGCTGGTGGTGTTGATCCTCGATGGCCTGTCGTCCATCTGGCGTCAAGAAGGGCGTAACGTGTATCAATGAATATTCTGTTAACGTTACCTCGAGACTACGCACGTAGCTCCTGCACAGCTCACTGCTTGTAGGAGCGCGCTCCTGCATAGCCCAAACATGAGGAGCGCTGCTGTAGGTGGTCGAGGCAAGCCGCTTGTTCTTGCGTCGTCGCCCATGCTACCCGACGACGACGTGGCTTCAACGGACCTTGCCCGACTTTCCCGTTGACCGAGTTTGGCTTCGAACTTCGACTTGGACACTTGTCGTTTGTATGTAGCGGCGACCATCGAAGTTGGAAGAAATTGGACCAACTTCAAGGTTTAGACTTCTTCGGTGGCGGCTTCATGGGCGAGACCGAGAACGGGGTTGTTTGGAGTCGACCACGAAGCGCGACCGAAGCGAACGCGTACGCATGGACCCGCGGAGTCACGTCCGGGGACATGGTGCGACTGGACGACGGAAGCGTGCTTCCGCTGCTCCAGCTCGAGCGGGACATGGACGTTTGCCGCGGGAACGCATCGTCGTCGGTCGACCTCGAGGACCTCGGCATGCTCACGCACTTGAACGAGCCGTCGATGGTGCACTGTCTCGAGGAGCGCTTCATGGTCGACAAGGTCTACTGCCACACGGGCGAGATGCTGCTGGCGGTGAACCCGTTCAAGACGATTCCGCGCCTCTACGATGTGGACGCGTACCGTGCGACGCTCCACGCGAGCATGCACAAGGTGCCGCATGTCTTCACGACCGCCCACGACACCTACCAGGCGCTGCATACGACGAACCCGGCGACGAACACGCACATGAACCAGACCGTCTTGGTAAGCGGCGAGAGCGGGTCTGGGAAGACCGAGTCGACCAAGTTCATCATGCAGTACCTCGCGGTCGTGAGCAAGGTCGACGCCAGTAGCAGTCACAACAGCATTGCCGATCAGGTCTTGCAGTCCAACCCGATATTGGAGTCGTTTGGGAACGCGCGGACGCTGCGCAACGACAACTCGAGCCGGTTTGGCAAGTTTGTCAAGATCTGGTTCGCACCACAGAAGCACGACACGCTGCGCCTCATTGGCACCACGATCGAGACGTACTTGCTCGAGAAGGTCCGCTTGGTGCACCAGGCCCACGGCGAGCGCAACTTTCACATCTTTTACGAGCTCCTCGCCGCGGCAGCTGCCAATCCGTACGTGGCACCGTCAACCTTCCCGTGTCTATCGTGCTCGTATGTAGGCTGCTGCGCGCGAGCCTGCACTTGGAAGCGCCGGTTACGGCCTATGCGTACCTCGGCGGCAGCGGCTGCTACGTGCGCCAGGACAACGTGCGCGACGAGGACGAGTTTCAAAAGACCATGCGCGCCATGGCGATCGTGGGCTTTGAAGAGCACGAGAAGGTCGCCGCCTCTCGACTGGAGCTGCATCTGACGTTGCGTAGGCGTCAATCTTGGAGATTGTTGCGAGTCTCTTGCACCTGGGCAACATGGTGTTTGGGCTCCAGCCGGGCGGCGGCAGCGGAGGGTCCGATGCCACCATGTCGGACGTCGCTTCGTTCCAGGAGCTCCACTACGTCTCGTCGCTCCTCGCAGTGGAGCCGGACCGGCTTCGGAGTGCGCTCACAAAGCGGCAAATCAAGGCCAAGGACGAGTGGTACGTCGTGCAGTTGACAGTCGCGCAAGCCGAAGAAGCGCGCGATGCGATGGCGCGCTCAATCTATGGGTACCTCTTTGACTGGATCGTGGCCAAAGTCAACACTTGCATTGGCGGCCGCGAGTTTGCGGCAACCGACCGCTTCATTGGCGTGCTCGACATCTTTGGCTTCGAGTCATTCGACGTCAACAGCTTTGAGCAGCTGTGCATCAACTACGCCAACGAACGCCTCCAGCACCACTTTATCGACTTTGTCTTGACGCAAGAGCAAAAACGGTACATGGCCGAGGGCATTCCGTGGGCGACCTTGACGGTCCCGCTCAACGACGGCTGCCTCGACATCCTCGAGGCCCGACCCACCGGTGTCCTCGCGCTCCTCGACGAAGAGTGCAACATCCCAAAAGGCTCGGACGCGGGCCTCACGCGCAAGCTGTACCAGATCTACAGCAACCATGGACACTTTAGCGCGTCCCGGCGCGACCAAGTCGAGCTCGCGTTTGTCATCAAGCACTACGCCGGCGCCGTGCGCTACGACGCGCGTGGGTTTTGCGAGAAGAACCGCGACAAGCCGCACCAAGAGATCTTCGATCTCCTCTCGTCGTCCTCGAATGCGTTCATTGCGCTCCTCTGCCGGCCTGTCGACGTGCTCGTCGAGAACGCGGCGAATCTGCCGACGCTTCGCCGCAAGTCGTCGCTCGTCTCGATGGGCCTTGGCTCGCAGTTTCGCAAGCAGCTGCACCAGCTCCTCGAGATGATTGCGTTGACGCAACCCCACTACATTCGGTGTCTCAAGCCCAACGACGCCAACAAGAAGGAGCTCTTTCAGCGCCAGCGCATGGCCGATCAGCTGCGCTACGGCGGCGTCCTCGAAGCTGTGCGCATCGCCCGCCTTGGCTACTCGGTGCACATGAAGCACGCGCAATTCGTTGACCGGTACCGGCGCGTGGTCGCCGCCCAAAACGCGTTGTCGCTTGATACGCTGATACAAACGCTCACGACGACGATGGTAGCCACATGGCCGTACCGAAGTGACGCGGACGCGTCAGCCTCGACCTCGGCGTTGTACCGCTTAGGCCTCGAGAAGGGCAAGACGCTTGTGTTTCTGCGGCAGTCGACGTACGACTTTTTGGAGCTGGCGGTGGGCCGCCGCCTCAAGGCGAGCACCACTCGCGTGCAGGCGTTTGCGCGCATGGCACTCCAGCGCAGTCGGTTCTGGACAGCGCAGCGCAGCGTGCACACCCTCCAGCGCGTCGCGCGTGGGTTTCTGGCGCGTTGCGTCTGTCGCCGCCTGCGGTCGCAACGGTACCATAGAGAAGGACGAGGAGAGTGTACGCCATCTCATGACGATGCGCTAGGCGCCTCGCACTGTATCTTCAAGCCTGGTACCGCGGACGCCAGGAGCGAATCGCGTGGCAGTGCTGCAAGGAGCGACGCGCCAGCCTCCGTATTCAGCGCCAATGGCGCCGCCATGCCGCGCAGCAGACGTACCGCTGCACACGCCGCGACGTGGTGCGAGTGCAGTGTCGATGGCGCGTCCGGATGGCTTGTCGAGCGCTGCAGAGACGCAAGGCCGACGCCATGTCGCTACAGCACACGATTCAAGAACGCAACGAGCTGCGTCAGCGACTCGTTGCGACGCTGAACGAGGCCGACATCGCCAAGCGGCGCGCGGCCGAAGCGGAGCGCCAGCTGCAAGAAATGAAGGCGCTCGTTCAAGCGATGCAAAATGGCGGCCATCAACTCGAGCCCGTGGGTTCGAATGTCTCGCCGGTGTCTGTAGAGGTACCACATCAAGAAGCAGCAGTCGTGGTGGTGCCACCGACAACCATCAACGCACCTTACACGCTCGAGCACACACATCAGAAGGCGCCAACCGACGAGCACCCTAGTGTCTTGATCCCTACTGCGCCAGAGGCCACGCTACCGCCATCGGCGATGCGTATCTCGCCAACCGCGTTCCCAGCCACCGACGCTGTAGGCGAACGAACGGTTGTTGTTTGCACGGAGCATCTCGCAGCCCCGGACGTCGGCCGCCGCGAGGCCCCAAGTGAGCGTTTGGTCAATCGCCGCAGCGACGTGGCGCCAGTAGAAACGTCGCTGCTCCGGGACGTGGTGGAGTCGCACGTATATGTACCTCGGCGGCCGCTGAGTGCAGTGGTCAAGGAACTCGATGCGCAGCATCGAGTGATGGCGACCGTTGCAACCAACTTTGTCGCTGCTTGCATCGGCCAAGCCTCGCACGCCACGGCCGCACCACCGCAGGCCACAGCTGCAGCACCACTTCTCCCGCATGTAGTTGTCGAGGGTACCCATCTTCTCTCCCAGGAAGGCGCCACGAATGTGGACTTGGTGCGTTGCGACCTGCGTCGACCTACTTTTGCTCATGATAAATCTAGATGCCGTTGCCTGCCCACAGCACTGTCGCAGTCCCGCCACGGACAGAGCACTCAGCACTGCCAGCAGGCCAGACATCCCGACCCCCCTCGCCGCTGCTCGAGCACCATACGCCATACCAGACGTGGACCACCGCGTCGTTGGCGACGCTGAGCGAAGCCCTTGCGCAAGGGCAGGATCCCGACGCGCAGGACGCCGCCGGGCGTACGCTGCTGCACGTGGCGGTCGAAACGGTAGTACTGTTAATGCAAGCGACGATTTTTGTACCTTGCGCGTAGGGCAATGCGGAGATGGTCGACCTGCTCTTGCAGCACAAGGCGAGCGTTGTGCTAGCCGACTTTGCCGCGCAGGAGACACCGTACCACGTGGCAGCCAAGCTCGCCAACATGGAGATCTCGGGGTACACTGCAGCGCTCAATGCATCGCATACTACTGAGGAGTTTGTGTAGCATCTTCTGTCGCCCCGACATTTACCCGCAGCTCGATGTCAACCTTCCAGACAAGGAAGGCAACACGGTGCTGCACTTGGCGGCCATGTCGCCTCGCCCGACCGCCGCGTATGTGCTGGAGCTTTACCTCTGCATGGGCGCCGACCCGAACGCGCAGAACGTGCTCGGACGCACGCCGCTGCACGTATGTGCGCTGCACCGGCGGGATGCCACGCTTATCGAGCGCCTCGTGTCGTTTGGCGCCGACCCCAACGTCTATGCGATCGACCGCAAGATGCCTCTGCACATTGCGGCCAAGCGAGGTGCGTGACTTCCCCAGATAGTCGTACAAACCGTGCGCAGGTCTGGTCGACGCCTGCATCGAGCTCGTCAAGGGCGGTGCAAGCATGACGCTGCGCGACGGCAACTACGAGTGCGTCGTCACCTCGGAGCTCGCCAATCAGGTACGCGCTCAGGTCTTCCTGCAGCCTCTGAATGTGGTCGTAGTTGCGACCACATGTGCGCCACCCGCCACATCTGGTGCCCGATGCCGACGCGGACGCGTGCATGCTCTGTGCGTACCCGTTCAACTTTTTGGTGCGGCGCCACCACTGCCGCGTCTGCGGGATTCTCGGCTGCTCGGACTGCGTCAGCAACAAGCGCTGTGTCGCGTGCGTCGCCGCGGCCGAGAGCAAGTAGATTGATATATATATAAACTGGAAACGTAGTCTTTCAAATTTCTTGGTGGCGTGTGTTGATGCCCGTGACGCTGCCAGGACTCAAGTCGAAGCGGACGACCAAGCGCCGGGACGAGGCCCCGACGCCGGTTCTCAAGCGCGAGACGATCCTGAGCATGCTCCACGACCTCCAGCAGCGCGCCACGTCACGTGGGTACCAGTCCTTTGGGAATCTCCAGTACGTTGCCTGTCTACCGCGTGCGTTTCATGCAATATGCAGGCACCTCGAGGAGCAGGCCAAGGCGCAGGTGCGTGTTCCTTCCGACGGTGGAGGTCGATCCATATGTAGACGATCACCAACTTTCTCTCGGTGCGGTACCACGACATCTACGCCGTCCGACGCGAGAGCGCGCCGGAAGTCGACCCGGACACGAAGCCGCGTCTCAAGAGCTTGGAGAAGCCGCGCTTTCGCCGGTCGCACTCGAAGCTCGACGTGCCACCCGCAGCGATGACGCGCCGGCCGTCGCTTTCGGGGCTCCTCCCCGAGATGACCAAGCCACTCGAGCCGCTGGCGCCCGTCGAAGTCCCGAAAGAGCAGGCGCCGCCCCCGGTGGTTGTGCCCGTCGAGCGTCAATTCCCGCCGCTCTACTACAAGATGAAGGCGATCTGGACGACGCCGCTGACGAGCAAGCCGTCCGAGGAGGAGTGGGTCGGGCTCCCGGTGGCCGAGCACACAGTGCGCAGCGTCTTTGGCATCGACGTCTACGAAGCACGCGTACCAAGTCGTCGGAAGTGGACGGTTGCAATCAAGGTGCTGTAGGGTATCGCCAAGGCCTTTCCCGTCGAGACGGTCGAATCGCTCTACCAGCTCTACACCAAAGAACGGTGCGTCAAAGTATAAGGCAGTAGACGCTATGGTGACGTAGGATCCATGGGCGAGAAGGCCACATGCGGGAGCTCATGCAGAAAGCTGTCTTCTCGTCGACGACGAGCAACCGCGTCATGGCACTCCTCAAGCAAATCGACAGCTTTAGCATCTTCCTCACCAACGACCGCGAGCGCGAGACGACGCATGAGGACGGGGTCGAGACCCCAGCGACCATCACCACCCCCAGCACGACGTCACCCGACGCTCAAACACAGCAGGACGCCATTCAAGCGGCGCCGATGCCTGAGCGCAAAGCGTCGGCCGTCTTGCCCGACCATAGCACCAGCAAGCAGCGTCACATGAGCCTAGCGACGTCGGCGCTTTTGTTCCTCCCGCCCATGACACCCTCGGCGCAGAACCGCAGCGACATGATCGACGTCTACCTCCGCGAGTGCGCCAACCTGCACGTGTTTCCGTCCAAGAAGGTGCTCGCGCTTGTCGACTCCTCGATTGTCGACTTGCGCAAGTTTCACATTGGCAAGCTTGGCGCGATCGCGCTCCTCTCGGCGCTGCACCTCAACGCGGGCTTGGAAGTGCTCGACGTCTCTAACAACTTTATCTTGGCGGCCGGCGGCAACCACGTGTGCTCCCTCCTCGAGCTGCACAGGTGCCCCCGCCTGTCGCGCCTCGCGCTCGCCAAGAACCGCATTGGCACGCAAACGGCAAGCCGCCTCTTGCACGCGCTGACGGTGAGCCAAGTGCCGCTGACGGACCTCGACCTCAGCGGCAACGAGATCCACGATCGGCACGTGGATGAGCCGCTCGGCGTCTTCTTGTCCATGACACCGACGCTCACGTCGCTCAACGTAAGCGAGAACCAGCTGCGGGATCCGAGTGCCAAGGCGATCGCGGTCGCGCTGAGCCACGGCAGTAAGCTCAAGGTACCTTGGTATTTGCGAACAGTGGACACAGTGTCGTTTGGGTCGTAGACACTCAATGTGGCGTGGAATGCCATGACACCGATGGGCGCGAGTAGCCTCGTGCAAGCGCTGAGTGCCAACCGTTGTCTGGAGAGCTTTAACTTGAGCTGGAATCGCCTCGGGCACAGCACCGGATGCATCATGGCGACGGTTCTCTTGCGCAACCAGACTCTCCGCATCGTGGACCTGGCAAGCGGCCAGCTCTCGGCCGTGTCTGTCTACCTCATGGGCGACGCGCTGCAGTTCAACCACGGGCTATCGCACTTGACGCTCGACCAAAACGCAATTGATGATGACGGCATGCGTGTGCTCCTCCGCGCGACGCGGCACCGCTCCAAACTCCACCCGCTCACGCTCAGTCTGCACAACATGGTCTTTGAGGCGACTAACGGCCCGCCGCTGTTCAACGTCGTCAGCCCCGCGGGGTGCACTTTTTGTTTCTTATTTGAAACACTGATAGTCTAATATTTGGGGCGATTAGGTGCTACCACTTGACGCTCCGAGAGCCCGCAGACCGCGCGGTTTTCGAGCTCTTGCGCGTGCGTGCGGCGAACGGCGTCGGCAGCTTTCATAACATGTCGATCAACGGCGCGCCGACCGAGAACCTCCGGCGCCTCGAGCGCATCGCTGCGACGGCGACAACGTCGATCGCACTGCAGCTCGACTTTGTGCTCAACCCGAAACCGCCTCGGTCCGAGACGGTGCACTTCCGCCTCGACCTCGCCAACGCCCACGACCGGGCCATGGTGCAAATCCTCATGCAACGCGCCAGCGCCGAGCGAGGCAAAGACGCTCCGTCCAATGCTTCTGGAGTGCAAAGGTCGTGACTAGGGGAAAACTGGCGCCACGAGACGCTAAATAGCGTTCCGTTTGAGTTTCGAGAAGACACGACGGGGCCGCAATGGCTCGAAGCGCACCCGACAGGCATCCTCGAGCTCGACTATGTGAGCACGCGCCTCTTTTGCGAAAAGCACTACTCGTACACGCAGTGCATGTTGTGCGCTGCTGATGCGGAGACCGCCGTGATAGACTCGACTTGAGCCAGTCGACGGACCGCGCGATTGCGTGGAAGCTGCTCGAGCGTGTCGAGCGGAGCCACCAAGCGCTCTCGGATCGCAGCGACGCGTGGCACAACATGACGCTGGACGGCGAACCGACCGCGCTGAGCGAGTGGGAAAAGCCGGCTTTTGCGCTCCGAGGCAAGTGGAAGTGGCGCGTCCCCACGGTCGGGCAGCTCGAGTTTGACTTTTACACGCCCGAGCCGCACCAGGTGCACGCCAAGCACTACCGTCTCGACCTCGCCAACACCCACGACCGGCACATTGTACTACATTTATGCAACATCCAACTTGGCGTCGAACGCTGCGTAGGCCCAAGAGCTCCGCGTCCGGAGCTTCGAGTCCATTGGCGAGTGCTGGTGGAACGAAGAGATCGACGGGTACCCGTTCCGCATGGCCGAGTCGGCGACGGCCGAGTACGAGTTTCCGCGCAAAGGCGTTTTGAGCTTTGATTTCCTCGTGCTCCGGCCCGCGCACTACGTGCAGAGCATGTCCCTCGAGCTGTGCAAGCTCGATCTCTCGCAGTTTGACGATTTCTTTCGCGCCGAGCTCCTCCGCCGCCTCTCGGTCGCCGAGCCCCACGACTATGTGTGGACCAACACGACGCTGAACGACAAGACGTACGTACTTCGACCCAACGCGATGCTGCCGGCGCAGGTATTTACATACAAATAGCCAGTACATACGTGGCACGCTATTAGGGCAAACTGATCTTCTCGGCCATGATGTTCCACGGTCTGGCGGCGCCCGCCTCCGACGATGCCTTTCAGCTCCTGTGCGAGGCAAGTTCATGCAAATCGTGTCTCTGCAGTCGCATCTCATCCGTGTCGATCGAGTAGCAACTGCATCTCGCGCGGGACAGCCCCGATCGCCAAAAGCGCATTCTGGCGGTTGCCTGCGGGTGGGACAAATGACTACGCCTCGAGTATTCAATAGACGGTGCTTCCGTAGCCCACGCAACGACGAGGACCTGCGTCCAGGCCACGAAGACGAGACGAACGACCACCACCGCCTCTATTTTACTCGGTACCAAGCGAAAATCGGCAGCAAATGGACCCGAATGTTCTGCTCTAGCGCCCATCTCGACTCACTTCTGACCGCGTTTGAAGCCGAGCAACACCGACAGCAGGCATTCGATGTACGTTTGGACTATACTTTTGTCTGCGATCTCTACGGCGCGCTAGCTCGTGTACTGCAACGTACTCGAGAAGCCGGCGGCGATGACGCTGGCGATTGAGCTGCACAGCCAAGCGATGGCGCACTTTATTGGCGTCGGCGACTACACCGAGTTTGAAAATACCTGCGTCAAGGTCTTCCTACAAGCTCGCTTCAACCCCAGCAGCCCAGTGTAGCCGCAACTTTAATCGACTACAACATCTACTACTCGCGCAGACGTTGCAAAAGATGCAGCTTGATCTGTTCGTGCCCCGCGAGCTTGGCCGCGTCCGACGGTAGCCGGCCGTCGTTATCCACGAGGGTTTGGGACGCGCCGTTCTGCAGAAGGTACTCGCAGCAGAGCACGTGCCCGGCCTTGGCGCTGAGATGCAGCGCGGTTTCGTTCGACGACCGCGTCACCTCGTTGATGTCGATGCCGTGCGCGAGACAGCGCATGAGTCGGCGCACGTCCCCCGCGGCCGCCGCCGCGAGCAAGTCCGATGGGGTCACAGTGACGTGGTCTCGGAACCCGCGAAACTCGTACTTGGCCTTGATCCACTTTTCCTTTTCATTCCGCGGCGCTTGTGGCGTCGGCTTGACCCACCCCGGCGCAATCGCGGCCTCCCTAATCCTTTAGTATGAGGCACTGGGCAAGCGAGTCGACTCTGCAGACCAGATGCTATTGACAACCGAGTTGCCGAGGTGCGTCCGCAGTAACTCGAGGACGGCCACGTCCCACGAGTCGAGGATGAGCGACCGAACCTTCGAGACGTGGACGCCGAGGCTGCGGTGGATGCCCGAGCACTCGATGCAGAGGAACGCGCCAATGTTGATGGACACCCACTCGCTCGGGCTCGTGCCGCAGTCGGCGCACTGGCCGTTGGCGTCCATGAGCTCGCGTACGAGGCGCGGTTGGGCAGGGTCGACTTCGCTCCGATGGGCTTGCAGCCCGAGCATGCTCTCGGTGCTCTCTTGCGCCGCATCGATCCACGACTGCATATCGGCCTCGCTCGTTGCTTGGAGAATCGTCTTGGTCTGGTTGTTGTCGAGCACTTCAAAGCTAAACGGGAGGCCTCTCGCGCACGGCCGGACCTTGGACACCATGAGGTCCGAGACGAGGCTGAGCTCCATGTCTCTTGGGTTCTTGATCGAGTAGAGCTTGCCTTGGTGGATCTGAAACCACACGCGCTTCCAGCTTTTCGATGGAAACATCCCGCTGCGCACAATCAAAAAGCCTTGCTTCTCGGTCTTGGTGAGTCGCCGGCCCGCCGCGGTCTCGACCGATAAGATCTCGACGGGCAGCGACGCCGGGTACGCGGACGAGAGCCGGTCTGCGAGCAGCGCGCGCTGGCTGGCCCACATCATGTCGTCCTTCTCGAACTGGTCGCGCGCAAACTGCAGCGACGCCTGGCGCGACCGAAGCGCTGGCTCGATGCTCTTGACGAGCTCGTGGCACGCGTGAAAGTGCCCGAGGTACGAGTATAACGTCGAGTTGAAGGCTTCGACAAGGACAAACTTCTTTTTGGCGTCGAGAAGGTTGAAGTACCGGACGCAGTCGAAGCGCGCGAGCTCGAACTTGCAGCGCGCTTGCATGAGCTCTCTTGCCTTCTCCGAGTCGCCACTCTCGTTGCTAGTGCTCTCGTCGTTCAAGTCGGGCGCTGACGTGAGCGAAAACGACGCGCTGCGCGTGGAGAAGGACGGCGCCTGTTTCGTCGAGCTCAGCGACTTGCCAAGAAGCGCTTCGTACTCTTCGCCGGCCTTGGCCACGTCCCGCCGAAGGTCGGCCGCTTGCTTGAGCTCTGCGTCGCAGAATTGCTCGACAGGGCCATGGAGAAGGGCGTCGACGCTGAGGAGGAAGCTGTGGCGCGAGCTCTGGATCTGCGCCAGAGTATCGTGAAAGTCGTTGAGGATCGTCGAGAGGTCGCCAAGCTCAGCGTAGCAGGACGTGAAGAGCGTCCGAGAGTACTTGGCCGAGTAGATGCTAGCCAGGTTGGTCTCTGCCTCGCCCCACTGGGTCCCGGACGTGACAAAGTCCTTGGCCCGGCTGAGGAGTTCCTTCATGAAGCTGCGGAGACCGCCCATGCTCTCATCGAGGCCTTCGAGATTCTTTCGAAACATGGGCGAGTCGGCAACGTAGTCGAGCACGACGTGCTTCCCGACAGAGGACGAGACGAGGGTCGCACCGCTGCCAGCGTCAAAGGCTAGCGTCGGCGTCGGCGGCGTCTCCGTCTCGCGTACCGACCGGCGCGTCTCGAGCACGTCGAGGTTGCCGTACTTGCGTCGGTAGCGCAGCAGCTGGCTTTGCAGCGAAGCGACCTCCTCTTCCAGCTGCGCCACGCGGGGACAGGCGCATGCTGCTGCCATCGTCCGCGCCGATGCTGGTTTTGCGAACCTTGTAAAAATACCACGATCCTACGTTCTGATTGGCTAAAAAGACGACCGTCGACGACCTCGCCCGCCACCACGCCACGATCGTTGTCAAGCAGCTCCCACACGCTGTGGCCGTGCTGCCACGCGCCATGCAGGCTCTCCGTGCAAGTGGCTCCGTAAGGCAGGTACTCTAAGCCACCATGCAACGACGGTCTGGCTGGCGGTCACGGCAACGTGGGCGGTTGCTCGTCGCGTCCAGCGGGCACGTGTCGCGCCGCTGGCATAGCAAGCTGGCTCAGCATGGGCATTGGATACGGCGCTGGATGGTTCCGGCGACAAGCGTACTGCGCTGGTCGAGCTAGCGTGCGGCCACTGACCACCACCTCGGGCTGCCGCTCTCTCGGCAGTGCCATCCGCCAGGCCTTCCTGCAATGGTATCGGCAGGCACGACACCGTGAGCGATGTGCGGACGACGGTCGGGCCACGAGAATGCAGTTTGCTGCTATGTGCATACTTGATACAGAGTCTTATTCATGTGCTTATAGCAGCGAGCCCTTGCGCGCGTACGTGTACGTGCCGCTGTGGTACTCAAAGCCGAACTTCTTGACGAGCTCGTCCGACTCTTTGGGGCCGCGCGAGCCAAACGCGTACGGGGTGGGCTGAATGCGGTTCGACTCGATCTCGTTGAGGAGAGGTGTAAAGATCTTCCACGCCGCCTTGAGCTCGTCGTCGCGGACAAACGTGGCCTGCTTCCCGCGGAGCACGTCGAGCACGAGGCGCGTGTAGGCGTCCGGCAGGTACGTGTCGGCGTAGCGCTCGTGATACGTCAAATCAAGCTCACTCGCGACCGCCTTGGTCGAGAGGCCTGGCGACTTGACATTGGTCTTCATGTAGACGGCCTCGTTGGGCTGGAGACGCAGCACGAGCTCGTTCCGCGGAATCTCCGCGCCCAGAAACATGTGCGACGCGCCCGGCGCGGGCTTGAATTGGATGCGCACCTCGACCTTGCGCTCGTTGAGCGCCTTCCCGGCCTTCATGATAAACGGCACGCCGTCCCAGCGCGCGTTCTTAATGTTCATAACGACGGTCGCAAACGTCGGCGTGACCGAGCCCTGGGGCACGGTCGGGTCGTCGAGGTACCCGACCTCCTTGTCGTTGCCCGTGTACTGGCCCATCACGGTGTTCTCAAGCGTGAGCGGGTCAATGCACTCGAGCACCTTGACCTTCTCATCGCGTACAAAGTTCGAGTAGTCGGCGCCGGACGCACGGACCGGCGGCTCCATCGCGACGAGCGAGAGCACTTGGAGGAGGTGGTTCTGCATCACGTCGCGGATGATGCCATACGAGTCAAAGTACCCGCCGCGGCCCTGCGTGCCAATGTCTTCCTTGAACGTAATCATGACGCTCGAGATGTAGTTGCGGTTCCATAGCGGCTCGAACGTGTTGTTGGCGAACCGGAGCAGCATGAGGTTCTGCACCATTTCCTTCCCGAGGTAGTGGTCGATGCGGTAAATCTCGTCTTCGGTGAAGAGCGCGCTCATGTCCCGCGAGAGCTCGCTGAAGGACGCGAGGTCGTGCCCAAACGGCTTCTCGACGATGAGGCGGTTCCAGCCCGCGCTCGAGAGCGCCGACGCCTTGATGGACGTACCAATGGGCACAAACACGTTGGGTGGAATCGCAAAGTAGAAGAGGCGGTTCTTGATCGCAAAGCCCGTCGCGTTCTCGAGGAGGCTCATCTCCTTGCTGACGGCGCCCACGTCCGAGGCCGAGTCGTACGCGCCCGCGCGGTAGATGCACATGTCCAAGAACGCAGCCTTCTTCGCCTCGTCTTTCGTCTTGAGGTAGCCACCGATGAACTCGCGGAACTCTGCGTCCGACTTCTTGGACCGCGCGTACCCGACAATGATCGTATGCGGCGGCAAGAAGCCGTGCTCAAAGAGATCAAAGAGCGACGGGTATGTCTAGTCACATTGCAGCATGAGGTTGGTGCATGGACGGGTATGGCTTGTGCATGTATACCTTCTTCTTGGCGAGGTCGCCGGACGCGCCAATGACAAAGATGGTCAAGGCCTGGTGCTTGTACGTGCAGCTCGTCGCTTGGTCGTCGCTCATGCTGCGTAGATGGAGGATGGAAGAATGAACCTAATGGACCGAGGAAGAGCTCCATGAGCCTCGGCGCTTCCTTCCGCAGGATGCTTCTACCTCGCAACGACCTTCAAGATCACAAAATGACCTTCGGAACTGCAATCGGTCGCGTTTTTATTTAATTACATCCTCTTTTAATGCCCGCCTTTCGCACCGCCATACAAAAGCGATGGTATTTGAAAGGATAATGGTAAAATAATATTCTGGATCGCGCTGTATACACGCGGAAGATTCTTCGACGCGCCGCACGTCAGTTCAACACGCCGACTGTGATTTCCACCAATCGTTTCCGTGGAATCTCCCTACGAGGCTGTGATTGGCCAGAATAAAAAATCCACTGCGATGCCTCGGGATTGGCTTGGAGTGGACAGGCCGTGAATAATGTGAAAAACGGGACATCGCGAGGACTCGCGAATTCGCGAGCGCGAGGCCGTGCCCATCGTATCCATGAAGCCGTCCCTTCCCGAAGCAACTGCCGTCTTGTTCCAAGCGGCAACTCATTTCTGATTGCAGAGACTAAGTTTTTCATGCCATTTAGCATCACGAGGTGACGACTGGCAATCTTGGCAGTGCTGACATCACGACGGAGCTCGAAAGGGACATTTGGACGAGAAAGGCTCTTCACGGTCCGCTTTGCTTTCACTGCAACTCTGCGACGCCACCTTTTCGGGCGAGTGTGTAGGCAGGTGTGCGAAATGACTTCGGCTTGGGCGGGACGGGGAGGTGGGACGGAAGGGATGTCCCGACAATCATTTTTCACGTAAAACACACGGGACGCGTGGGATTTTACCCATGGATTTTACCCGGTGCTCCAATTGGTTGTGTGCAGCGTGGCAATCTGCGGTTGCCGACGACCGAATTTGAACCAATCCTGTCGCTTGTTGGCGTATCCTCGAAGGCCATTGGCTCATTTGAATCGCACGGCGTGAGAAACTATTTGACTTGAGTATTGTATCGAGTGGTTTTTCCCTGACCATTTCCCGCACCTCGCTGACGCCATGGCACGTGGTGGCAAAGGAAGCGGCGGCGCGAGCAATGCCAAGGAGCTCAAGATGTTCATGGAGCACCGCATGTGGCGCGACCACTGGCTCGCGCTCTCGGTCGTCGGCTCCATTATCGTCGCACTTTTTGCCGGCTTCTTCATCCAGTTTAGCTACTCGGAGGCACGTCTGCACCAGATTCGCCTCGACGACGCGCCTCTCGTCGAGCGCGTCTTCAAGTCGGGCGAGCCATGGGTCGTGCTCTGCGCCAACGCCGACACGGTGCTGCCTGAGGTCTTTGACAAGGCGTCCGAGCGCCTCCTCGGCAAAATGCACGTTGGTGTCCTCGACTGCGACGACCTCCACCCATCCGGGAAGAGTGTCTTTAGCAAGTTTAGCATGCGTCGCGACATCTCGCCGACCGTGTTTACGGTCGCCAACGGCGAAAAGCCCAAGCAGGTACATACGACGCCTTTTCTTCACGGAACGACGCAATATCTTCTGGCTAGCTCTTTTTGAATTATTTGCAAAAGCCGCGCGCCCTGGCAGCACAAGCGCTCGCGCAGACCGCCAAGCAGCTCCACGAGATCCAGACAACGGCGCAGCTCGACGACAAGTGCCTCTCCAAGTCCGCGCCGTGCATTCTCGTGTACCGCGCGGCGAACAAGAAGCTCGAGCAATTCCAGAAAAAATGGCTCCAAGACCTCATGCACGCGCAGCGCGGCGCCAAGTTTGTGTGGGCCGACGCGGGCATTCTCAAGCTCTCGGTCGAGTCGCTCTGGCCGTCCTCCACCAAGCGGGACCACCGCGTTATGCTCTTTCAAAAGTCCAAGGACGAAGCGGGTGTCATCACGCTCCATGCAACGCCGCACACGTCGTATTTTGAGCAGCTGGCCGTCGACCAGTTTGTGGCCGAGCGTGTAGCTGCCCCCGTCGCGTCGGCGACCAAGACGCTCACAAAGCCCGTGACACTCAAGCGCCGCACGACCAAGAAGGCGACATCGCCGGCAACCGAGCCGTCGGCCGCCGAGGTTGAGCGCCAGCGCCGTGCCCGCATGGACGAAGAGAGCAAGGTGCATTTTGCCGAGTCGGTCGACGAGGCTTACGAAGCACCAACCCATGATGAGGACGAGGATGACATTCTCGACTTGGACGAGATGTGAGCACAACACCCGCGCGTAGAGATGGTTGTTTGCTAAGCGGTCTATACAATGCTACTACACTAGGATTCGTTCTTCTTCTTCTCGAGGACGAGGCGCGCTTGGAGCGCCATGGCGTCGCGCGCACGGTCTTCAAAGGACTCGACGCACGTGCCCATGGTCTCGTACGCCGCCTGCATCTTGGCGTCGTCGCCCGACGCGAGCGCGGCCGAGAACTGCGCGGCCTGCGGCTGGCACAAGATCGTCGCCATGCAAAACTGGAGTGCGGTCGCGGCGGCTTCGCACTTTTCGTCCGAGTCGCACGTCTTGACGTCGACAAAGCAGCTGTGGCACTTGGCCTGGATCTTGCCAAACGTCTCTTCGACCTCGGCGACCGAGAGCTTGTCCGTGGCCGCGGGCTCGTCGTCCTGCGACGCCGACGGCTTGGGGAAGACCGGAGTCCGCTGGCCGTTCAAAAAGTCGAGGATCGGGTACTTGATGCGGTCGACGAGGCTGCCAATGTCATCGATGGCCGGACGCGCGTACATCGAGATGGACTTGACGCTCGTCGCGTCGTGGAGCTCTGGCACCTTGTCCTCCGCCGTCTTGTTTTCGTCAAAGTAGTAGTCGATGACGTAGCGGACTTCGGTGTTGTCCTTGCGGACGACGATCCAGTCGTGGCGGTCAAAGGGCTTGCCGTGGCTACGTTCTGAAGCGTGAGACATCTACTACTAGGTGGTGAAAGCCTGAGCGTACCCGAGAAGCAGCTTGAGGCGCGCGAGGGGCGTCAAGTCGTCGGGGCGGCCCATGAAGCGCAGCAGCTTCGTCTCGGAGCCCGGGTGGCACATCTCTTCGTAGGCCGCAACCTGCTCCCACGCGCGCTCGTTCATGTTGTTGTGGATGCTCACAATCGTGTTGATGTGGCCTTCGTGGACGTCCTCGCCCTTACCCTTGCGCTTGAGCGCGTTGAAGAACATTTGCTCCGACGGGTACGACCACGTGCCTTCGGTGCCGCCCTTGGGGATCGTCGACTGGACGCGGTTCGTGTCAAGCGGGTACTTCTGCCCGTCCTTGGGCTCCTGGTTCGGGTTGACAGGCATCATGTTGGTCGGGTCGATCTCCTGGTTGTACACGTTGTAGACCGGGCCCTTCTTCTTCACGGGGCAGCCGCCCTCAGCCGGCATAGCGTCATGCTTGACAGGGCAGCCGCCTTGGGCGGCAGGCGCCGGAGCCTCGTGCTTGACGGGGCAGGCGGCAGCAGGAGCAGCGGGCGGCGCGGCAGGCGTCGAGGCAGAGTTCCCCATTGTTCGGCGGCGATGGAAATGCGCCCAATACGATTGGTCTCGGATCCCGCATTGCTGATTGGCTCCCGGTAAAGTTCAACTCGAGCGAACTTCTGGGGACTTCAGGGGGAATTCCCTCAGATGGAGGGCGTTCAGCAGTCCACAGCACAATGGACAGAATTGTTCGAGGCTCGGCCGCAACGAGTTAGGCTTTCGTTCTCCACATCTTGCTAACTTACCTACAGCCGTGTTGATAAGCTCCACGCTCGAATCTCGACTACCGGTACGCGGCTAAGAAGCGACGTCGGTAAGTTGGCGGCCAACAAACCCTCGTGCTATTCGTACCAGTACGCTCGCCGCGCGCTGGACGAGACGATCGAACAAGTTTTTGAGTGTTTGTAGTTAGATCGCGAGAAGGGAAATGGCGCATCACATAGCCACCAAGTCGTTGTGTGAGGGCGCGACGCTCGTCCAACCCACAACTCCGTGGAATGTGGTCCATGATCCGTGGTTGATCTACAAAGCTTCGGCGCTCCAAGGCTCACGATTACGAGATGGACGTGGTCCAGGTGTGTGCACCTGATGGCGAGACCTTGGGTGTTTGCAGCAGCTGCAGCATGGCTGAAAATGAATTTGACCATGCCCTTGGCTCAACAATTGGCACCTAGTACATGGCCGTTTAGTACGCGGCTGTTTGCTCTTCGTGTCGAGAGACTCGCCGACTTGATCCAGCTTGCGTCGTTGCAGAAGCGAGAGACACAATGGATACGAGGCTGTGCCCAAATGATTGTGGGGGCTCGGGCAACGCGCTTCGCTCCGCCCTGCGTTGGTTGCCGATTGGTACACATCTTGTTCGTCGTGCACAAGGTCGTAGGCGCCTGTTTCCGTCCGCGTCAAATTACAAGTAGCATGACGGGAAGCCTCGCCTTTCGTACGTAGTGCAAGCGCCACGGAACTCCACAGTCCGCCCCTATTCGCCAGCACGACGAGGACCGACCGACACTCGATCCAAAAACCTTCGACACAGCAGAGAAACTTATTTCAACGACAAGAAAGCGTCCAACCTCGGCCCGCCGCCTTGACTTACAGTGCACTTTGAAGGAGGGTGCACCTGCCATTTTGGATGGCTTTGACCACGCTCACGACACAGTCATGTCGGTACGAGCATTTCAGAACCCGCACCGCAAGTCCTTACTCGCTCGCAACGTGTACTGTAATAAAAAAGCTAGCCGAAACCTGCTTGACCGCTTTGTTTAGAGTGTTTTGTTTAGAGTGCTCACGAGGTACCAGCGTAGCATCTCGCGTGTGCATGGCTGGTGTGCTAGTCGCGGCGTCCGCTCCCGGCGACAGCGTCTGCCTTGACACCGTCTACGCTTCCAACCGGAGACTAGCACACGTCTCGAAGCCGACCCCATTCATTCTACTACGGTAGAGGTCGTATCATCGCGATCGCCCCGAGCACGAGGCGCCTGCTTCGCCGGTCGTCCGCGTGCTGGCGGGAGGGTCCATCTTGGTTGTCACGCGTGTAATCTCGTCCGTGATTGGTGCGTATCAATTCGCGCGCTGATTGGACGAGAAACTGGTTCATCGCGTGCGATTGGTGGAATGGTTCTCGCTCGTGATTGGCTGCAGGCAAATGAATGGTTGGCTTCGAAGTGGCATGGAATTTATTGGTGTCAAAGTAGGCAGCGCCCCTGGTGCTTTTCATTGTCCGTTTGTCTTAGCGGTAAGAAACCTCGCGGCCCCATGGAGCTAGCGCCCAAGTAGACGCCTGCGCTCCTGGCCCTCTATGAACACGCGCCTCATGCTTCCTTCCTTCCGTAGTCACTCAAACCATGAAGCTTAACATCGCTAACCCCCACACCGGGATGCAGAAGGTCATCGAATGCGATGACGAGCTCAAGCTCCGCGCCTTCTACGAGAAGCGCATGGCGCAGGAAGTCGAAGGCGAGCACCTCGGCGAGGAGTTCAAGGGCTTCGTCTTCCGTATCTCGGGCGGTAACGACAAGCAGGGTTTCCCCATGAAGCAGGGTGTCCTCACCAACGGCCGTGCCCGCCTTCTTCTCTCGAAGGGCAAGACGTGCTACCGTCCCCGCCGCAAGGGTGAGCGCAAGCGCAAGTCGGTCCGCGGTTGCATCGTCGGCCCCGATCTTTCGGTCCTCAACCTCGTCGTCGTCAAGGCTGGCGACAACGATGTCCCCGGCTTGACGGATGGCCACATCCCGCGCCGCCTCGGCCCCAAGCGTGCCTCGAACATCCGCAAGCTCTTCAACTTGACGAAGGAGGACGATGTCCGCAAGTACGTCATCCGCCGCAAGTTCGACTCGAAGACGGGCAAGAAGAACGACAAGGCCCCCAAGATCCAGCGCCTCGTCACCCCGCGCACGCTCCACCACAAGCGCCAGATCGCCGCTCGCAAGCTCTCGCAGCGCGAGAAGGTCAAGAGCGACGCCGCCGAGTACTCGCGCCTCTACACCCAGGTACGCCGCCCTCTCTCATTCCGCCCCATCAGGAAAGCGACTAACATTTGTCTTCCTCGGGGCTTTTTCCTGCTCCTTATTCACCATTGGCACTGTAGCGTGTTAAGGAGCAGAAGGACCGCCGTGCCTCGGAGATCGCCAAGCGCCGCAGCAGCCGTAAGGCTTCTGAGGTCAAGGCGGCCGCTGTCAAGAAGTAAGTGCGCTTGCGCCTTCTTCTAGCGGTGTGCAAGACTCTTGGACTACCCATCGCGGTACCCTTCACGGGGAGACAACGTGGAGTGGACCACCATTAAGCGATGTAATGAAGTGACAAACCGAACTCTTCCTAAAACTCTTCGCCCCGCCGGCACGTACTTGACCGGTGCAGTACTACTACGATCAACGGTTGACGCTGCGACAGCTTAAGTACCATCTGCCGCTCACCAGTCTTCCGACATGAAGACCACCTCCTTGTAGTCGGCCGTCTCAAACCTTGACGACTCGTGGCTCCACGACCTTGGCCTGATGTGCTCCTGAGCCCTGCTGTGTCGATAGCATTGCCCGACCACTCATCGAGAAGCATCGACTTACGTACGAGGTAGTTGGCTTCCATGTCCCTAGGACGAAGCAGCATGATGACTGCCATCTTGCGCGCGGCTTGTCCGTGGCATGGTCGTCTCTGTTGCGCGTGGCGCTCTCCGCGGCCGCTGGACCGTGTCTTGGATCTTATTGCTTTGGCCGGCGACTTGTACGCATCTGATTGGTCAATATTGTTCGCACACATGGCCTGGACCAATGAAATGGCCCCATGCGCATTTGACACCGCAGTCATTTCACACAGGAGGGGGCTGGTGCCCGTGAAACTCAATAAAACCTCTTCTAAATGATGTCTCCTAATACTCCACCACGAACGCAAAACGCAAACGGCGACCCCAAGTCGAGCGAGGTACGCGCCTGGCCGATGGACGTCGCTCGAAGATGACCATGGTCGCAGCCTGCTCCAGCGTGCTGCGATCAACCAACGTAGCTTGATGAAGGTACTCATCAAGACGTACGTAGGTATCGCCAAGCGCATAAGATAGAGGCGAGGGACATGAATCCACCGTTCAACTCGCAGCCGCCGGGCAGCCAAGGCGCCTTCCGCCCGTTCAACCCAGCACAGCAAGGTCAAAGCCAGCCACCGCCTGCACCTGGTGGCTTCCAGCAGCCAAACTCGGCTGGCGCCCGGGGCCCGCCGCAGCCTTTCAACCCGGCCGCACCTCGGTCGTTTGGCGCTCCCGGCCAAGCGCCACCGCAGCAGTACGGCGCTCCGGGCCAAGCGCCACCGCAACAACTCGGCGCTCCTGGTCAAGGACCTCCGCAGCAGTTCGGTGGCCCGCGTGGCCCGCCGCAGGTCGCGGCCCCGCAGCAGTTTGGTGCTCCCGGCCAAGGACCCCCTCAGCAGTTCGGCGGCCCTGCGCGCGGCCCGCCACAGATGGGAGCGCCACCTCAGCAATATGGTGCGGCGCCGCGAGGGCCGCCTCAAGTGGGCGCACCTGGCCCGGATGCTGGCCTGAACAGCGCGTTCAACCGCATGTCTGTTGGCCCGTCAGGCCCTCCTGGCCAAGGTCCCGGTCCCATGCACCAAGGTGCTCCAGGCCCTATGCATCAAGGTCCCCCCGGTCCCATGCATCAAGGCCCACCCATGGCACGTGGTCCGCCGCAAGGCCCGCCGATGGGTCAAGGCCCTCCGATGGGTCAAGGCCCGCCGATGGGTCAAGGCCCGCCGATGGGTCAAGGCCCGCCGATGGGTCAAGGCCCTCCCGGTCCGATGTACCAGGGTGCTCCCACGAACCAAGGTCCACCTGGTCCGCCGGGACAGTACCCGCAAGGGCAGTACCCACCGGCGCAGCAGGGCGGGATTCCGAGTGGGGACTTTCACCAGGGCGGGTATGGCCAGCAAATGCCGCCGCCTGGCGCCATCTCGGAAGCGTCCTTGGCGGCGCAGTGCGACCCTCGCTTTATGCGCATGACGGTGAACGCGCTCCCGCACTCGCAAGAGCACGCGACCAAGTCGGCCCTGCCAATGGGTGTCATCATCCAGCCCCTCGCCGAGCCCGAAGGCGGCAAGGAGGTGCGCGGATCGTGCGACGGCATCGCGTGCTCATGCCACCTTGTAGCTGCCAGTCGTCAACTTTGGCGCTACGGGTGTTGTCCGCTGCAAGTCGTGCCGCACGTACATCAACCCGTTCGTGCAGTGGGTCGACAACGGCCGCCGGTGGCGCTGTAACCTCTGCGGTGTCTCCAACGACGGTACCCCACCTTATGAGCTTCTTGTCTCATGCCGCGTCCCTAGTGCCGAGCTCGTACTTTTGCCATTTGGGTCCGGACGGCCAGCGCCAAGACAAGGACGAGGTGCGCTGATTCCCGACTTTTTCTGCGTCGCCGACGTGATCCCTCATGTCCATCCTGTAGCGTCCGGAGCTGTGCGGCAGTGTCGAGATTGTTGCGTCGTCCGAGTACATGATGCGACCGCCGACGCCGCCCGTCTACGTCTTTGTCATTGACGTCTCGGCGCAGGCCATTGCAAGTGGCATGGTGCAAGTGGCCGCCGAAACGATCCAGTCGCAGCTCGACAGTCTCCCGGGCGACCCGCGCACGCGCTTTGGCTTGATTACCTACGACAGCGCGGTGCATTTCTACAACCTCAAGGCCGGCTTGAAGACGCCGCAGATGATGATCGTCCCCGACATCAACGAGCTCTTCATTCCGATTCCGGACGAGCTCCTCGTCAACCTCAGGTGGACTGCCCATATATCGTGTTGGCCGTCGACTTAGGCTCTAACATAGCGACTCGCGGGATGTGATTGAGAGCTTATTGGAGATGCTGCCGCGTATGCACCAAGGCACGCGCAACCCCGACACGTGCTTGGGCCCGGCGATTCGCGCCGCCTTCCGTCTCATGGTGCGCCACGATGCGCTCGAGCACCAAGATCTTATCGTCGCATCGTAGACCTCGGTGGGCGGCAAGATGCTCGTGTTCCAGAGCTCGCTCCCGACAGCGGGCCAGGGCGCGCTCAAGCACCGCGAAGATACGCGCCTCCTTGGCACGGACAAGGAGCACAATTTACTCAACGCTGTCGACACGTACGCGTCCCACCACCATCTCGGTTCAGGATTCTCACAACACGCAGGTTTTACCGCAAGAACGCGATCGAGTTTTGCCGGCAGCAAGTCAGCGTCGACACGTTCCTCTTTTCGCCGCAGTACACGGACTTTGCGTCGCTCGGGTGCATGTCCAAGTACTCGGCCGGCCAAGTGTTTTACTACCCCAACTTCTCGGCGTCTGTCGATGGCGACAAGTTTGCGGCCGAATTGCAGCACTGCTTGACGCGCGAGACGGGGTGGGAGGCCGTCATGCGCGTCCGTGCGACCAAGGGCATGCGCCTCTCCAACTTTTACGGCAACTCGTTCTTGCGCGGCCCGGACCTCCTCGCGCTCCCCAACGTCCATCGCGACGCCGCTTTTGCGATCGAGCTCGAGCACAACGACGCGCTCTTGACGGCCAGCGTCATCTGCGTCCAGTCGGCGCTGCTCTACACCACGTCGTGCGGTGAGCGCCGCATCCGCGTGCACACGCTCGCCGTGCCTGTGACCAAGCGTACGCCTTTGCGACATGTCGATTCTTATATTCTTATCTCGCGATATGTGTAGTGTATGCCGAGGTCTTCCGGTCCGTCGACGTTGACGCGATGTGCAATTTGATCGCCAAAAACGGTACCTTCCTTTTGCAGCATATTGGACAATCGCAAATGGTTGGGTAGCCCTCGAGGTCGCGCTCAAGAGCGGTCTCAACACGGCGCGCACCAAGCTGCAGACGATTGCGTCGGACATTGCGCGCGCATACCGCACGAGCGGTGCGTACGGGGCCAACCCGAGCACGGGCTACCAGCTCCAGCTGCCCGAGTCTCTGCAGTTGCTGCCGCTGTACATTGTACGTTACTGTTTGGCCGTATCGACGTAGGATGAATGGACATTGATCGAGTCCGTGTAGATGTCGCTCATGAAGAACCCGGCGTTCCGCGGCGGCAACGACATTGGCTCGGACGAGCGGTCGGCGTGGCAGTATACGCTCAACAACCTCTCGGTGACGCTGTCCCGGACGTTTATTTACCCGCGCCTCTTCTCGCTCCTCGAGATGCCCCAAGAAGCCGGCCTGCCTATCGCCGAAGGCGAGCTCCCGCCGGGCGTGACGACGGCCGGTGCGCAACAGATCCAGCTGCCGCCCGTGGTCAACCTCTCGGTGGACCGGCTCAACACGGAAGGCGCCTTCTTGCTGGACGACACGGTGTCGCTGCACCTCTGGCTCGGCCGCAACGTCTCGCCTCGCTTCCTCCAGAGCCTCTTTGGCACCGACACCATCGACGGCGTGGACTCGCGCGAACTCCAGCTTGTCGAGCCCACAGACGACCTTGGCACGCGCCTGCACAACATTTTCTCAGCGATCCGCGAAGACCGCCCGGCCTTCCTCAAGCTCCACGTGCTGCGCGAAGGCGCGCCGGGCGAAGGTCGCTTCTTCTGGAAGCTAGTCGAAGATCGCGCGAGCTTCAACGGCGGCACGTACTCGTACGCCGAGTTCCTCGGGCAAACCAACCGCGCGAGCCAAGGCGGCAAGTAAAGCCTTTTCCGTTGTAAGCCAATCCTTAATTGCATCCTCAGTTACAGCCATCGTCGTATCCCTACTACGGGCGACCCTCACGGACCCACTTCCACATATGGGCCTTCTCGGTCGCGCGGGCTTGGCGCACGGCATCGGTGTCCAGCGGGTGGCTGAACATGAGGTCGAGGTGGTGCGCGCCGCCCTCGACCTTGACGGCGACGACGGTCGGGTTGAGATCCTCGAGCACCCCCATGCCGGCCCACGGGTCGTAGTTGCCGTTGGAGAACACCATGTTGCTCGACTGCGACAGCGCTTTGCGGCCGCCGTAGACGGTCGTCGCCCACTGCGGGCGCATCGAGACGTTCCACGTGGCCGCGCAGCGCTCGGCGTCGGCCGTCACGTTGTGCAGAACCGTCCAAAACATGTCGAGGCCGTTGCCCTGGTCCTGGGGCATGTAGAGCTCGGAGCAGAAGAGGTAGTCCCAGAACTCGCCGTCGATTTGGCTTTCGTTGGAGGGCTGGCCCATCCCAAAGCACGGTACGTCCTTGGTGCTGTTGTAGTACACACCGACGCTCGCCCGGAGCGCATCCAGGAGCGCGATATCGCCCGTCTTTGTCGACGGGAACGACGGCGCGAGGGGCTCGCAGGCCGCGCGGACGGGGTACGCCGGCAACACGTTCACGCCGTTCATGATGTACGAGCTCGGGTACGGGTAATTCCCCATCGCGAGGTAGTCGTACGCGGCTTTGGCCCAGTCGGCGAGCGCGCGCCCGTCAGCCTCAGTCGCCACTGGGTCGCAGAGCCCGAGGTGCGTCTGCAGCGTTGCCCGCCCGGCTTCACTGGTGGACGCGTTGAAGATGACGTCCCACACGCGGCGCACGTTGGTCGCGCAGTTGGCCGACGAGCCGGCAGCGGGCGTCGCGTCGAACGTCACGATCTGTGAGAAGCCCGAGACGTTGGTCGGCGGGTCTTCGCCGAGGAATGAGAGGACGGGCGCGGAGCCTGCCACGATGCCGTCGATGATGTGCGGGTACTTGAGGCGGAACCACGTCGCCAGCATGCCGCCGTACGAGCCGCCAAAACCAACGACCGCGCTCGTCGACGCGTTGCGCGTCGTTTTGATGTGCCGGAGTAGCACGGCGTAGTCGGCGAGCGCCTGCTCGGAGGAGAGGTGCTGGAGGCGCGTCGTCGCGTTCGCGGGCAGCGATTTGCCAAAGTACCGGTGCTCGGCAAAGACGAGGAGCGCACCGAACTCATGGGCGTTCTCCCACATCAAGCCCGTGTGGTTCAGGTACAGCTCGACGTCGGCTTCGTTCCCGACGTAGAAGAAGATTGGGCCATGCGCGTCTTGGTTCCAGAACTCGCTGCACACAAAGTAGCGCTGCTGGTACGTCTCGGCCGTCGCTTCAAAGTGGTTGAGCGTCTGTTCGAAGTACGACTCGACGCAGCGCTGGCGCAAGTCGCCAGAAAAGTCGCCTGCCGTTGTGGCCACAGACTCGGTGGGCGTCGCGAGGGCCGTGGTGGCGGCGAGCGCCGGCGCCAATGACGCGTGCTGCGCCGAGTAGACAACGGCGCCGATCGAGAGGGCAGCGATGAGGCCGACGGCAATCGCCATCTTCTCGAGGCGCCCGAGGCGAGAGCTCTTGGCCGAAGTCGTCAGCGGATGGCGAGCGTCCAGCAGTGGGCTGCGCTCCATCGTGGCCGCAAATCCAAAAATGACACTCGTGATCAGCCACGTCAAGAATCCACCAATCAGCGAGTATGCACAACTTCAAGTTGGCGCCGATTGGCAGAGGGGCTCAAGATCGGACGTGTGGGGACGACGACGGTCATCGACGCTCGGTGGATACATGGATAGCTGTTAAAATAGGTCTAAATTATCTCGGTTCTTTACTATCTACAGCTCTTCCTCCACTTGTTGCAGCGTGAAGCGCAAAAAGATGGGCTTCTCGAGCGTCTTGAGCATGATCGTCGCCGACTCGAGCGTAAGGTCTTCGACCTCGTTGATCGCCGAGAGAATGTCGCCGGCGCGGAGCATGTCGAGACCACCCGCCTCGCCTTTGCCCGTGACTCGGCTGATCGTGACGCGCGCACCCGTCGCCTTGAGCGTGAGACCCAGCGGACCGCCCGACCACACGACGTTGACCGTACCAGGCCCAGGCAGCGTCGAAATCGGTGGCATGTCGACGCCCATAACAAGCCCCGAGTCGTCGAGGTCCGAGTACGTCGAGCGACCCGAGACAGGCGCAAGGACAACTGGCGCGCGGTAGCTCTTGGGTGCAAACGAGAGCGGCTGCGGCTGGTCGGTCGTTTCGCTCGACTCGGTCGGCGTGAGCTCGAGCTTGGCCATGCTCTCGACCACCTGCGACGACCGTTGGTGCATGATGGCCGCATACGCTGGCGGGGGCGACATGGGCTTGGAGACGACAGCAGGTGGAATGTACGCGGGCGGCGACACGGGCAAGCCGTACGCGGGCGGCGGCGGCTCGGACGAGATGCGGCTCGAGACCGACGTCCGACTCGAGATGGACGTGCGACTCGAGACCGAGGCATCCGGGTCGGTGCCCGCGACGCGGTGGAAGACGAGGACGGCGGGCTTGGGCACTGCTTTCAAGTACGCCATGGTACCCCGGAGCCCGAGGTCGACGACTTGGACGTTGGAGATCGAGATGAGAATGTCGCCGATTGACAAGAGCTTGGAGCGCGCGGCGAGGCCTTCGTCTTGGAGTTTTGTGACGATGAGTTCGTTCTTGAGCTTGTCCTTCTTGAGCGTGAGCCCGAGTGGACCCGACTCCCACACGAGCGAGTACTCGGTTTCGCGCGGCGGCGGCCCGGGCTGTGACAAGACCGAGTCGTTCATGTCGGGCCGACACGACGACGTTACCAGCCGGCGAAACAAGAGGCGCACAGGCTTGCGCGTGTCGCGAAGGAGCACAATCGACGCTTGGTACCCAATGTCGAGCGTGTTGACGCCCTGGATCGCCACGAGCTGGTCGCCGGCTTGGATCTGCGCCAGCGACGGGTCGGCAGGCCGCTCGACGCGCTCCTTGACGGACGGCAACGCGCCGACCTTGATGATGCTCACGCCGAGGCGCGTGCCTTCGTTCCACACGACCTCAAACGTCGCGTACATGGCGTCGTTATCTTCCGAGCTAATGATGCTGCCACTCACGTCGCTTTGAATGATCGAAGGCGTCCCGCGCGGGATCTCAATGTGCAGTGGTCGCGGCAACTCGAGGCTGTGGCGTCCGTGCTGCGGCGGGCGAGACACGGGCAGCGCCTGCGACGGCGGCGCAAAGGAGAGTGTGACTGGAAACCGCGGGTTGCGCAGCCGCTCCATGAGCATGTCAAAGTTGAGGTTGGGCTGGTTGTTGTACGCGATGAGTGCGTCGCCGACATGCGCGACGTGGACGACCTCGGGCGGCGCGTTCGCGTCCACGCGGCGAATGATGCACTGGTTCTTCGAGTTGCAGCGGAAGACGAGACCTAAGAACGCGTTGTCCCACACAATGTCGTACGGCGCGCGGTCGGCCATGGGCTCAGGGTACCGGCCATCGAGTCCGATCGAGTGGCGCATCGGCGCGTCCGACCGGTGGAAGGAGGTGGTCGGCGCGTTGAAGATCGGTGCGTTGGCCGCGGTGCTGCGGCGGCGCTGGAGGTGGCGGGCGACTGCGCTCGGATGCGCCAGCAGCTTCTTCGTCGGCGACGTCGCGGACTCGGGTCCTTGCATGAAGAAGTCGGACGTCGTTGCCATCTTTGCCAATGAACCAAAAATTGGCTTGTATCACAGCGTGGGACACCGCCATCGCCACGTATACTTTAACCAAGTGCAACGTCGTGAGAAAAGCGCTCACGCAGAAGACAGGCGTGGTTGCATTGTTTGTTTTTATTTAATGAGCTTGATGTTTGTAGGCAGAAGATTAAAATGTTAGCACTGTCTTGGCCAAGGCAGATCTTCTGGACATGCGCCAGTATTTTATTGCATTTGGAACATGAAGCATAGCATTTGCAAGACGTTTAAATAAATATTCTGTCGGCGCCAAAAATCTGCTGAATTTGCTTTGTGGAAGCTGTTGTGGACTCGACGGCTTCCGAGAGCGACGTCAGGCGTAGCGTGGTGGCTCGCACTCCGCAATCTGAGCATGTCCAGCATGTCTCTGATGTCTCTGTGTGTTTGAAGCTGAGCTTGATGCGGCAATCCCATGTGGATCAAACGCAAGCGCCGTCGTCACCCCAGTCCTCGATTTCTGTTGTCAGTCTCCGTGTATGCATACTAGTACACTGGTGGAGCGATGCGATGTGCGGTGAGGCGAAGTACGTAGAGGGTACGAGCTCATTGCAACAGCGACACTGCGAAGGGTGAAGGATCGTCGCAGGTCGATGTGGCCATCGCAAGCTTGTTGGCTGTTGATCAAGGCCATCAGCGACAGACAGGTGTATCCGACGGCAGCGAAGTGAAGTACAAGGCGCCGATACATGCAGCCTCTTGGAGATCTTAGCGCTCACAATCTGAGTGCTCGATAGGGCTGAAGACGTGCTCGACCTCCAGAGATCGACGGCACGAGTGCCACGTCATGTTGGAGGCGGCCACATTTCATCCCACCCGACCAATCCAATATCGATTTTCTCGAGTGGCAGCAAATCAGCCAGCGACCCTTTTGCAATTTCAGCCAATCCCATCGCGCCCATGAGATTATCCGGATAGATTGGGCCATTGTGCAATGTCGGGCCAAGCGACCGCGGCTCTTGCGGTTGCATGCTCGGTCGTCTGCGCCTGCATTAGCGTCTACTACGCCCGCGCAGCAGCACCTCCATCCTCTCCTTCATCTTTGCTCGCGAACAACAAGGCGAAAGCGCCAACCCTCGCCGCGAAGAAGCGCGTTGTCCGCTTGGCCACCCTCGATGCGGGCGACGTGCCCCGAGCGCTGCGCCCGAGCTTCTACTTTACCGAGATCGGTCGGTTCAAGCATAGCACTCTTTTCGACGACGCACCGAGCGTCTTTAGTGTGCTTGACAAGCTGCAGACCTACATCACATCGTGGCTGGCCTCGCATGAGCCGCTGTGCCCGACGACGATCGTGCCGTGCAGCGGCACTGCCAATGCCACGGTCCATGTCAGCACGGAGAATACTGAAGTGCTGCAACTCTGCTCGATTTTCAACTACAGCGACCACTCCGATCGGCAGCTCGTGCTGGGGAGCGGGGTCCGCGTCATGGGCGGTGTCTTTGATGTCTCGGAGGGGTCAATCTTTATCGGGGCCAACACCGTCATCGAGCCCCACGTATACATCAAAGGTACATCAAGAGCCATGTCATCGGGAAATCATATCTTAGTGGTGTGTTAGGCCCGGCCATCATTGGTGAAAGCTGCACGCTGCGGCACGGTGCATACCTGCGCGGTGACGTGCTCATCGGCGACCGCGTCGTTCTGCGCTGCGAAGTCAAGCACGCACTCATCATGGACCGCGCCGAGCTTTGCCACCCCGGTACCTTGTACTCGATTGCTTCGAGTACGACGCAAATAACGTTGTAGGCTACTGTGGGGACAGCCTCTGCGGCTACAAGAGCCATTTCGCCAACCAAGTGTCGACGGCCAACTTGACGCTTCTGGCGCCGTCGTCGGGTACAGGTGTGTGTATCGACGTCGACGGTGTCACGTACGACACGGGGCGACGCAAGATCGGCGTCATCCTCGGTGATCGCAGCCAGCTCGGTTGCAATGTTGCGACCGACCCGTGCACGCTTCTCGGCCCCAATACAAGTGTGTACGCGCTCACGCGGCTCAACAAGGGGGTGTACGGTCCCAACGAACTCGTCAAGAACAAGCCGATGGAGACCGGTGTCATTGAGCGAGCGCCTTTGCGATCTTAAGTGGTCGTGAGGCCGTTGATGGTCACGACGATCTTGCGGTTGTGGCCGTTGCCCCAGCCGCCCACGTCGCGGTGCTCGCACAAGTAGATACCTACCACCGTCATGAGAAAGCAACGTTTTTAGCATTGTCTGGCGTATATACCTTGCCACGTGCCAAGATTGAACTTGCCGTTCGAGACGGGCACCGTGATGGAAGCGCCGATGAGCGTCGACTTGATGTGCGCCGGCATGTCGTCTAGCGCATTGAGCTGAAGCCATGGACCTCCTTTGGCGGCGTACCGTCACCCTCCATCGTGTGGCGGAAAAATTCCCTATCGCAACGCGTCGTCGTCAGGTGCGCCGCGCCGAAGCTCGCAAGTCGGATCACCGGTTCCAGCTCTCTGGCACAATGCGGTTCATTGCGCCTTCCATGTCGATGCTAATGCACTTGAGCGAGACGCACGTTGGACAAACAAATACCGAACGTCCGGGTCGCAGTTTTCGTTGAGCGAGAGCGATGCTGACGTATGCTTGACAAAGAGCGTCGCCGTACCGACCGAAAAGTGGCGGATCTCGGGAATCTACGCACGTCATAGTAGCAACGATCTCACAGCCTCGTGGCCTCGTACCTGCTTGTACACTTCATCGGTCACGACTAATGGTGCAAGCATCGACGTGAGACCCAGTATCACCGGAAGAGGACGACGGGCAGCGTACGGTGGAAGCCACGCGATGGCGCCTTGAGCGTGATCTCCTATCTTCAGGCGTGAGCCGCGCGGCGACCGCGGTGGCGGCGAACCTTCTGGAGCCACGCCGACTCCCCCGTTCGAATCCCGCTCATCGTCTTGGCCTTTCTGGCTCGATTGGTCAGTACATTTCGACCAGACTGCTGGTCCCGGAATGATGGTCGTCACACAACGCGCAGCTGGCCAGTAACGATGTTGCGCCTTCTCCAGCAGCGACGCGGCGTCACGGTGCTGCTTCCATCGATGCGCGCTAGCGTGCTCGGGCAGCGCCAGCTGTGGCACCACGCAAACCGCTCGCCGCAGCGCCTCTTGCCTCGCGCACTGCAGCCGTTGTCGACGACCGTCCGCACGCTGTACACGAGCCCGGACGACTGGCGCAATGCGAATTGGAAGGACAAGGCAAAGGCCGGCGCGATCGTGGTCGCCGGAGTCGGTGTCTTTGTGGTCGTTTCGTCTGGTACAACACTTTGCCTTTGCAACCGTATATCGATCTTTTCGCTGTAGTCGCGCTCAGCGTCGTTGTGACGGGAGTCATCGGCCTCGGCGCCTACGGTCTCTACCGCTCCTTTCGAGACAGTCGAGGTGGCAACAGTGCGTGGTCTTCGTCCTCGAAGAACAATGCGCTCTTCAACAACCTGGGTCGCACCAAGGCCCGGGGTGGCAACCCGCTCACAGCCGGGATGCCGCTCGTGCTGCAAGGGCTCATGACGGGCCTCTTCAGCCTCGTGGGCGGCGCCATGAAGCAGTCGATGGGGCGTGTCGCCACCATTCAAAACGCCGCAAACGAGCGGCTCCAAGGGCACCCTGCGATCACTCGCCAGTTTGGCCTCGGTGTCCAAGTCGGCTCGCCGCAGCAGCTCGTCGAGCAGAGTCCGCCATTGCCATTGCAGGCAACGTCAACTCTAACGACCATGTGTAGCGGTCAACGGTGCCGGCGTCATTCAAGCTTCGTTCCCCATTGGTGGACAATTGTCACGTGCTTATGTCCGCGTGAAAGCAACGGTCGACGCCAACAACAACTTGTCGTACCAGCAGTTCCAGTGTACATTGTGCTAAGTCTAGTTAGTTGCCTCATGCGTTCCCTAGATGTCAACAGCGCGACGGGCGACTCGATCGACTTGTTGCACCAAGCGCCGTCGTCGTCGCGGGCCAAGACCATCAAAGATGCCGAGTTTCGAGATGTGTAGTCAAGCCCACGACACAATACTACACGTCCCTGTCGTCGCGCGTTATTGTCGTCGTTTCTCGTCGAGTCTACAGGGCAACGTACACTATGACGCAAGGAGTAACGTCACTTGAGGACGAAACCGTCGACCGAGCCGTTTCAGTTGTGTCTGCATGTGACAGATGAAGGTTGGCCTCGGTAGACCGCCGTGGTAGGAGATGCTAGCAAGGGTTCAAATGAACGGGCCCAAGCCTTGGTGGATGTAGCGAATTGCAAGTGGTCCTGGGTGTTCTGCATGCCAGAGCCACGCGACAGCAGATTTATGCACCGTGCTACTGCGCAAGTGGGAACCAAAACGCATACTAGTACTACTACATACGGCCTTCAACTCCAACTCAACTTCAAGGCGCGCGTGACACCGAGGCGAAGCAATGTGGGCAAATGACCGCAAGTCTCGACAGAGAGTTACGGGTTGGCTGCTCATCCAAGCGCAACGCGCCGTAGCCTTGCAGCGATGGGACTGGCACATGGACGGCACCGCCTTCTGGCTGCGTAGACGCGACCGCCCCAGCCCCATAGTAGTAGTCGATGTTAGAGAAATGAACAACGACGCTAAGAGCGCCCTCGAGCCTATCACAGGACGTCAGATTCGACGCTTGAGTGGGAGACTGCGTAGCCAGAACTCCATGAATCGGAAGCGAATTCTGGTGGACCGCCGCCGCCTAGTTCTTTCTGCTAGCTCTTCCAACCACCTTACATGTCCCCGCTTCGTCGACCAAGGTGGTCAGCGACAGCGACGCTGGTGACGAGGATCGAAGCTCGGGACGATGGCTTCCGTGACTGAAACGACACCTACCCAGACTTTGCGAGCGTTGGCTGGGACGAGCGCAGCTACCCAGTAAAATGGGTTTCGTGCCGATCGAGGTCATCGCTCGTAGGGTTCATAATAACGCGTCAGCGCCACGTGGAGCAGCTTCCGACGCGACCTTCAAGTGACTTGACCTTTGGTAGCCAAGTAGCCCGACGACATAGCCAAGAAGCCGAAATAGCATGGTGGGTCCTACTATGACCCCTCCCATTTACTGTACGACGGCAAAGCCCGTGCAAAGTGGTGGGAACAGCTCGCTATCACGTCGGCATACAAGGGCGCTCATGTTTCGAGAAGCCACCCAACGCGGCTCCAATACACTGTAGCAATTGGTCAACAGCCGCCCAAAGTGGCGCGAACACCATATTCATTTTCAGAGGTCGGAGCATTGACAAGCATCCACCCAATTCGAGATGACAGGCCTTCAACGTTTGCGCGGGGCGTCCTTACCTGCCGCCGTTCGCTGCGTGCTTGTCTTTGAGCAGCGATCCATCTCGCGTTCATGACTGGGTGCATAGATAGCTAGCTCGTCGATAGATCGAATATATACATTCACCATGGAGCAAGAGATAGCGAGATATCGTGTTGGCGTGACGCTCGAGTATCATCGAGGCCGCTGCAATCCGCAACTGGACGCAGCGCGGATGTGACGGGAAGATAGCGGCTCAGCTGATCCCCCTCTTCTTCTTCTCCCCTTCTTCGTCTCCGAGCGCCAACCCAAGAAAGGTGTTACAAACCGTGTTTTGATTGGCTAAAAAGGCGTCTTGGATGAACGCTGCGCCAATCAGCGCGCGTGGCGAGCTTCTCTCGCGCGAGCCACGATCGACGTAGATGCGCGACCACTTGGTGTTTGTATACGTCGGCGAAAGCGAATGAAAAATTGCCAGCCAACGCGATTGCCAGTGGTTACGCCAAGTGGTCATTTCCGGTCCGGCGGCGCTCCTCTGATACGACCGACGACCGACCATCATGCAGCCCTCTCCCATGCACCCCGTGCTCTACGAGAAGTACCAGCCGCAAGGCAGCATGGCGCCTACGGAGCTCGTGAACGCGGGCGCAAGCCAGGACGTGCTCGTCGTCACCTGCAAGGGCGGCGCGCGCCTCCTCGTCTCCAAGAAAGAGCTCGACGCGCTCAAGCTCTTCTTGCCCAAGTACGAAGACATTGACATGCGCCGCCTCGTCAACACACTGCCGCTGCTGCTGCAAGAAATGGAGACGTCGGCCAAGTCGCCGGCCAAGGCGCCGCTTGCCAAGGCCAAGCCACAACTGTCGCGCACGTCCAGCAACGCATCCATGTACAACGACACTGCGGTAGGCATACCCGTGCACAAGACGCCATGACTCATAAAGATTAGGCCAAGGACGCGGAAGCCCGCATCCACGAGCTCGAAGCGCAGCTCGCCGCCGAAAAGATGAACGTTGAACGGTATCGTCGACCGTCCGTATTCTGCCTTGTCTCTAACGTCTGAAAATGGTGGTTTCGTAGATTTGCCTATGACAACCTCATGCTGAAGGAGACCGTGCTGCGGAAAGATCGCGCCGAGCACGAGTCGAGCGTCGCGGCCAAGCAGCTCCATGCGCGCCTCGACGACTCGAAGAAGGCGACGGAAGATCTCCACGCGCACCTGCTCGACACGACGTCGAGCTTGAAGAAAGACCACGCGCAGGCCACGGACTCGCTCCTCGCCGAGCATGACGCCAAGCTCACGTCCCTCATTGCGTCGCACAACGACGCGGTCGCGGGCCTCACGGCCAAGCACACGGAGGAAACCGAAAGCCTCCACACCAAGTACACGGCCGACATTGATGACCTCCACGCCAAGCTCAAGGCGCTCATGGTGGTCGTCAGCGACAAGGACTCGTCGATTGCTGCGCACAACGCGACGATTGCGGGTCTCACAACCGACCTCGCTACGACGACGGCAACGCTCGAGGCCACCCAGTCCTCGCTCGCCGCCACGACCGCCGATCTCGGGGCGGTCCGCGACGACTTTGCGTCGCAGGGCGCGCACCTGATGGCGGTCGAGACGGACAAGAAGGCCAAGGAAGATGACATTGAGGCGCTGACGGCGCAGCTGGCGACCGTCGAGGCCAAGGCGAACAGCCTGTACGAGCACACGCAGGGCCTCGTGGCCGAGCTGGCCGACATGCGCAGCGAGCTCACGACTGAGGTGCAGGACATGGAGCAGTACATGACGAACGCGATGGAGAGCGTCATGACCGAGTCGCAGAACCGCGAGACGGTGCTGTACGACCACCTCCAGCGCGAGACGCTCGAGCGCAAGCGAATGACGGAAAAGTACCACGAAGTGTCGGGCAAGATCCGCGTCTTTTGCCGCATCCGCCCGCTCAAGGTCGCGACGAACGAAGAGAGCGCGTACATGTACCCGAAGCCGCAGACGCTCCTTGTCGCGTCGCAGCGCAAGGAGTTTGTCTTTGACCAGATTTACGGCCCCGAGAGCACGCAAGAACAGGTGTACGAGCACATTGACCCGCTCGTGGGCTCGGTCATGGACGGCTACAACGCGTGCGTGCTCGCGTACGGCCAAACCGGCGCCGGCAAGACGTACTCGATGGTCGGCGAGCCGCGTGCGCCGGGGATCATTCCGCGCGCGCTCCAACAGCTCTTTGAGATGAGCACGGCGCGTCAGCTCTTGTACGACGACCGGATCTCGATCAGTATGCAGGAGATTTACAACGACCAGCCGCGCGATTTGCTCTCCAAGGACATTGTGACGGCCAAGGACTCGCTCGAGACGCGCCCGGTCTCGTCGTGGGAAGAGGTGCAGCACGTGCTCGACGAAGGCCACAAGAACCGCTCGGTGGCTTCGACCAAGATGAACATTGAGAGTTCGCGGTCGCACGCGATCATTTTCGTGTACGTCAACAGCGCCAGCCGCCAGACGCTCGAGAAGAAGAGCAGCACGCTCTGCCTTGTGGATCTCGCGGGGTCGGAGCGCATTTCGCGCACGCAGGTGACGGGCGACCGGCTCAAGGAGGCGCAGCACATCAACAAGTCGCTCTCGACGCTCGGTGACGTGGTCCACGCGCTCCAGCACAAGGCCAAGCACGTGCCATACCGCAACTCGAAGCTCACGTTTACGCTGCGCGACATGCTCTCGGGCGGCGCGAAGGCGCTCATGATGCTCCAAGTGAGCCCCGACGTGGCCGACGTGGGCGAAAGCCTCTGCTCGCTGCAGTTTGGTGCGCGCGTGAGCCAGGTCGAGCTCGGCGCGGCCAAGCAAACGAGTGTCGAGTCGGGCGAGCTCCTCACGATGAAGGATGAACTTGCCAAGCAAAAGGGCGAGAGCGAGAAGGAGCTCACGCGCCTCCGCGCCGAGATCGAGCAGCTCCGCGACGAGCTCGAGACGCGCTCCAACAGCTTCCAGACGACGATGACGGCTGCGTCCAACCTCAGCAGCAAGGCGTCCAACCAATCGGGCGACGACGAGCCGAACGACGACGACTGGAAGCGCCTCAACACGGACAGCGAGCCCGAACCGGAGGTCAAGAAGCGCGCGCCGCGGGCGTCGATCGGATCGACGTCGTCGCGCCTCTCGAGCGTCAGCAGCAAGTCGGCGCGCTCGACGGCAACGACGACACCAGTCGTGCCCAAGCCCACAACGACTCGGTCGACCTTGAGCCGGCGCCTGAGTCTGCCGGTCAAGCCGACGACGTCGTCGGTGACGGCGCCGACCGCTGCGTCGGTGGCCGCTGCGGTGCCCGTGGTCCGCGCCAAGGCGCTCAGCACTGTTACGCGCCCGAGCCGGCACTCGATTGGCCCGGGCGAAACCGTGTCGGTGCGCGCCAAGATGACGGCGACGTCCCGGACGGCGGCGACCGCCAAGACGCCGACGACGACCAAGGCCGCGGCCACGTCCTCGCCCCGCAAGTGGGTTTAGGGCCTAGTAATACTTAGTTGATAATATATTTGCCTTTTTAAGCTTGATTACTGAGGTTGCGAGGGTAACGACCGGTACATAACGTCAACCTGTCGTCGGTCCAGGATGGTACTCGACGTGGCCCGCGGTGGGCCTGGACTGCCACTCGTCGGCGCCTGGACTTCAACCAGTCTACATGAGCCCGTCAGCCAACAGTAGTGTATGGAACAGGCTGCCGCGCGCCGGTTTACTTGCGCGGGCTCCCGGCTTCGCTCGGCGGCGGCAAGATACGCGCAACGACCGGCGACCGCGCATCCAGCGTCGCGCGCATGTTGAGCCGGGGGCTGTACGGTCCGTGGGAGCTGGGCCCGTGCATCGGCTTGGACGGCGCGTGGCCATGGACCTCCATGCGCGTCGCGTTGCGTTTCTGGAATTCGAGCTCTAGACCCAGCACCGCTAAGAAACGAACCGTGGTCGTCGTACCTTGGGTCGTCCGCGCGACAAACTCGGCGCGGTGCGCGGCGTGGATGCGGTCGCGGATCGTCTGTGCGATGCGCAAGTTGGCGTCGACGCGCGCCTTTGTGCTGTCGACGCGCGACACGATCGAGTTGACGCCGACCATTTGGATAAAGGCGCCGTAGCGCTCGTTCGTACTCGCGGTGACGAACCGGAGGTTCTCGGCCGCTTCGGCCGTGGCGCCAAAGCGCGGCGGCGGCAATTTGGCCTCGACCGGCTCGACGCGCAAATGTCTACCATCGTGATCTGCACCACGCAATCAAAGCAGACACGTACCCGCGGCCGTTGACGTTGAACGACTCGCCCCGGAAGGCGTAGCCTAGTCAAGAAATATGAGACACGTCGAGAGACGACGAGGCGTAGGGACCGAGCTCCTCCTCGATGGTTTGCCAGTGCTCGCTCGCGTGGAGGATCTTGACGATCGCGCACGCAAAGTAGTAGACGCACTCGAAGAAGATCTCGTCTTCCTTTTGGCGCTCAAAGTTGCTGCAGTGCAACACGATGCGTGAGTAGCTCGTCGCGAGGTGGCTCAGCGTCTCCGCGTGCAGCTGATTGGCGCGCAGGCGGCCCTCGGGCATCGCCGCGCTGTTCTTCTCGAGGAGCTTGAGCCCGACGATCGAGTCGACGTGGTCCATGGCCGCGTGCACGAAGAGCACCATAATGTCTGCGCACTTTGTCGGCCCTCGACGGAAATTTGATGCTTTGGACGCACCGGCGTTGTAAAAATCGGTAAATTTGAGCGGGATTTTCAAAAGCCCTTGGGTCCGCTGGCGCTCCATCTCGAGGTAGACGTCCTCTGCGCATGTGAGTGCGAGCGTCATGACGAGACGATGAGACTACCCATGAGCTGCTTGACGTCGGGCGGACCTTTCTGTGCCATGTGGAGATAGTGGCTTGTCTTGACCCCGCGCGATGGCCTACGTACTCGGCGTTGTGATCGACAGCGTAGATGCTGCGATGTCGTACATGCTCTTGATACCGCGGCCATCGCCTTTGGCGGTGACCACGGAGCCTTGGCGACCAAAGAGTGGCAGCGCTTTGCCATCGAGCCGTCGGGCAGTCTCCTTGATGCTTCCGGACCGGCTTGTCAACCCTTTCCTACGCTGGCAGTCAGATGCAAGCAGTATCATCGCGTACAAAGGTGCGGTGGACGAGGCCCCATCGCCTAATGAACACGGTCGCATCAAGATGCATGGACGTAGCTTGCGCACCGAGCCTCGACGTTGGCATCGACGACCAAGCGACCTATTTTTGGCCCGATGGACGACAAGACGTTATGAGCCTTTCCATGAGAAAGCCCATGCGTCGAAGGAACGCAGGAGGATGCTGCACAGGGTGCTCGAAGGCTTTTGGCAATTAAGATAGGTTCATGCATACTAGTACTGGCCGTGGGCGACGCGCCATGCCCGGTACTCGTCGAGCCCTTCGTGCGACCCACCCATTTGATGCAGCCACATGACTTCGACGTGGTCGTGCTTGATGTACTCGAGCGGGTTTCGCCGGCGCTGACGCTGTGCGAGGAGCGTGTGCATGTCGGGCATAATGGGCATCGGGATCTTCTTCAACCCATCGTCGTCGAGCGGCTGAAGCAACTCCTCCAGCGACGCGTCAATGGCTACGTGCGCTCGATCGGCCTCGGTGAACGTCGCTCCTCTCGCGCCATGGCACTTCTTGCCGTCCGGGGTCATGCTCGGGGGCCGTGGTACCCGGAGCTTGGCGCTCACCGGCGGCTCTCGGCGCTTGGCGCGCTCGAGGGCTGCGACGCGGCTCTTCCATGTGCTCGGTGTCTTCTTGAGCTTCTCGTACTGGCATGGTCGGTGCTTTGGGAGGTCCTTGAAGTCGAGGGCGAGCATGGCCGCGATCTTGTGTGTGTGCGACGCCGCTTCTTTCAATATTTTATTCTGCATACTTGTTGCAAGTACATCGGCAATATTTTAATCCCATCCGCGCTGTCTGTATCCACGCCATCTTGGATGCTGTTCAGCACTTGATATCCAAGATTTACAACGTAAAACGGCGTGTTTTTAGATAGAGACCATGCATGCTTAAATGCGCCACTCGGCGCCTTCGCGCGCTTCGTCTTCGTCCGTGATGAAGGGCAGGTGGATCGACTTGATCATGACTTCGCCGCAAAAGATGCACTCGGACGCGACAATCTCGTCGAGCTTTTGCTGGACCAACTCGCGCTCGTTCGTGTTGGTCTTGAGGGCCGTGATCGCGTCCGCGCTGTTCTTGTCGCTTGAGAAGACGTTGGCGACGCGCTGGAAGGTCGACTGCGGCGGCTCGAGCGAGAGCTCCTGGAGCTTTTGCATGAGCTGCTTGACTGTCTGGCGCTGGAAGCTGTTGAGATGCTTGGTCATTTCTTGGCGCAACGCCGCCGCGTGAAAGGCGTGGCCGCACGGGAAGAGGTAGAACTCCTTGCTGAGAATGTTGTCGCCCGTGAGGTCGCAGCGCTGGTTGCCGTAAATGTTGGCCGACCGCTTCCGCAATTGCTGCATATCGGCGCGAATGAGCTCGGCCGACTCGGTGTACTCGCGCATCTCGGCCTTGAGCTGCTCGATGCGGTCGTTGTAGACCTGGAGCGACTCGCAAATCTCCTTCTTGAAGTCGTTGATGACGACAAAGTCGGGAAAGAACGGCAAAATGTCCTCGATCTGCAGCATCTCGCTCTCGTTGAGGATGCCCATGGCCTCCTTGATGTCGCCACCGGCGTCAATCGTGTGCTTGGCAATGAGCGTCCACAGCGTCTTCTTCAAGTCCGCGTCGTCCGGCATGTTGGCCATCTCCTTCGCAATTTGGACGTCGACCTGGAGCGCCTTCTCGACCGCTTCTTGGTAAAGCCCCATGGCCGAGTAAATGTAAATGCACGCGCGGTTCTTCTCGTGCTGCGCGCAGAGACGGAGTGCGAACGCCGGGTCAAAGAGCTGGGACCCACTCGACTTGCTCAGAAAGTTGATCAGGAGCCGCTCGTCCGGGTGCTTCGCGAGGAGGAACACTATGTAGTTGTGGATCGTCTCGTCGCGGTTGCCTTGCTTGATGACAAACTTGAGGAAGTCGATCGCGAGCTCGAGCACCGACCGGCGGTTGACGTGTTCGTCCTTTTGATGCACGTGGCGCACGATGCTCGGGATGAGGCGCGACGGGTCGAGCGTCTCGGCGGCCTTCCAGACCTCGAAGAGCTCCTTCGGCTTGTGCACGATGAGCTCGGGCGAGTACTTGTAGTAGAGCTCTTCGACTTTCTGCGTCGGCGCGCCTTTGAGGAGCTCGATGGCCGCGCCATACTCGCCGCGGTGAATGTGGTACGTCACGACCTTCTCATAATCTTCGATCAAGCTTGCGTAGAAGACGAGCTCGTCCGCGCGGCCGTGGGACGCGATCAAGTTGAACGTCGTCGACGGGTCCAGATGCTGCTTGTGGTCTTGGAGAAACTGCTTGAACTCAAAGAGGAGGTTGGCGTGCATGTCAATGTCCTTCTCGGCGACCGAGAGGCCGTTGAATTTGTCGAGGTAGAGCTCGACGAGCCACGAGCAGAGCACGGTCGCCTGCGTCTTGTCGTCGCTGCTCGTCTGCCCGAGCTTCGTTAGCAAGAACGCGTGGAGCGCATCCGTGGCCTGGACCTCCATGAAGCGCAGCGCGACCTCTTCAAACGACCGCGACGACTTTGCGTACAAGGCCGCCGCGCGATCGAACTCTTCGCGGTCAAAGCATGCGTCCGCCTGCGCCGTCCAGACCTTCTGACGCTGGATCACGTCATTGCACGCGGCAAGCGCGCGGGCAAAGTCCCGTTCGAGGTCGTCCGTCGACTTGGTAAACACGTCGTGGGTTGCTTTCGCCAGGTACAAGCTCCAAATGTGGCGATCTTCGTTGGTCACGAGTACTTGGAGGATTCGGCGCTCCGAGTGGATCCAGAGCGTGTTGAGCGTCGGGTCGTATGCGATGCCGTTGATGCTGCCGACGCGCGCGTCGAAAACTTCTTCGAGGACGACGAGGCCGTTGAGCTTGCAGAGCACTTGGACGTACTTGGAGTAGAGCAGCACGACGTGGTACTCGGTGGTTGCGATCGCAAGTGGCGGACTCATCGGCTTGTCGGACGACGACGGCGGGAACGTGAGCATGTCGACGTTGGTCCAGATATTGTCGATCGAGCTGCGGGCGCTAAAGTGAAGGTCGCCGTGGTACACGCCTTCGCCGGTGAGGATGGCAAAGCACTTGGCGCGCTCGCGCTCGTGCTTGGCAAAGACCGAGAGCTGCGCCGTGTTGATGTCGCCCATGATCTCGTTGAAGCGAAGCGCGTCGGTCGACATGTAGGCGCCAAAGAGACTCTCAAAGGTCGGGCCGCCAAGGAACTGGTACATGCGCGTGGGCCGCCGACCCGACCCCGACGTCGTCATGATGACGTAGAGCTGTGTCTGGTTGACGTGCTCGAACTCGAGACCCGCGATCGCGCCCTGCTGCGTGATGGCGTATACGCGGTTGAACTTTTTCTCCTTGCCGTCAAACTCGGCTTCGTAAATGTAGCCGACGTCCGTACCGATGAGAATCGACTCGGTCGTCGCGGGCGACCCGAGCTGGCGGTCCCACGCGACGCACGTGAAGCGGCCTTGGGCCTTCGTGAGCTTCCGTGGCCGGTTCGTGGACGAGTGCAGGTACCAGTTGGTGCCATTCTCGAGCGAAATGAGCACATGGCCGCCACTTGGGTCAATGTAGATCGAAATGACGGCAACCTTTGGTTCGATCGTGATCTCTTCGACCGCGTTCGGCGTCGCGTCCGTCGCGTCGGCCGTGCAGCGCAAGATGGAGCCTTCCGCGGACCCGATTGCCATGACGTTGTTGCCAATGCTAAAGCAGCGTGGCGTGAAGCCCTTGCGGCGGCTGACCTTGAGACCGTGCTCGCGGAGCTCGAACATGGTCGACTGCTTCCCGCCGAGGCCGGCGCGGGCTGGCGCCTGGAGGCGGATAGGCTCGTCGTCGTCCGAGCTGGCCGCGGCCGCAGCGACGTTCATGTAGGGAGACGTGTAGTCCGCGCGGGTCGCGGCTACGCGCGTCGAGTTGTCTCGGCCCGACTGCTCTTCGTGCCAGTCGGCAAACAGGTCGGACGACATGGCGAGGGAGAAAGATGAGCTTGTGACGGCAGTATAGCGCTGCACTTGCTTTTCGTATGCCATACAAAGTCAAGAGATATTGCACTCGATACAAATACATTGTGTGCACGTTAAAGAGATGGCTAAACCCAGGATCGCGCGTTTTATTCGCGGTGGAGCAGCCAGCAGGACTTCAACTCCGGAACTTGATCAAGATATCGCTCGCATACCTAGAGACGCATCAACACATAACAAGACTCCGCTCCGACCAAACATGCACGTCCGATACGCAGCTGCTACCCTCCGACTACACGATCGTACAGCTCTCGGAGCAAATGACGAGCCTGCTGTCTGAAGCAGCAGCAACAACCTCCAACGATGCGCTAGACGCTGCCAGCGAGCGCGCGATCCAGCTCGCACACCGCGTCCTTCGGCGCGACGATACGATCACTGCGTTGCGGGAGAAGATAGAGCGCGGCCTTGAGCGTAAGAAGGCCCAGGTGCAGCACAGCACAATGCATTTGGTCGACGCCAACCCCACCACTGCCAAGAACAAGACGACGATTTCGCTGCTCCATACATGGGTCAAGAGTCTCGAGACCCAGATTCACGCCGCCGGCGTCTCCAATGACACGCTTCTCGCTACACAACTTCCTGGCGAAGTGCCATCTCTGATGGCCCGTTTCTATCCCATCTGCGGCATCCGTCAACTCGTTGACACCTTCTCCAACAACAACGACAAGGACAAGTCGTGTCAGACACATTGGTTGCCCAATGACTAGGAACGGAAATCCTACAAAAAGTGGACAATTATTGCTATAAGAATTTCGTCTTCTTAGTCCGGTGGTGCTATCTTCTCTAGCACCGCTGCACCAGGAGGCAAGTCGACAAGATGATGTATCGTGAAGTCGATCGCCGCGCTTCGGCGACGGGTCGTAATCCACGCCAATAGCCAATCACGTGACAGGACGCACGTGTACCTAGATGCCATTGGCTACCCAAATTGGCCAATGGTTTAGACGCCATTCGGGCATGCTGCTCCTGGCGCGCGGACGGAGCCGGGTGGGCACCCGGGGGATCTCGGTACTGCACCTCAATGGCAGCCTCTCGGACGAGTCGGTCACGTCAGTCGTCGCCTCGGGCTTCCTCGCCTGCCTCGCGCAGCAGAATGCGCGGCGCGAAATGGCCAACAACATCAAGTACACGCCCGACTCGTTCACGCTCGTCGAGCGGGACCTTTGGCACCCGGAGCTGCCGCGCTTCTGCAAGGCCACGATGAACAGCAGCTACCGCGTCCTCCTCGGCGAAGGCTCTCCAGACGACGAAGCGCAGATCGCGCCGATCCGGTCGCTGACTGCCGAGCTCTTGGCCGCCGACTGCATCGTCATCTCGGCGCCGGTTTGGAACCACAGGTAGCTCGCATCCTCTACGTGCCTTGTATTTTGACACATCTGCGTAGCGTCCCATATGTGCTCAAGCAATACATGGACTGCGTCGTGCAGCCCAACATGACGTACTGCAACACGACCAAGCAGCCCTTCGTCTCGGGCAAATCGGTCGTCCTCGTCACGTCGGCAGGTGGCGCCAGTACAAACGTGCCGGAACACGAGTCGGCATACGGCTTGGTCAAGGCTGTCTTTGGTCGTATGGGTTACGACCGCAGCCACGTGATCACGATCGAGGGGCTGCAGGCGCCCGAGCTGCGCGAGGCCCGGCTGGACAAGGCGCTGAGTGACGCCGAGGAGGTCGCGTCGCACGTGGCAACTGACGCAACCACCTAGTCCGACTTGCTGTACATAGATAGAGACAAAAGTAGCAAGACGTGGCCAATACAGTTTTGGTAGATGATGTGAGATCTTAGTCGGTTTTGGCAGCCTTGGCAGAGACGCCGACGACCTCGCCCTTGGCAAAGAGCGGCGCGTGGTGGTGGTGCGTGTTGAAGGCGATCATGAGGCCAATGTTGACGACAAAGAAGACGAGGCCCGCGATCCAGACGTTGAAAAACGTGTTTTGGCCCATGATTTCAAGCCCAAACGCCCAGTATAACCAGTGCAACTAGCAGTGAATCCTTGAGTAACGAGCAACAAGTGAGGACACGTGCGCACCTCGCCACCAAACCAGAGACCAATCATCGCGAGGAGCTGCTTGCCCGAGAGCTCCGAATGGGGTAAAACGAGCGGCAAGTAGACCGAGTACCACAAAAAGTACTACGAAAAACGCTGCGTGACCGGGATGGACGGGCTGAGGGTATGGTACCTGGGCCGTGCACACCTTGTTGAAGACGACAAAGCACACCGTGAGGAGAAACTGCGCAAAGATCAAGTCCTTGCCGCAGCGAAGCGAGATGTTGAAGAGCGTGAGGAACTGCGGGAGGAACGCAATGAGCCCCATCATGAAGCCACCGCTCGTGCCGTAGCTAGAGACACAGCACTAAGATTGGCAATATGATCGTAGATATGCGGAGTGTACCGGAGGTAGAGGTCGTAAAAATACATGGAAAAGTTGTGGCGGTTGTCCGTGCGCGAAAAGTGGTACAAATACCCCTCAAAGAGGAACGTGTAGCCATAACTAGAGGAGCGATGAGACTTCGAGACACGGAGAATGCAGCGTACATGGCGTAGAAGAGACCGGTGAGCGCAAGGAAGAGCCCGCCGCTGACAAGACCAAAGGTCAGCCGATGGCGGTTCAGCCAGTGCAGCGCCTTCCCAATGAGCGACGATGGCACAGGGCGGGAGGCGAGCGCATGATCATAGTCTTCGTCGAGAAACTAGAGGCATATCAATACAATGCCAAGTCGACGAACGAGGACGTACGACAAGGAAGGCGAGCGCATACACGATGGGATAGATCTTGAAGTGAACGGCGAGGCCGTAGCTAATGCAGTGACGTCGCATGAGCACGCGTCGCATGGGTGTGCATACATGAGCGCAGAGAGCACGAGCTGCTTCTTCATGAGCAAGTAGAGCGAGACCATGCAGAGAAGCACGACGAGTGTGTCGGCGTTGCCACGCGTCGAGATGTTGATCGAGAACGGGTGGAAGAGCCACACCATGGTGTAGTTGATCGCAGCTATATGGACGCCATGAGCTCGTCGCGATTCTTAGAAGCTCATATTTGCAGTACTTGACTCGGGAATCGCGCGCAGCTGCAAGATGGCGTAGATGACGTAGGCGACGACCATGTCGCTGGCGACAAAGAGGAGCTTGCCCCACGCCTCGTACACGTAGACGTTGGGCAGAAGAATGAACGCCCTAGATAGCTATGAGCATATGTGCGCAAGCCATGCATGGCGTACAGGAGCGGCGTGTAGCGGTACGTGGTCCGGTCAAAGGGCGAGTTGCCGGCGACGACCTCGCGCGACGCGTCCGTGTACACGTCGTAGTCGACGTCCGTGTACTTGACGACCATGGTCCGGTCCTGGTACTCGCCCCAGAGGAGCAGCGCGACGCGCGCAAGGAGCCCGATGGCGAAGATGACCTGCGTCCGCTGCTGCATGCCAAGTCGAAAATAGCGTCATCAGCGGCCGCTCGAAAGCAGCCATTATCTGAGCAACGGTGCAGTTCTTTGCCCAATCCGAATCCACGCGATCCACGTCATCCACGCCGCACTTACTCCATCAACGCACGCTGCTGTGGTGCCACGAGGCCACAAAATAGATATGGCGAACGTATCAGGACAAACGCCACGGCAGCGCGACACGAGCATAGCGTCCGGCCACGCAAGCAGCGTCTCTCTCGCCACAACTGAGTGCAGAGGGCAGGTTGGGGAGATACACTGTGAGATTCCAGTGTATCCTCATACAGCGTATGCATGGCTCGCTGCAGGGCGAGCACGAGATGCGCACCAAGATCAAGGTCAGGATCAAGGTGAGCAAGGTCCGCTGGAGACAACCTTTTCAGCAAGAAAGCGGTGCCGATCCTTATCCGACCATCCGGATAAGAAATGAAGCGTTGTGATTGGCTACCTGCGTTTGGTTGGTGGTCTCTAGGACACCAACCAACCAAAATTAGGTTCCGGTTGCTACGCGGGATTCACAACGTAGAAAAGCATGGCGAAGGTGACGAAGCGCATGGCCAAGCCGGCGGCTCCTCCGTCCAAGGCGATGGGCGCGCCCAAGAAGCTCAAGGGCAAGGCTGCTACGCCCATCAAGACGAAGCGCGTCAAGGCCAAGGTGGCCCGCGCCATCAAGAACAAGGCGCCGAAGCTCGTCGAGAACACCAAGCAGCTCCTCGTGCTCCGCGGCAACAAGACGAACGAAGATGTCTCGAACCTGCTCCGCGACCTGCGCATGATCAAGGCGCCGGACGCCAAGGCGCTCTCGAAGCGCAACGAGCTGCACCCGTTCGACGATGCCAACAGCGTCGAGTTCCTCACGGCCAAGAACGACACGAGCCTCTTCCTCCTCGGCTCGAGCACGAAGAAGCGCCCGAACAACGTCATCTTTGGCCGCACCTTTGATGGCCACCTCATGGACATGATCGAAATGGGCTTTGAGAACTTCAAGTCGATCGACGACTTCAAGGTCAAGAGCAAGATGGCGCCGGGCTCCAAGCCGTGCTTCGTCTTTGCTGGCAACGAGTGGGACACGATCGAAGAGTACACGAAGCTCAAGAACCTCTTTCTCGACATCTTCCGCGGTACGATCACGACGGCCGTGAACCTCAAGGGCCTCGACCACGTCATTGTGTGCTCGGCCGCCAAGAACCGCGTTCTCTTCCGCCACTACTCGATCGACTTTAAGCTCTCCAACGACACGCACCCGCGCGTCGAGCTCGACGAGATGGGTCCGCGCTTCGACCTCTCGTTCCGCCGCCACAAGTTCGGGTCTGCCGACTTGATGAAGGCCGCGTGCAAGAAGCCCAAGGAGCTCGCGCCCAAGAAGGTCAAGAACATCACGCGCGACGCGCTCACGGGCGACAAGATTGGTCGCATCCACGTCGAGCACCAAGATATTTACAGCATGAACGTCCGTCGCGTCAAGGCGCTGCGCAAGTCGCCCGGCCAGCTCAAGACGGACGACGAAATCATGGACTAGATAACTACAGTACTACCTTAACAACACCAACAACAAAAAACTCAGATCTAGATGTCAAAACCACTCGCAGTGTCTTGCCAAGCCCAGTGTCCATCACAAAGCGCAGCCAAATGGTCGAGCGGATGCACAACGAACGCCTGTTTCGAGCTTCCTCGCTACGATAGGGGTAGGGTCATCGGCTGACCACCATGAACTCATAGCCAGGAAGCCAAGCTCATCCAAGATCTTACATGACTGCTACGCTGGATGCGAATGAAACCACGTCTCGTCCCGAGATGGTTGGTGCGATATGGTCCCTACGCCTACTTGCTTCCCGACTCCTCTTCTTCCTTCCAGTACGCCATGCTGCCAAGGACAACGTACGATCGAAGAATGTTTTTGGTGCCTATATATTCTCTGCTGATAATCCTTTTTTCCTGACGTAGTATTAGTGTAAACCTATTTCTTCTTGGCCAAGCCCGAGACAATGTCGTCGATGCGCAGCAACATGCAAGCAGCCTCGACCGCCGTCTTGATCGTCTGCGTCTTGACCTGGTACGGCTCCCAGACGCCGAGTTCTTCCGTCGTCACGACCGCGCCCTTGACGCCGTCGACCGCGTACCCGCCGTTGTTTTCGGCAATCTTGGCCCGCAGCGCCGTCATGACGCGGACTACGCTCGCGCCGCAGTTCTGGAGGAGCGTGCGGGGAATGACCTCGAGGGCTTCCGCGACCGCCTTGAACGGCCACTGCTCGACGCCTTCGATCTCGTGCGCGCGCTGGCGCAGCTCGTGCGCGAGGCGCATCTCGGTGGCACCACCGCCCGGGAGAAGAAGCGGCTCGAAAACCACGTTGCGGGCGACCTGGAGCGCATCCTGGAGGTTGCGCTCGACTTCGTTGAGGACGTCCTTGGAGCCACCGCGGAGGAGGATCGTGCAGGCACCGGGGTCCTTGCAGTCTTCGAAAAAGGCGAAGTACTCGTCGGCGATCTTGCGCACTTCGAAGACGCCGCACTTGCTGCCAATGTCGCTCTCCTGGATCTCCTCGGCGCGGCTGACGATCGTGGCGCCCGTCGCGCGCGCGATGCGGTTGTTGTCCGTCTTGCGGAGGCGGCGGAAGCACGTAATGTTGGCCTTGACAAAGTAGTGCTGCGCGAGGTCGCTCACGCCCTTCTCCGTGATGACAATGTCGGGCTTGACGGCCACGATCTGGGCGCAGAGCTGCTCAATGTACTCTTCCTCCATGCGGAGAAGCGTGTTCCAGTCCTGCTCGTTCGTGAGCTCGACGTTGGTCTGCGATTCGCCCTTCTTGTACTCGAGGGGGCAGTCGAGCAGCAAGACGCGCGGGTTCTTGATGTGGCGGCGCATCTTCGAGTGCGTCACGTCCTTGTTGAACATGACACCCGAGAGGACGCGCGAGTCCTCGAGCTCGCCGCCCGGGATCTTCTCGACCTTGGCGTAGCGCTTGACGTCGACTTCCTTCTTGCCCGTGTGGGGGTTCGTGCGCATGACCGTCAAGACCGCGTCCAAGGCCAATTCGGCCACAATGTTGCCGACGCGCGGCGAATACTTGGTGCCAACGCTCGAGAGAATCAAGTTGCGCATGGCGACCTTGTCGTGGACATCGATCTTCTTGGCCATGCGCTTGCACGTCTCCAAGCACATTTGCAGGGCCTGGTGGTAGCCACGAATAATGACCGTGGGGTGGACCTGGCGCGAGAGGAAGGGCTCAGCGACAACGAGCATTTCACCCGCTACGATTTCTTTTCATGAGCCGACAGCATTGCTTGCCGTAGTTACGTACACAAGATGATGACCGAGGTGGTGCCATCACCAACTTCTTCGTCCTGGGCGCGGCTCAACTCGATCATGCTCTTAGCGGCTGGATGGGAGACATCGACTTCGCGCAAAATGGCGTTGCCGTCGCTCGTCATGACAATACCACCCATGGGGTCGAGAAGCATCTTGAGCATGCTGCGCGGGCCGAGCGTCGTGCGGACAATCTCCGAGACCGCCTACACCCGCATGAGCGTCCGTCGACCTGGCCATATCGGTTCTACCTTGGCGGCCTGGATGTTGCCGAGCTGGGCCGAGCGACCAGTCTCACGCTGGGTGTTGGTGTCTAGAGGAAGCCACATCATGAGCTCGGCGCAGGAGGCGGCTCCACGTACTGAGGACCATGACGGGGGCTTGCATCATCCTGGCGACGAGATGTACGGCGACCTCTGAATAACAACAAATGACTGCCATACTTTGATCCACATGTCCAAGTGGGCCGTCATTTAATTCAAAGATATTAATTCCTCTACAAACATCAAGTGGAAAAGAACTTTCTTAAAAAATGAAATCCGAACGAAATGATTGGTGGAATCCTAACGACGCGAAGTCACACCAAGATCTTGGCGCCAGCCCCAGGCAGCGCCAGCATTGTTGTCCCCACGTCCTGGACGTCGGGGCAGCCGCGTCGTCTTTCTTATTCATAGCGTCGCTGCGTTGCGCCACCATGAACGGCATGAATCAAGTTCGCAACGACGATCGATGGCATGGTGACCGTCTCTAGAAAGGACGACGGGCGTTTCGACTTTGCAAGATGAACACGACAGGTAAGCATATCTTCTCGGATAGTTATATAGTTGATTAATAGCTGGAGGTGTCGGTGTCGTTGCCCTCGATATCGCAGCTCCACTTGCCGACTTCGCTCCAGAGCGACTCTTCCTCGGGCGACTCTGTAAAGTCAGCACTCGCCGTGCGCTGGAAATGCCGCCGCTTCTCTTCGCTGCTACTGCAGTCCATGGACGCCTTGCGCTTCGGCGCGGGTGACTCGTCGAACCGGACGTGCACCTTGGTCGTTGCCGGCGTCGTCGCACAGAGCCCATGGTGGTAGAGAAGCTTTTCTGGCGACTCGAACGTCTTGGCGCAGTCGACGCAGTTCCAGATATATGTGTTTGTCTCGGGCGACAGCGTCGCGTACTGCTTGTAGCTCGCACACATGTAGTGCATTGGGTGGCCCGCGTTCCATTTCCCGTCGACGAGTGACCGGCCGCAGTAGCAGTCGACTTGAGCAGCAGTCGATACGGCGTGTGGCACAGCCGTGTCCATGCAGTGCTCGGCGTGCTGGCGGCGCGCCTCGTCAGTCTTGAACCGCTTCGGACAGCGTGGGCAGGCAAAGTTGCGCTCGGTCGAGTCGGCGCTGCACGCGACGTAGTGCGAATACAAGCTGTGGTCGGACTCGAAGCAGGCGCCGCATTTGGAGCACGGCAGCTCGATCTTGCGGTTGAGGTCCCACGTCTTCCAGATCGAGTCCATGTGGAAGGGCGAAGGAATCGCGTCGAGGAGCTTGTCGTGGATCCAGAGCAGCACGAGGGCGTCCAGTGCCGCGTACATAAGCTGCGCTGGCGAGAGCGGGCGGCGGTGCCAATTGGACGTCTGTTGCGTCTTGACGAGCTTTTTCTGCAAGCAAAAGTATACGATCTTCTGGAGGCTCATGAGGCACGTGTGCTCGAGAACGACGCGCAAGAGGTCGTTGGCCTCGACGACGCTGTGGATCTTGCGAAAGCACGACGCCTTGGGGTACGCCTCATGGAGCTCCTGCACAAAATGGATGAGATGATGCGCCGCGAGGTTGACGACGTACTTTGAGATCGCCGAGCAAGCCTTGTCCCATCTTGATTATATCGTGCGCGCAAAAGAGCTCGGTGAGCATGTCGTTGTAGTCGTCGACGTCCAATGCGATGAGATCGAGCACGAAGACGGCTTCATGGCCCTTCGCATCGCGCGTCGCGATCTGGAGAAGTGCGACGGGGTTGCGCTCCGAGTGCTTCTTGAACTCGGGTTTGGTTTCCTGCACGTGCAGACTGCATGAAGATCCGTTGCAATGGATGCGGCGCTACCGTGTCAATGCCAACGAGGACGGCGTCGCGGAGCGCTTGGTGGCAGCGCGCGAGGTCACTGCCCGCGCCGACGAAGGCGACGACCTTGTCAAAGTTGGGAATGCGCGCGGGCGGCGCGGTGGCAAGCGCCTTGACAAACTTCTGCTTGGAAAGCAGCGTCTCGAGGAGCTCGTGCATGCTCGCCAAGGACCAAGTGCTCGGGCGCTGCGACGCGAACCGGTCGATTCGTCCTGGCAGATTCGCTCGGCCCACGTGCCAACCAATGGCCATCGCGTGCGACAGTGTCGCAAGTTTGATTGGCCGAAAAACGTCCAATCGTGTGGCGCGGCTATGTGCCTATCCGGACAAAGGCGGGAAAGCGCGCAACGGAGCGGCAGACGTCCTCGTAGGCCGTGTCCTCACAGACCGAATCCATCCTCCAAACCCAACAGAATCGATCAACGACAACTTGTAGTTAAGGTTGACGACGAGGTGCTGGAGGGAGCACGCGTCCCATTAGAGATCATGGGCTTCCAGCACCGCTAAGGTATGCGTTCCCATCGTTGCTAGCCTCGTGACGTGGCAGGTCCGCCCTCAGCCAATGCCTGCCAGAGAGAAGCTCGTTTGTCTTCCAAGCTCTGGTTGCACGATATGACGAGTAATGTGGCGGTGGGCCTCGGCCTCTGCGGCGACTTGGCTCGTGTGCAGTGGTTGAAGTGAATGCGCCATCACAGAGTCGCTGACGTTGAAGTTGCTTGGTCCTTTCGGGTTTCTCCCATTTTTAAGCTGGGCAAAACCTCTTTATCCCGGATGCAACGCGGGCAAAACCCTGTTATCCGGACGACTCGTGGATTTCGAAACGGCGTTCGATGCCATGGGAATTCTCTGGCCGCGGAATCGGCCACGTTTGGAAGATGGCATTTCCGAATCCCATCATGACGACGACCCGCGTGCTCCTCGACGACTACCGCAACGTGCTCATCCGCCAGGAAGAGACGATCATCTTTGCGCTCATCGAGCGCGCCCAGTTTGCGCGCAACGATGCCATCTACCGCCAGCGCGCCGAGGCCACGCCGTCGCTGCGCGAGTTCAAGGGCAAGTACAACAGCTTCCAAGGCAGCTTCCTCGACTTTCTCCTCAGTGGCACCGAGAAGCTGCACGCGCTCAACCGCCGGTACACGGCGCCGGACGAGCACGCGTTCTTCCCGCAGCTCCTGCCCGAGCCAATGCTCCCGCCAGTCGCGTACCCAACCGTTCTCATTCCCAACGCGATCAACATCAACGACCAGATCATGAATGTCTACCTGCAAAAGATCCTCCCGCACATCACAGCCGACGTCGACGACTCGACCACGGTACAACATGACTCGCTTTGTCCATGTGCTGATGGCGTCGTGCTCTAGTATGGGTCGGCGGCCAATGCGGACGTTGCCGTGCTGCAAGCCTTGAGCAAGCGCATTCACTTTGGCAAGTTTATCGCCGAGGCCAAGTTCCAGGCCGAGACAGACAAGTACACGGCGCTCATCCGCAACAACGACGCTACGGGCATCATGGCGGCGCTCACCAACGTCGTCGTCGAGGAGGTATCGCTGTCCGTTCGCTTCAGAGCTCAACTAATCTCGACATTAGAAAGTCGCCAAGCGCGTGTGCCTCAAGGCGTCCACGTACGGCCAGGACATTGACGGGGCGCCGACCACGGCAAGCGGGCACTGCAAGGTCGACCCGCAGCTCATCTCGGACCTCTACCTCGTACGCCATAGCCTTTTCTCTTGCATCGCACATCTCATGACCCTGTGTGCAGAATTTCGTCATGCCGTTGACCAAGGAAGTCCAAGTCGCGTACCTACTGCAGCGCCTCGAGCACGAGTCCGTGGCGTACGTCGGTCCGATCGGAAGCCTCTCGTTCACGGCCGCCGTCACGCACTTTGGCGCCTATGCGACGCCCAACTTTGCGGCGACGTCGACGACCGCCGACGTCTTCCAGAGCGTCGCCAACAACAAGACTGCGTACGGCGTCGTGGCGTTCGAGGACGCACAGACAGGCATCATCAAGGAGACCCAGCTGCGCTTGCTGCAGAGGTACATTCATGGCCCATTCACATAGCCTTTCTCATGGGGTTGCTGCCATGTAGCCAGCTCAAGATTGTGGCTGAGACGCTCGTGCTCGAACCGTTCCTTGTCGCTGCGCAGCATGCTATTCCGCCGGCCAGCGTGACGTCGATCTACCTCCCGGCGTCGGCCGAAGCCAGCTTTGGCACGGCGATCGACCGGCTATGGAGCACGGCCAAGGTCGTCGTTGTGGCGAGCGTCGAGGAGGCCGCGCGCCGCGCGCTTGAGGAAACGACGGCGCTGGCCATCACGACCAATGACGCAGCCACGGCGTTTGGCTTGTCGCACCACGTGGAGATGCCGGCGTCGTCCTGGACAAGCGCGCCGCCGTCGACATCGATGCGGTTCCTCGTCATTGGGAAAGCGTGCAGCTCGCCGACGGGCCGGGACAAGACGTGCATCAGCATGAGCGTCAAGCACCAAGTCGGGTCGCTCCTCTCGGCATTGCAAGTCTTCAAGGACAACGGCGTCAACATGACGCGCCTCGAGTCGATCCCGCGCGTCGGGAACGCATGGGACTATGATTTCTTCGTCGAGCTCGACGGCCACCGCGACGACGCGCACATTCGCGCGGCCATGGAGCAAATGAAGCTGCACACGAACCACGTCCAAGACTTTGGCTCATTCCCGGCCGTGCAGCATGTCTAAGTCTATCAGCAGCGTATTCGAATGTCTCGTCATGGGGGTGCGTCATTTCGCAGCTTGCAGCGTGAGGTATGGCGTCTCGTAGAGCCACCTCCGGTCCAAAGGCGCTTCGAGTAGCGAAAATATGCGTCAAGAAGTGATCGACGCTACTTAGATGGACGAGGTTGGTCCACTCTAGTCGCGCGAGCAATGCTGCGTAAACAGTGATGATTGAGCGCTAGCAACCAGCACGTAGGGACAAGACTCGTCGCAGGTATATGTACATCGTTTCTATAGCCTCATTCTGAGTAGGGCTTGGGCTATGGTAGCGGTGTGAGAGTCAAAATAAAAAAACTGCTTGGGGAATCTACTTGCCGCCTTGGCTGCCGCGGTTGACCTGCCCGAGGAACTCGGCGTACGAGTACGTGCCGCCGTTGAAGCTTGCGCGATCTTCGACAAGCTTCCAGAAGAAGCGACCTTCGCCTTGCGCGCCTTCGTGCAGCACGTGGAGCTTGAGGAAGGCCGGGCGGTCTTCGCGGATCGCTGAGAAAATGTTGTGCAGGCGCGTGCCAAGGTCGTCTGTGGGTTCGACAAGCTGGAGTTGGCGCGGGTCCACGCCGTCGATGGTGTCGGTGCCAAAGAGGCTCTGGAGGAAGCGAGGCGAGACGTTGCGGCCGAGCCAGAGGTGCAGCGACACCGTGTCGTCCAGCAAGAAGGCGCCTTCCGTGTTGAGCCGGTCCACCGAGAGGTTGACCACGGGCGGCAGCTGGATCTGTTGCGCACCGGCCGTCGTCACGCCCGGCGGGAGTTCGCCTTCGGCGATAGGCAGGCCGGCTTCTTGGGGCATCTCGAGGAGCGAGAAGAGGCGCGGGTAAATAAACGTCCGGGACAGCGTCACCGAGAGGTTGTTGAGCGTATACTGCGTCGCCGACCGCTCGTCCGAGCCAATGTCGTTGCCGCCGCGGAACGCCGGGTTCTTCATGAGCGACATCTAACACCCGACGTGTTAGCACTTGGTATAACAAAAGATAGCCGTACCATGTAGAGCGGCAGGAGCTGCAGCGACGTCGGCAGCTGGAGCTGGTAGCCACCTGCAACGCTGCCACCGTACGTGCGGTAGGCCCGGGCCACGTCGGACGCGACAGCTTGGAGCTTGTTGCGGGCGTTTGGTAAACCTGTCTTGAGCGCGACTTCCAGCGCTATCATCGCCGATAAGAACATTTTTGATCACCGCCAGGTTCCTCGTCGTGTTCGTACCGCTCTTGGCAACGAGGTTGCACATGGCGTCCATGTCGACCGCGTGAAAGAGGTCGGCATACGCTACATGTCGCCGCGTGAGGTGCCGTTACGACCATTATTGAATACCTTTGACGACGGGAATCGCAGTCGTGTGCACACGAATGCGCCGCTCGCCGGACGACGTCGTGTAGAGCACGGCGGCTTGGATCGAGATCGTGTTGGACGTCAAGAGCGTGTCGCTGTGCTCGAGTTCCACGCCAAACGCCGCGTCCGCGTGAACGCTGGGCACCGCAAGGAGGTCGGGGCCGCGCAAAAACGAGTTGCCATAGTAGTTGCTGAAGCGCATGCCTTTCGTGCACCGCAGTCGCAGAATCGCCTCCCAGCCCGTCTCGCGCGTCAAGCAGCGACCGAGCTCCGTCGCAAACTTGTGGCCATCGACGGGCGCGGAAAAGTTGAGGTAGTAGAAGAGCTGTCCGCCAGAGTACTTTGAGAGCGGCGCGAGCGATGCCACGTCCGTGTACTGCGGCGCAAAGAGGAACGTGTCGACGCTGACTTGCTGCCGGCAAAACTCGATCGCGTTCTTGCGGTAAAACCTACCGATACAGGCCGTCAAGCGACGCCATTGCGTATACGTTGACGTACGTGTCAACAGGGTTGAGCAGAGACTGCTCCTTCTCCGAACCGAGGAGGCGCGGGTCGTCGCGGTGCTTGAGCGCGCCCTGGCCCGTCGTCGGCAGCGAGCTCTGGAACACGAGCATCTTGCCCCCCAGTGCCGTCTACCATAAGAAAATGAAATCTTAGTGGTCGAGCGCATCGTGGCGCACCATGAGACGGAAGGCGGCGCGAATCGCCGGGCCCAAGCACGTGTCGGGGTTGCGCGTGCCTTGGTGCATACGCGGCAGCATCTCCAGTAAGCTCTCAATCACATCCCGCGAGTCGCTATGTTAGAGATATGAGCTTCATGCTGCCAAGAGATGGAGCAAACCTGAGGTTGACGAGGAGCTCGTCCGGGATCGGAATGAAGAGCTCGTTGATGTCGGGGACGACCATCATCTGCGGCGCCTTCAAGCCGGCCTTGAGGTTGTAGAAATGCACGTGGCTGTCGTAGGTAATCAAGCCAAAGCGCGTGCGTCCTTCGCCCGGAAGGTTGTCGAGCTGTGCCAAGATGGTTTCGGCGGCCACTTGCACCATGCCACTCGCCACCGCTTGCGCCGAGACGTCGACGACAAACACAAATGCCGGCGGAATCGGCGGGCGCACCGTGTACTCGGACGGCGCAATGATCTCGACACTGCCGCGAAGCTCCGGACGCTACGCAAAAAGCCTCGTCTCATGCCCGAGCAAACTCGCGGCATCGTACCTCGTCAATGTCGTGGCGGACGCCGTTTGCATTCAGATGGCAAAAGTACGAGCTCGGGACTAGGAGGCGCAACTCAATTTTCAGTTTTGAGATTCAGGTCCGTACCGTCGTTCGCGATGCCGCAGAGGTTGCAGCGCCACCGGCGACCGTTGTCCATCCACTGAATGTACGGGTTGATGTACGCGCGGCACGACTTGCAGCGCACGACGCCCGACGCGCCAAAGTTGACCACCGGCAGCTAGCAACATTGAGTTTGAGATTCATATCCCTTCCGATTGAGTTTCGTACCTCCTTGCCGTCCTCGGGCTCGGCCAGCGGCTGGAGCACGAGACCGTAAGGCAGCGCCGACTTGGTTGCGTGCTCTTGCGAATGGGCGACAGCATTGACGGTCATACGAAGATAGCGCGGGTCGCACGGCGCAGCCAGGACGGGGGCGTGCGTCTGCGCCATCATCGGCTGCTGCGCAGCGTAGTTGCCTTGGTTAAAGTCGCCGCTCGGGAGCGCAGTACCACGTGTCGCTTGAGGGTAGCTACCGGGCGCCTGCATTGCCGGCGGGTAGCTCCGCAACGGCTGTAGCGGCGAGGGTCCGTGGCTCGTGGGCTGGTGCTGCGGCTGCATTTGGTGCATCATCGTGGGCGGCCCTTGGCCCATCGGAGGGTAGCTTCCAGGTGCCTGGTTCATCGGCGGCGGTTGGTTCATCGGCGGCGCGTGACCCATCGGTGGTGCTCGTGGCGGCCCCGCAGGCTGAACGGCCATACGTCCAAACGCTTGATGCAGCTCTTGTGGCGGACCACTCGCTCCCTGTGGCGTGGCAAACTGTCCGTGGGGAGGCTGTTGCGGTGGTGCTTGCATCGCAGGCGGTCCTTGCGCAGCAAAAGCTTGGGGTGGGCCTTGCGCAAACGCTGGCGGAGCAGGTCGGCCAAACGGCTGGGGCGGACCACTCAATTGGCCTTGCGACAGTGGACCCGACGCTTGCCGACCGAACGCCGCTTGTGGCGGTCCGCCAGACAGAGGCGCATTTTGCGATGGCGGGCCAAAGGACCGCGGCTGCGCGGCCGGGTTGAACGGCGCCGCGCCGTTGGAGCGCGGACCGCCGGACGACGGCGCTGCGGGGTTGAAGGGGCGGAAGCCGCCCGGCGGTTGCGACTGGAACTGCTGCTGCATCGACGTCGCGTTGAAGCACCGGCAAATTGAACTCTGCGTGACGGCGTCAAATGACTGCAGTAACGATGTCGTGGGCGCGGATTGGTCCAAATTGTCAATATTCCGAATTTTATCCAATCGCGCTTCCAGATCATGGCCACGACATCAAAAACACGCACTTTCTTTCCGACAGTGCTGGTAGCCTCGCTGGTAAACCGCCGCTTCCCAGCCAACGCCAACGCGCACCAGAGTACGAGATGTGGTGTAGTACTCGTATCTGGCACGAGATTAACTTAGCGCTTTCTATACAGTCTATGGCAGAACCTGGAACGGGACCATGACGACGCGTGGCATCGGGCGCAAGGCAGGCGGCCGCGTGGTATCGATCGCTGGCGTGCGGTTGGCGCCGACTTGGTGCTGCAGAAGTAGCTTGGCGTGCATGCTGCCTGCGTCGTCGCGCGTCGTCGGTGGTTTGTAGCTCTCGAGGGCGTCGGCCACGTCGATGCGAATGTCAATCTCGGTGATGTCGAACGTCTTGTATGCGCACGTAAGCACGGCCTGGAGACGGAGCTGTCCGCGGGCCTCAAAATGCCCGCAGAGGCCGCGCACGTCGTCGCGGAGCAGCGCCGGGAGCTTGGTCGCGTCCGTGATCGTGACCCAAAAAACCGTGTGGAACGCAATCGTGTGGTCGTTCATGGGCCGGCACTGCTCGATAGTCGAGTGGTCGATGCGGACGCAGGCGGCGGCGGCCCGGAAGAGCGCGGCGACGTCGCGGATGCTCCGGTCGAACGCGTTGTGCGTAAGCGCGTGGGTGTCGGCGAAGGCGCCGACGCCGCACGGGTACATGACGCGCGATTGGAAGAGGTAGGCCATGGACGCGACGCGCAGCTCGATACGCCGCCCAAGCACGTCGTCGGTCGGGTTCAATTGGCGCTCTCCGTTGGTCGCAATGCAGCGGCTAAGGCGCGTGCGGAGGTAGCTCAAGTACTCTTTCCGGCATCGCTCAATGTCCCGCTTGAGCTGGACGAGCTCAAAGTTGTGCTTGCGCTGCGCCCAGCTGGTCGCAAACGACGTTTTGACCGGCGCTTCGAGCGGGATCGTGTGCTCGCCGAGGCCGCGCAGCCGGCGCCCGTCGTTGAGCCGCCGCCGCTTCCCGCTGCTGGACCCGTCGTCACCGATCGTCGAGCCGTCCGTCGACTGGACGCGAGACGATGACGCGCTGCTCGAGACGCTGGCCGACCCGTCATCGTCCGCGACCGGGTCCGACGCGGCGAGCGACTCGATGATCGCTACCGTTTCGCGCGAGAGGAGCGAGAGGTCCGTGCGGTGGGTTTTTTGGTGCTCCTTCAAGCGCTCGATGGCCTGCCGGACGCGCGGGTCGGCCTGCAGCGCGCGGACGTCAGAGGGCGATGGGAGCGGCATTGGGCCCTTCTGTCGCTCCTGGAGTTGGACCAAAAGCGGCTTGTGGAGCGATGGCGGCTGCGGGCGGAGCGCGGGGAGGCGGTGGACGGTGGTTGCGAGGCTCGGGAGCGGCGCGTGCGTCCGGAGCGAGAGCAAGGACGACACAATGTCTCTGTCGACGCGCGGCTTCTTGTTGGGCATCTCGTCGTAGTGAGCCACCATCGTATATCTGTGCGACACGGAGTCGAATGCAAAGTCACTGCCAACAACGACGAAGAAGATCGAGACAGGCTTCAACCGCCCTTTCCCCTGCCTTGCATCTTCCAGTCCATGACGCCACCACGCAAAAGTCATCCAACAGCAGCAACCAACGACCAGCTTTTCGCGAGTGTGATGGGCAATCCACGCGGTTTTCAAAAATACACGCGAGTAGCTTCATGGCGACAGCGACGGCGCAACAACCAAACCCCGGTACGCGCATGGGCGGCATGGGCGGCCATGCCAGCGCCGGCGATTTCCTTCTCGGTCCTCGCTCCTCGGTCGCGCTTGTGGTGGCTACGCGCCGAGTACTGTACGTATGTACGCTGCAGGCTGCTCGTGCCAGTCTGTTGTCGCGGGTCCTGATTCGAGTGCGGGGGATCGGCGAGCCTTGCAGGCAATGACGGCGGCTACTTGAATCCAAACGTTCAGCTACTACTCTTTGCTTCTATACACACTTCTCCAAACGTGTCGTGGCGCGCGTCGGCAGTAGTACTGCGCGCGGTGTCTCGTCGTAGTATCGCATCGACTTGCACGAACGTTCCCGCCACCTTCGTCGATCCAAAGCCGCAAAATTGGCTGCCATTTTTGCGTGTTGTCGCATCGCGGTCTATACGTGGCACGCGGAGCGGTCGTTTTGCATGGCTTCTCCGAATCGCTCTGTTGCCCGACATTGCCACGTCGGAAACGGTTGAGAAAGGTCGGACCCGTTAAAACTTCGTGGCGGTTTTCACATCATGGGCGACAACGTCCAGGTCGCGGTGCGCGTCCGGCCCTTCAATGAGCGCGAGCGGGGCATGAACAGCACGTCCTGCATACGTACACTGCATCCATCGTATGTCTAGGCCTCGAAGCATGTAGTAGGTATGGTCAAGGAGACGCAGCAGACGATCATCACCGACCCCGAGACCAACGTCGACAAGTCGTTCACGTTCGACTTTAGGTACATTCGACTAGCGAGAGGCGATGTGAAAGGCTGCTGTTTACTAGCTACGACTCGTTCTCACCACCCGGTGACCCGCAGCACGCTTCTCAGGACGTGGTCTGGGACGACCTCGGTATCAAGGTGCGTTCTCCGTCCTCCAATGACTTTAGATGACAAATTTGATCAGGTGCTTGAGCACGCGTGGACAGGCTTCAACGTGAGCCTCTTTGCGTACGGCCAAACAGGCGCCGGCAAGTCCTTCTCGATGGTGGGGTACGGCGACGACAAGGGCATCATTCCCCGCGCGTCCCAAGTCATCTTCGAGCGCATCATGTCCAGCGACGCGGCCGAGATCATTTACAAAGTACGTTGTCACGGCGTCTTTTCCAACTCACGTCTCTTTGGTAAGGTGGAAGCAAGCATGATGGAGATCTACAACGAAAAAGTCAAAGGTGCTGCATCTCATTGCAAGGTCCGCTTTAACGATACTGCGGCTCTAGACCTCTTCAACCCGTCCTCGGACAACCTCAAGGTCCGTGACCACCCGAGCCAAGGGCCGTACGCCGACGGCCTCACGCGCAGCGCTGTCTCAACATACGAAGAAATCACCGCGGTAGCCCCAACACCCTCGGTTGCAACACCAGACGCAATGTTGTTTAGCTCATGGACGCTGGCATCATGGCGCGCACGACCGCGTCGACCAATATGAACGCAACGAGCTCGCGCGCGCACACGATCTTTCAGATCATCGTGACGCAGAGTCGCGTCGATCCAACGACCAACAAAATGACAGACAAAGTAGTATCCTATCCAAAACCATCCGAGGATACGATATGGCTATTAGGTGAGTCGGATCAATCTGATCGACTTGGCTGGCAGCGAGCGCGCGGCAAGCACGGGTGCTACTGGCGCGCGTCTAAAAGAAGGTGCAGCCATCAACCAGGTACGACGTGCGAGCTACTTGTGGGCGATGTGCGACGCGCCGTTGCAGTCGCTGTCGGCGCTTGGCAACTGCATCTCGGCGCTTGCCGACAATGCCAGTGGCAAGAAAAAGATACTCGTGCCCTACCGCAACTCCAAGCTGGTGATTAAGAGGATGCCCGAAGCAACAATAATATCTATATGTGTAGACGCACTTGCTCAAAGACTCGCTTGGCGGCAACGCCAAGACGATCATGATTGCCGCGCTCAGCCCCGCCAGCGTCAACTACGCCGTATTGCGAGGCGGCACGTACCCTAGCCCTAAGTGGCACGCCGTAGGAAACGCTGAGCACCCTTCGGTATGCGGACCGCGCCAAGCAAATCAAGAACCAAGCCGTCGTCAACGAAGACCCGAACCAGCTCCTGATCCGCCAAGTACGTTTCGGCTCGTATGGAAAAGACTGAGGGGTGTGTAGCTCAAGGAAGAGCTCGAGCAGCTTCGAAAGGCCATGATTGAGAACGGCGGTTTGGACGCTCGCCCTGGCTCGCGCATGAGTGCGTTTGCTATAATCGCGTTGGAGTCACATGTTTGTAGGCTCGCGGGACGAGGCGCACCGCCCCGACTCGCGCGGCGGCGAAGAAAAGACGGCCGAAGCGCTGCAAAAGGAGGAAGAGCTAGCTGCGATCCGCGAGCAGCTCGAGGAGAACCAGCGCTTATTGAAAGAGAGCGAAAAGTCCTGGACCGACCGGCTCAAGGAGACGGAAGAGCTCGCCAAGAAACGCGAGGACCAGCTGAAAGCGATTGGGCTTGCGACCAATGTGAACGACATTCGAGCCAAGGCCAAGACGGTACGCAACATGATATGGCAATTGCACACGGATGTACGCAGGAGCCGCACTTGATCAACCTCAACGAAGACCAGCAAATGAGCGAAAAGCTCTTCTACTTTATCACAATGGGTGCGCGCGAGACGAGGGATTCCCTACTACGTTCTTATATGTGCGTAGGGACCAACAAGGTCGGGCGCACCGACGCCGACGAGCCGCAATCGATCATTTTGGGCGGTCTCGGCATCCTCAAGCAGCACTGCGTCATTGAGCGCTCCGAAACTGCGCTCTCTATTTCAATACAGCCAGGCGCGAACGTCTATGTGAATGGCGAGCCAGTCAAAGACGGCGACATCCGCGAGTTCGCCCACAACGACCGCGTCACCTTGGGCAACGCCAACGTCCTTCGGGTACGTACAAGGCTGCGTTGTCATGTGTATTGACACGCCGCAATAAGGTGGTCATTCCAAGCGCGCGTGTCGAACCCGCACTCGACGAGACGATTTATGACTGGCAGTTTGCCATGAAGGAGCTCAACTGCAAACAAATGGATTTGAAAGAAGACAAGGGCGAGACTGACAAGGAGCTCGCGGAAATGGAGTCGCGTATCAAAGAGATGGAAGAGCGGTGCGATACGTTGCATCTCAATCTCAATCTGAAACGCTCTAATCTCAATCTGAAAACGCTCTAGAATGCGCGAAGAGCGCGAGGCCGCCGAGCGCAAGGTCCAAACACAAAAAGACGAGTGGGACGCGCACGTCAAGCAGATGCAAGACGACATGAAGCTGCAGGAGGCGAACTTGAAGCTCCAATTGCAGCAGTCCGAGGAGGGCGGCAACGTTGATAAGAGGAAGCTCGCGACGCAGCTCGCCGAACAAGAGACCAAACTGGCCGAAGAAATGGCCAAAGCCGAAGTCGCCTACGAAAAGAAGCAGCTCGAGCTCGTCGAGAAGCAGCGCGCGCTCGAAAAAAGCCTCCAGCTGCAAATGCTCGAGACCAAGCTCCTCGCGGAAAAGAAGGAGCGCGAGCAGGCCGAGCGCGCGCTCCTCTCGCAAGAGCTGCTGCATACGATCCCGCTCGTAAAGGAAGCCAACATGATCAGCGACGAGCTCCAAAAGCACGTGGGGTTTGCAGTCAAATTGCTTCCCACAAAGCCCGACTTGCACAGCACCGCGGTCGCGCTTGCCGACACGATTGGTACGGAAATCAAAATCCAAGTTTCGTTCCAGGACGCCGGCACGTACCGCACCGTGCTCTGGGACATTGAAAAGTTCAACAACATGATCTACGAGATGCGCGAGCTCTACCAAGTACGCAACTCTCGACTTTGAATCAACTTGATACAATACATGTAGGTATTTATCGAGCGCGGCCGGATGCTGGAAGCCGTCCACGTACCAGACGGCGGCATCGACCCGTTTTACGAGCCGCCGAGTCCGCAGCTCATTGGCCGGTCGTACATTTTTCTGAGCAGCCTTGTCTACGGACTCAAGGTACAACCTCTGTACCGCAGTGCGGCTGACCTTCGCGCGTAGATTACGGATACCTTGCCGATTCTCGACTCGCGCGGTGTCGTGTGTGGGAAGCTGCTCGTCGAGATCACACCAACTATATTGACCCACGCGGTGGGGTTTCTTTGATGCTGCAGTGACGAGAGTGCTGTGGACTATAGTGGCAAGAGCAGCAACGCAACTTGATTGCTGCCGGCGGCGAGCTCATTCCGGTGCCGACACTGCGGTCCTTCCCGAGTACTTCATCTTACACTATGCCGGATCCATACTGACAGATTTGTGATTTGTGTCGTAGATACGAACCTTCGCGTGCACTTTACCATCGTGTCGCTCGCGGGCATTCCCGGCAAGCTCTGCCGCGATGTCTTTGTCGCTTACAAGTAGTAGAAGGCATTGTATGTGGTGCTGACGTGGCGTAGGTGGTTTCATGACGAGACGAACCATGTCTCGGAGGTCTCGGCGACGCCGTCCGTGGACCCGCAGCTCAACTTTGTCGAGTGCCTCGAGACGCTAATTTCGGACGAGCTTGTGGCGTACCTCGAGTCGACGCCGGTCGAGGTATCCGTGTTTGGAAACGTACCGAGCAGCTCGCTCAAGACGCTGCCGCACGAAGTGCTGTCGCTCGAGGAGAAGAGTGGGAAGAAGGAAACAGTGGCCGAGTCGGTGGAGATGCTCCAAGACTCGCTGCACTCGGCGGAGATGCGCATGGAGATGCAGGAGAAACTCCTCGTCGACAACTCGATGGAGCTCGAGCACCACCACATTGAAGTCGACGGCCTCCGCTCGAGTCTTGTGACGGTCCAAGCCGAGCGAGACCAGCTCCTCGAGCTCGTCTCGCAGCTGCAAAAGACAAACCGCAACATGAAAGAGCAGCTCGGCGCCCGCGTCTACGAGTCTGAGTCGGCGCCGATGCAAAACACATCGAAAAATACCGTTGAATTGACAAGTGTGAGCTGCCAAACCGAGGACGAGCTACTGGCGTCGGACGACGGCCACAAGCACCGGCACCGGAAGCGAAAGAAGAAGGTCGTTGCCATCGAGACAACGGACGACACGAGCAGTGCGTTTGACAACTTAGCGATGGAAGGCTCACCCGTCGAGCCGTCCGAGCAGTCGAGTATGGACTGTACCGAGTCAGACATCGAGAAGCCAATGCCTTGCGCTCCAGAGCCACCACCAGTCGCCGCGCCCGCACCGGTACCCGAGGTCGAAGTGTCCGCGCCCGTAGCGGACGACGCACCGCCACCTAGTGGAGTGCCAGAGGCATCTCAGAGCAAACCGAGGGGCTCGGTCGTCGCCAAGAGCACCGCCAAGGTCCACGTTCTCAACGAAGTGCCGTCTGCACCGCCGAGAAGCCACCACTCGGTGAACGAAAAGCCGCTCGTCGTGGCGGTGGACACGGTCATTGCGACCCAGAAAGGCAAGGAGAAAGGCAAGTGTGTCGTTCAATAACTAACTTATTCACGCATCCGACATCGTCGCTCACTTTGGCAAAGATTCCATGTTGCACTTTCCACAATTAAAAACGCTTTCGGAAGTGCCTTTGAGTACAGTATGTGGGCACCATATATTATTTTATGCCACGTCAGCGCGAGTCCGACCTGATGGTACCGGTCGATGCGCAGGCTCTCAGTGTTCTTGTCGCCTCTGTGGGCCGGCCCAGGCTTCGATATACACGTCAAGATCGCGCCTCTTAGCCCAACTTGTCCTGATTCTTATTGCTTCGATACTAGTACGCAGCAGCGAGTTGCAAGAGAGGTGTCTCGTGCTGTCAAGGCGCGTCAGCACGTCGTGGCCGCTGCGTTGCACTTGGCTGCGCCACTCGCGTATCTTTGCAATCGTCGACAGAGACCTCTCTTAATCGATATTTAGGTGTCGACAATATGCACTATGGGAGGTTGGAAGGATTGGCTGGCCGCTCCAGTCTCTTGGGTTTTGTATGTCGGGGCTTCCTCGAGCTTCTCTCTTGAACAATGTATGGTGCATAATATGCCCTTGCCTGAAAAGGCAATATCCGGATACCGGTGGCATAATCAAGCTGTATACCAATCGTGTAAGTTTTCTGGCGCCGGTCTTTCGTCGCCCTCGTTCATTTCGCGCCTCGTCCGACGTCCCATGCTCGCGCTCCGGAGGACCCATCTCGTGGCGACGCACCTGCAGCGCCACCATGGCCAGCCGCGCGTCTTCCGCATCCTCTCGCTCTCGACGCGGACCGACTCGCAGCTCTCGTCGGTGGCCACGACGTCGCAGGTGACGGCCGCGACGACGCTCACGCTCTCGGAGCGCATTGGCATCTACAACCAGCTGGCCAAGGCGCGCCTGAGCGCGCTCGTGGTCGTGACGGCGGGCGCGGGCTTCTTTATGATGGGTGGACCCGTGTCGTGGGGCTCGTTTGCAGCACTGGCTGTCGGCACGTCCTTGGCGTCCGCGAGCGCCAACACGTTCAACCAGGCGTACGAGATCCGCACGGATGGCCTCATGAAGCGTACGATGTTGCGGCCGCTTGTACGTGGCACGATCACCAAGAACCATGCGCTTGCGTTCGGGGCTGCGACCGCGGTCTCGAGCACGGCGATCCTTGCTGCCGGTTGTAACCCGGTGACGGCGGGCTTGAGCCTCTTCAACATTGGCCTCTACTCGTGCATCTACACGCCGATGAAGCAAACGTCCGAGTGGAACACGTGGGTGGGCGCGCTCGTTGGTGCGATCCCGCCGGTCATGGGCGTCGCGGCGGCCAACGGCCTCGTCCTCTCGCCGGAAGCGCTCTTGACCGGGTCGGCGCTCTTCATGTGGCAGATGCCGCACTTCTTCGCGCTCAGCTGGCGTCTTCGCCACGACTATGCGCGTGGCGGCTACAAGATGATCCCATGCGCCGACCCGACCGGCGCGCGCACGGCCAGCGTCATCATGCGTTACGCCCTTGCGCTATCGACGATCCCGGTGGCCGCTGCGGCAACGGGCGCCACGAGTTACATGTTTGCTGTCGAAGGCCTTGGCATCAACGCGTACGCGGTGCACCTCGCGCGCCAGTTTTACAAGAACCCGTCGACGGCCAACGCCAACAAGGTGTTCTTCTGCTCGCTCTGGTACCTCCCCGCCGTGCTCGGCCTCATGGTCTTCCACAGTAAGAACTGGACCAAGGACGACGAAATCGTGGCCGAGACGGAGCGCCAAGCCGACGGCTCGATCTACGCGCTCCTCGAGAGCTCTGCGGCAACCCATGAAGGCGAGACGTTCCGGCCACTGCCGGTTGCCGACAAGCTCAAGGAGCTCGTGCTCTCGACCCGTGCGCAGCTCAAGGAAGTGTGTTTGCACGAGTACCTCTGGGCGAGCGCGGACAAGGACGCGGCGCTCAAGCAGGACGACACGCACCTCTTCTGCCCTGTGGTCGCGACCGACGCCGCCGTCGACACGACGCAGGCCCTCAAGGTCATGACTGAAAAGACCATGTAGACTGTACATCTCCCTATAAAGAATTCAAATTGCCTCCGTGTCCACGTGTACAACATGACTTATCAAAATACACAAATGGTCTATATAATCTACCATTTAATGCCAAAGGGATTGGCGAGCTCGAGCTTGGGCACGGCGTGGTACCGTGTGTGGAAGGCTGACCGCGCCTTCTCCCCAAACGGCGTGTCGTCGAGGTACGTTGCGTACAGGTGCGCGCACGCAGGGTTCGCGCTCGGCGCGCGCAGCGTCCGGTCCCGGAACGTAGCATACACCTTCTCAACCAGCGCTTTGTTGGCTTCTGCCGACTCGGGCTTGACTTGGCCGCCGCCGTTGAGACACCCGCCTGCGCACAGCATGCGTCGATATTATACGAACAAGGACTAGAGTACCTGGGCAGGCCATGATCTCGACAAAGTGGTACGGGCACTTGTTGCGCTTGATCTTCATGAGCACGGTTTGGATGTTGCGAAAGCCGTACGCGAGTGCAAACTTGAGCACTTCGCTGCCGTCGACAACCAGCGACACTTCGCGAAAGTCGGCGTTGCGGCCCTGCACATACGACAGCGGACCCTCGACATCGACATTGTAGAGCTCCTTGGCCGCGAAGCGAAAGATGTGCTCGAGGTACCCGCCGGCGCCAATCTCGCCGTCGGTCGCGCCCACGAGATGCGTGTCTTCGACGCCACTCCAGAGACGCTCGTCCGGCGTCAGCACCGCGTCCGGAAGCGCCGCCAAGTCGACATTGGCCTCAAGTAGCATGTCGAGGACCTCGGACGCCGCGAGGACGCAGTCGACGTCGCGCGTGTCGGTGGCCGCGTCCAAAAAATCGTTGCGCGACGCTTCGAGCTTCTTGTCGTAGCAGGGCATGACGGTGGCGTGGTAGACGCGGTCGGTTGGCTGGGAAAAGAGCCGCTTGACGAGCGTGCCCGTAATCTGCTGCGGCGACTTGGTCGTGCTAATGTACGGAAGCGCGTTGGCGTTGGACTTTTCTGCGTAGCAAACCCAGCCCGGGCACGCCGACGTGAGCATCGGCAGCGCGACGTGGGACGGCGGCTCGGCGCCAGCCTCGAGGTACTCGGTCTCGGTCGACGAGACTGCGCGCGACGACGGCGGGCGCTTCCACGGTACCGATGATTGGTTGCGGAGGCGCGTCACAAACTCGGCGCGTGCTTCGAGGAGCGCAATGTCGGCACTGCCCATTGTATCCAAGACGACATGGACGCCGAGGCTGCGGAAGAAGGTCACGAGCTTGAGGTGCGCCGCGTGCGCACTGAGGTTGAAGCGCACGGCGATGGACGCGCGCGCTTGGGGCGAAATGGTCACGACAAACTTGTCGTGCGCGCGCGCCGCAAGTGCGGCGCGGAACTCTTGCGCGCTCTGCTGCGAGATGAGAATCGTTTCCGCCGAGGTCACGCAGCCCGAGCACGCGAGGCAGTCGTTGAGCGAGACCATCGCCGTGTCGGCCGCCGAGCTCTTGATCAAGTCGGGCTCAATCGCGACTTGGTGGATCCCGCTGTAGATGTCGCTGTCGAGCGAGACCTTGGCCTTGCTCTCCTCGGCTTGCTTGCCCGCGAGGAAGAGCGGATTCACGCATGCTTGCGACGGCTGGATAAAGTCATTGAGATCGCCCAGGAAGACAGACGCCTACTGGAGCATGAGCTAACAGGATCAGGCACATGCGCTGCACCATGCTCGAGCTGCAAAGGAAGAAGGAAGGGTCAACACGCTGGCCGAATTCTGCGCTGGTTGGGCAATCGCGACCAAGCGACGTGATTGGCCAACGACCATTCATATGATCGAGTAAAACCTATTCGCAGGCGTTAAACCGTTTAACGCCACAGGTAGAAGGCTTTCCACGGGCAGTGAGCAGAGCGAGCAGGCAGTCGACGACCCAGCCTCTCTTCAGAGACATACCGTGCTTCTGCGAGCTGACATCGTACCAAGGGCCGAGTGCTCGTCAGTGCGAACGAGATGGATCGTTGATGGTCCCGAAACCTGAAACTCAATTTTTGCGTTTTGAGGGAAGAATTTGAGGTTTTCATTTTGAAAGATCGTCCAACATCATTCTCATCTTGGTCAGGACCATGGCAGGCAGACGACAGGCGCATGTTCGGACGCTGGTCTGGAAGAACCTCCTCCTCATGCGGAAGCACCCCTGGAAGCTGGCGTTCGAGCTCCTCTTCCCCGTCCTCCTCCTCTACGCCATCGGCTCCCTGAAGGACCAGGCCGCCAACATCGACGTCCCCGCCGGCTGGTCTGATGACATGGACGCAGTCTTCTCCCCGCGCCCCATCACGGCGCCGACCTTCCCGCTCTTCGACCGCGTCGAGAACCCTCGAGACGCCAAGTTCTATGCGACGGAAGCGACCTTCTCGGGCCTCCTCCGGCGCATGGCCTCGCGCTCGTACATGGAAGGCCGCAAGATGCACGAGCTCTCTCGGGACGACGCGTATGCATGCTACACGAAGTTGGTGCGACATGGCGACGTGAGCCTTGACGCATCCTCGGTGTATGCAGTCCCCGTCGAGTGCCGGGGCAAGGTCTCCCCGTACAAGATCGCGCTGGTGCCAGACACGGCCTTTACGCGCGCGTACTTTGCGCCGGCCATCGCGGCCTGGTACCCGCGCGTCCCGCTATCCAAAAACAGCTCAGAGAAGGCGTCGCTTCCAAGCTGGCGCGATTCGATCGCCTTCTTCTCCAACGAGTCAGCGCTCGAAGCCTACGTTAGCGGTACAGACCTGCTTGCCTACTGTGTGATTTGCTCATGCAGTGCTGTAGGTCCATCGTATGGACTCAATGCGTCCTCTCCCAAGGTGTATGCTGCGATCGTGTTCAAGGACCCGCCGGCGACGCAGGTCATTGGCACGGCGACGTCTGTCTCGTACACGATTCGGCTCAGCGCATCACTGACAAACGGGCCGAAAACTAGCACGCTGGTCGTCGATCCCCACCGAAAAGCCATGACCCCGTCGACGTACAAGAGGTAGTTTGCGCATGTTTAGCGTCTCTTGCCATGGAGGGCGTAGCTACACGAAGAGCGGCTTCCTCGCGCTTCAGACGCTCGTCACTCGCTTCTTGACGTGTCTCCCGTCATGGGATCGCCGTGGACCTGGCGGCTGCACGAACGTCGCCAGTGTTGCCGCACCAAACGCTACGCTCGATGCGCGTTTCGCCGTGCAATTGCAGCACGATGCCGACCTTCTCGATGCGGTCGATTCGAGCAGCGACCTTCTCTCGTCGCTGCCACCGGCCACTCAAGCGCTGCTCCTTCGCCCGCTTCGGCAAGCACCGCAGCCGTACTTCGGTAGCGCCGTCTTTGCGTTTCCGATCGCTGCGTACACGGCGTCGCCGTTCTACACGCTCATTGCGCCGTTCATGCCGTTTGCGTTTGCAGCGTCGTACGTCAACATCGTGTCGGGGCTCATCGTCGCCCTCGTCTCGGAGAAGGAGCTCAAGGCGCGCGAGCTCATGAAGATCCTCGGCGTGCGCGATATGTCGATCTTTGCCAGTTGGTTTCTCACGTACGGTCTGCTCTTTTTCGTGCTCGCGGCGCTCCAAACGATCCCGAGCAGTCTTCACGTCTTCTCGCACGCATCGCCCGTGCTCATCTTTGCCTTCTTCTTCCTCTCGGGTCTTGCCGTCGTCGCATTCGGGTTTCTCCTCAGCGCCTTCTTTTCAAAAGCCAAGACAGGTGCGTACGTTGGCGTCCTCGCCTTCTTCATGCTCTTCCTCATTGCCGACGCGCTCGCCAACGCGAGTGCAAATGCCAAGACGGCTGCGTGTGTGGCCGCGCCCGCTGCTATGTCGCTTGGCCTTTCCATCCTCGTGCAGGCAGAGGCCACGTCCAGCGGCATCACGTGGTCGACGATGGACCATGCGTTTGGCAGCATCTCGTTTCAAACCGTGCTGCTCTTCCTTGTACTCGATACGGTGCTGTACACGCTGCTGGGAATGTACGTGGAGAAGGTGCTGCCAAAAGAGTACGGCGTGTCCGAGCACTGGACGTTTCCGCTGCAGTGGTGCTTTTCACGTCGCGATCTGCGATCGTCCGAAGCAGAGAGTCTTCTCGCCGATGCGTCGCCCATTTCCGACGCGGTCGAAGATGTCTCGTTGGATCTTCAGCAGCAAGCGGACGACGGCGATGCACTCGAGATTCGCCAGCTTCGCAAGGCCTTTCCGGCGTCCGATGGCGATAGCACCGCGAAGGTGGCGATCGCAGGCATGAACCTCACGCTGTACAAGAACCAGATTACGTGTCTACTGGGGCACAATGGCGCGGGTAAGACAACCCTCGTGTCGATGCTCACCGGCATGCTGCCGCCGACGTCCGGCGACGCGACGATGCTGCGCGGCCTCTCGCTTCGTCGCGACATGCAGTCGATCCGTAACTCGATTGGCATGTGCCCCCAGCACGATGTGCTCTACGACGACCTCACAGTGCTCGAGCACATGCTGTTTTACGCGGCCATCAAAGGCTGCGCGCCCGAGGATGTGGACGCCAAACTCGTGGCGGTGGGCCTCGACGAGAAGCGACATGCGATTGCAAAGGCGCTCTCGGGCGGGATGAAGCGCAAACTCTCGCTCGCGATTGCATTTCTCGGCGACAGCAAGATCGTCTTTTTGGACGAGCCTACGTCGGGTATGGACCCGTACAGCCGTCGTCTCAGCTGGTAAGAGCTTTCACTGTACACAAATGATGCTGAGAGGATGCGCTAGGGACATTATGTCGAGTCATCGCCTGCACCGCATCATTGTCTTGACGACGCACTCGATGGACGAAGCCGACATTCTCGGCGACCGCATTGCCATCATGGCCAACGGCGAGCTCCAATGCGTCGGGTCGTCGCTCTTTCTCAAGAACAAGTATGGTGCCGGCTACACGCTGTCGCTTGCGACGACCGACGCCGATGCCGTCATCGCGACCGTCCGACGCCACGTCGGCCACGCAAAGGTCCTCGCAAGTGTCGGCGCCGAAGTATCGATTCAGCTACCGCTCGAGAGTTCTGCGTCGTTTCCGTCCTTGTTTGCTGCGCTTGATGCAGACACCTCCGCGCTGGGTCTTTCCTCGTACGGCATCTCGGTTACAACGCTCGAAGAAGTGTTCTTGAAGGTCTCTGAGACCACGCATATGGATGTCGGACCCAAGCCGCGTCTCGCTACTGTCTCGTACGAAGCGCCTCCTGTCACCGCGTCGTTGTTCCGTTCGCATTTTGGCGCGCTTTGGCGCAAACGCTACCTGGTCGCCAAGCGGGACCGAAAAGCGGTGCTCTTCGCCGTGGTGTGGCCGGTGCTCTATATTGCGATCGGCATTGCTTTGCTCACGTCCAACGCGCTCGTTCAGAACGATCCGTCGCTTTCGCTCATGTCGTCGCTGCGCGCAGATACGACGGCGCCGTTCTCGTGCATGGGCGACGACCGTGAGATGTGCAAGCGCGTTTTGAGTGCAGAGACGTTCTTCTCGGGCGCGCTACCGTCTCATTTGGTGTCGGTCGTCGCTCCCGTGTACCCCAATGCACACCCGAGTGTCTTTGGTGTCGCGTACGACAACATTAGCGTCGACGATACCTCGGGGTTTTGCCTTCGGACCGCTGAAGTCGCGCTCAATGCGTCGCTGCAGGCGGTGCAGTTTGGCGGGTACGTGGCCTTTGGCGATGCGTCGCAGCACGTCTTTGGCTACAACATGCTTGTCAACACCACGGCGGTCCACGCGGCGGGGACTTTCAAAGCTCTTCTGGATCAAGCGCTCGTCCGATACTTTGCTGGCAGTGCGACGCTGAACGTCTCGGTGGCCAACCACCCGCTTCCGCTCACGGCGGAAAGCAAGACCGCGTTCACGACCGCGCTTTCGTTCTCGGCGACAACGTTCTTTGTCGTCGCGATCGCGTACTTTTCGGCGTCGATCGTGCCACACCTCGTCTCGGAGAAGCACGCGAGTCGCAACGCCAAGCACCAGCAGCTTCTCGCAGGTGCGAGTGTCCCGGCATTCTGGCTCGCGAATCTCGGGTGGGACCTCATGCTGTACATTTTTCCGTGTGCGTTTGCAGTGCACGCGATCTGGTCCAGCGACCTCTTGCCGTTCACGGGTTTCGAGTGCCCGACGTGCGCCACATCGGCGTTTCCAGCGGTCGTTTGCCTCTTTGTGTTTGTCGGCGCCGCGTGCATTGGTTTCAGCTACTGCCTCTCGTTCCTCTGCCACGACCCTGCGAACGCCCAGTCGTACATCATTTCGTGCAACATCTACCTCGGCATCTACCTCTCGCTCGCCTCGCTTGTATTGAGCAGCCTAGCGTCGACGCACGAGCTCAACGCGGTATTTCTCGTCTATGATGCCCGCTCGAAACTCATGTTGGGATGTAGCAACTCGTGTATGTCTTTCGGCTCTCACCACTCTTTTGCCTCAGCCACGGCCTCAACAATCTGAGCTTGGCTGTGCTGCGTCCAAGCCGCCAGAGTGCGTTCGACTGGGACGTGGCCGGTGCCGACGTCGTGTACTTAGCTTTGGAGGCCGTGTTGTATCCGCTATTGGCCATCGGTATCGACTATCTTCTCTGTTTTCCATCCATCGCGCGCCGCTTGTTTCGAGACCCCGTCGTCGAGGACGAGACGCCGTTTCAAGTGGACCATGACGTCGAAGTCGAAGCCGCGCGAGTTGAAGCGGGCGCGGATCACGATGTGGTCTCCATGTCGAGCCTCCGCAAGGTGTACAAGGATGGCAAGGTCGGGCTCGCGACTCTGTCACTTGGACTCCCGCGAGGCGAGTGCTTTGGCTTTCTCGGGGTAGTACGCAGTTGATATGGCTGGATGCTGATGGGATACACGGAATGTAGACCAACGGAGCGGGCAAGTCGACGACCATGAAGATCTTGACGGGCGAAATCGCGGCGTCAAGTGGTAGTGCGCAGCTGCGGGGTCTCGACATTGTGTCACAGCAGCTCGCGATCCGACGCTACATTGGCTACTGCCCCCAGTTTGATGCGCTCCTCGATAACCTCACGGTCCGGGAGCATCTCGAGCTCTTTGCAACGCTCAAAGGCGTGCCCAGCGCGCACACGCGCCGCGTCGTCGATGCCAAGATCGAGCATTTGGGGCTGACTCCGTTCGAGCACTGCCTCGCCAAGACGCTCAGCGGCGGCACGAAGCGCAAGCTCTCGGTCGCGATCGCGCTCATTGGGGCGCCGCCCATGCTGTTTCTGGACGAGCCGTCCACGGGCATGGACCCTGCCTCGCGGCGCTTCTTGTGGGAACTCGTTGCCGACGTCTCGACGCGCTCCAAGACGTCGACAGTGTTTTTGACGACGCACTCGATGGAAGAATGCGAGGCGCTGTGCACCCGCGTCGGCATCATGGTCGACGGCCGTCTGCGATGCCTCGGCAGCATCCAGCACCTCAAATCGCGCTTTGGCGACGGTTTGCTCCTGCACCTCAAGCTCACGCCTGTGACGGCGCGGGACGTCGACGACATGCTGGCGACGCATCCGGCGTTTCCGATGCAGTCGCTCTCCCGCAACGAGCTCTTGCAGCTCTGCATGGTGCTGGGTCGACCCGATCGGATGCATGGCATTGCGCCGGACCACGCGACCGGCTACGCACTGGCCGATACGCTCGAGCGCGGGCTACGCGTCCGCCCGAACGAAGTTGGCGCCTGGTGGCTGCGCGAGGATCGGTTCGAGGCTTGCTACGCGCGGCTTTCGACGGCGTTTGGCGCGGCGAACGTGTCGCTTGTGGAGCGGCACTTGGACGTGTGCCGTGTCAAGGTGCAGGCGACGGACCTCGGCCACGTGTTTGGGCTTGTCGAAGGCCTGAAGGAGATGGTTCAAGAGTACACGGTCGCCCAGACGACGCTCGAGCAGATCTTCAACGCCTTTGCGAGCCGCGGGAGCCATGTTGTTTAACCACGCAGCACGTTGTCTCGGATCTGGATGGCATGTGTTGATTGGTGGAAAGCACAACGGAAGCGGATGGGGATTGGCTGTGTGTAGGAAATCTTGTCCTTTTAAGCCAATGGCATCACCGCTGCCTGGGCCCAATCAATTCGGTTGCTCCCAACCATTTTTGCCAGTTGCAGACATGTCGAACAACACGGACAAGAAGAACAAGTCGGGCGGCTTCCAGGCGCTGGGCTTGAGCTCGCCGATCTTCAAGGCCGTCATGGCCATGGGCTACAAGGTGCCCACGCCCATCCAGCGCAAGTCGCTGCCGCACGTGCTCTCGGGCAAGGACGTGGTTGCGATGGCGCGAACGGGCTCGGGTAAGACTGCCGCGTTCCTCATCCCGATGCTCGAGAAGCTCAAGGAGCACAGCAAGAAGATTGGCGTCCGCGCGCTCATTCTGTCGCCGACGCGCGAACTCGCGGTGCAGACCATCAAGTTTGCCAAGAGCTTGGCCAAGTTTACCGACATCAAGTGCGGTCTCATCGTCGGTGGCGACTCGCTCGAGCAGCAGTTCGAGCTCCTTGGCACCAACCCGGACGTGCTGGTTGCGACGCCGGGTCGTCTCATGCACTTGCTTCAGGAAATCCCAGAATTCACGCTCGCGGCCATGGAGTACGTGTGCTTCGACGAAGCCGATCGCCTCTTCGAAATGGGTTTTGCCGAGCAGCTCCAGGAGATTCTCTCGAGCATGCCCGCGTCGCGCCAGACGCTCCTCTTCTCGGCCACACTGCCGCAAGCGCTCGTTCAGTTTGCGCGCGCCGGCCTCACGGAGCCCGAGCTCATTCGTTTGGACGTCGAGTCGCAGATCTCGGACCAGCTCAAGATCTCGTTCTTCACGATGCGCACCGAAGACAAGCCGGCAGCACTCGTCTACCTGCTGCGTGATGTGATTCCGTCGACAGAGCAGACGATCGTGTTTGCAGCGACACGCCACCACGTCGAGTTCCTCCACGAGCTCCTCCTCTCGTGCCACATTGACTCGAGCTGCGTCTACGGTGACATGGACCAGACGTCGCGTAAGATCAACATCGGCAAGTTCCGCGCCAAGAAGACGCCGATTCTTATTGTGACGGACGTTGCCGCGCGTGGTATCGATATCCCGCTCCTCAACAACGTGCTCAACTACTCGTTCCCGTCGACGCCCAAGCTCTTTGTGCATCGCGTCGGTCGTGCAGCGCGTGCCGGGCGGAGCGGCATGGCCTTCAACTTTGTCGACCCGGACGAGATGCCGTATATGGTCGACTTGCATCTCTTCCTCGGCCGACGCCTCGACGACACGTGCCCCGCCGATGTGCCGGGGTACACGCTCTCGGACATGACGGTCGACCAAGTGCACTATGGCTGCTTCCCGCAGGCGATTCTCGACACGGAGACCGAGTGCCTCAAGGAGACGCTCACGCACAACTCGCAGGTCGCACCGCTCGTCAAGGTCTGCGACAACGCGTACAAGCAGTATAGCCGGTCGCGCGCCGAGCCGTCAAAGCTCTCGATCAAGCGCTCAAAGGAGGTGTTGGCCAAGAAGGTGCACCCGCTCTTCTACAGCCACATGTCGGACTCGAACGTCGTGCAAGAAGCCTACCTGGAGCAGCTCAAGGGCTTTCGCCCGGCGGCAACCATTTTCGAAGTCTCGACCGGCATCCACTCGATCAAGAAGAACGCGCCGAGCGTGCTCATGATGAAGACGAAGCGCAAGCTCCACAACAACATTATCGAGAAGAACGTCGGCAAGGTCAAGGCGGCCAAGGCCGCTGCGGACGAGGACGAAGACAGCGTCGACGAAGCGCTCAACCCCGAAGAGCAGGAAGAGTTCCGCACCAAGCGCAAGGCTGCGCGCGAAGCCGCCGCGGCCGAAGAGGCCGCCGTGCCCGTCATTGGCTCGAAGCGGTACCTCTCTGCCGCGGACCGCAAGAAGGTCAAGAAGATGAAGCTCAACGGCGAGAGCGTCGATGTCGACGCGCTCTGGAAGGAGAAGGAGGCAGCCAAGGCGGTCGAGGCGACGACGGACGAGAGCACGAAAAAGTTCCAGGACGAAGAAAACTACATTGGCTACATCAAGGACACGGACTACGCCAAGGAAGAGGCGCTCAGCCGCAACGCGGACGGCGGGCGCGGCAACGCGTTTGCGCAGGCGCGTCTCGAAGATGCGATGCTCGATGTGAACCCGGACGAGGCTGTCGCGATGAACAACAAGCGCCGCCTCCTGCACTGGGATGTGCGCAAGAAGAAGTTTATCAAGACGACGGTCGGCGAACTCAAGAACGGGACGATCAAGAAGCGCAACGACGGCACGCAGCTCTCGAGCAAGAAGCAAAAGGTCGGCGAGACGTACAAGAAGTGGCAGCAAAAGCAGCACAAGCGCACCAACATCATTGGCGCCGACGAGGACGACCAAGGCTCGTCCGGTCGGAAGCTCGACTACCGCAACGGCAAGAAGCCAGCGGGCATGCCGCGCGTCAACAAGTACGCCAAGTCGGAGCTCCTCGGCGAGAACGCGATCCGGAAGGAGGAGAAGCGCAAGGCGCGGTCCAGCGGCGACAAGACCAAGATGGACAAGTTCAAGCCCAAGCCCAAGCGCGGCCGCGGCAACGTGCCCGGCAAGACCCACGGCGCGCCGACCAAGAGCAAACTCATTATTCGTCGCAAGTAACTTAGTATTTTCGGTTGATTCGGTCGCGACTTAGAGAAAGGGCATCCAGCCCACGTACATTTGCGCGAGGTTCTCGTCGCTCGTGGCTTCGGCAATGAGGCGGTCGACTTGGCCTTTGACGCTGAGCGGCAGCGTCTCGTGGTGCGACGCTTTCCCGAGGTTCCAAATCCCCCGGACGCGGTCGTCGATCGTCTTGAGCATCGTTTTCGCTTCGCTGTTGACTTGTTCGTTGGTCGCGACGACCTTGCGCACGACATGCACCGACTGCTTGCTCTTCGATCGGCCCCACTCGACGAGCGGGTCGTGCACGAACGACTCGAGCACGCTCCGTAGCGTCTCGCGGTTCGCACGCAGCAGCGTCAGCGTCACCTCGCTCGTTGTGCGGTACACGCCCTCGACACCGCTCAAGCCAAACGCATCGAGAATGTTGGGCGTGAGCCGGAACGGGACGATCTCGGGGCGTGCGAGCTTGAGCCCCTTGTCAAAGAGGCAGTCAAAGTCGACGTGGACGCACTCGCCCGTCTTGCAGTCGATGAGGATGTTTTCACAGTGCCGGTCGCCAAGCCCCACAATGTGCCCGACCATCGACCAGACCGCGGACGACCGTGTGAACGCCGCCCTACGTGCCCGATAAGATCGTCGGCGTCAAATACGATGATGACATACCGCGCGTCAAACCACTGCGTCGGATCACTAAAGTTGTTGAGGAACCACTGGTGGAAGCGGGGTACAAAGCACGGGTGGCTGAGCACTTGGCGTCGGTAGAGCGACACCATTCGCGGCAGGTCGTGGGCGTACTGCTTTTGCAAGTGCATAAAGGCGTCGCGCACGTCGCTCGTGAGGCGCATCATCGTCAACTGCCCTTGCTCCGTCTTGTGGATCTGCCCGATGAGGAACCGCATCGCGCGCGTGTTGGGCACCCATTGCATGAGCCCGCTCTCTTCGTTGAGACACATGACCGCGTACGTGCGGAGGCGCAGTTTCCGGCGCCGACCGTCGGCATCGGCGGTGAGAAGCTTGTTCATGATCGCGTTGAACTCCATCATGCGCGCGTCCTTGCGCAGATCGCCGTGCTTCTCGCGCTTGCACAAGAACGGGTACCACGCGCCGTCGCTCCCGAGCACCTGGACGCGCTTGGGCTTTTCCTTCGACAGCATCACTTCCGCCTTGTCACCAAACGCCTTGATGTACACGTGGGTCGACGCATCGCTCGTCGAGAAGGCCGACTGGACCGGTACAAGCACTTGGGACCGGATGCGAGCCATGCGCAGCGGCAGGCGCTTTTGGTTGCCCGGGTCGCACTCGGCGAGCTTGATGAGCTCCTCAACGAGCTTCATGGCCTCCGAGAGCGAGTTGGCCATGTCGCTGTTGTTGGCGCCCATCAGTTGCTTTTGCGCGCCTTTGAAGATGTCCATCGCCCGCGTCTTGCGCTGCGTGTTGAGCGACTGCGTGAGGCCGAGGATGTGCCACATTGCGTGCTGCGGGTGCGTCGAGAGGACCTTGACCATGATGGCTTTGACGCCGTCGACGACGATGCTGTTGGGGTGGCAGATGCGCGACGTCACTTGCGGAAACACCGCGAGCCACATGGACACGGGGAGCTTGCTCAGCGCATCGAGCACGATGCGCGAAATCTCCTGCATGAGCTTGTCTTCTTTGTTGGACTCGAGCGCCATGTCAAACTCGAGTCGGTACGTGCGCTTGGGACTTGCGCCAAAGACGTCGCCGCACTCGTACCACAGCGTCAAGAGTCGCGGCAAGGACTGGAAGAGGTACTTGTTGCTGCATTGGAGCGACAGCACGTAGTTGGCGAGGATGTCCGTCACGTACGCGTACTGCTCGCCGACCTCGAGCGCCGTGTCCGACCGCGCATTGTCGAGTAGCACCTCGTAGTACTTGGCGAGATCAAAGTACCCTTTCGCGTACTTGCGGTCGTACGCAATCACGGCGCCGTACCGGTTGAGCACGACTTGGCCTTGTTTCTGGTTGGACTGCTGCATGTAGTTGGTCGCGAGGAGCAGTGTCTTGGCGGCAAAATGGCGGTCGCCTTCGGGTACCTTGGGCAAATTGGATACGTCAATCGCGACTGGCTCGAGCACGTGGAGCGCTTCGTACACGTGGCCTTGGTGCACGAGGAGCTTGGCTTGCTCAATGATGCCGTTGCGGTCGCCGAGCGCTTGCGCGTGCATGACCGCGCTCTCGGCCGTCCGCACAAACCCTTCCTTGCGCGCGTTCTTGGCGTAGCGCAGCCAGTTTTTCGAGAGCAACGACGGGAGCTGCATCTCTTGCAGCATGACGCGGCGCAAGGCGAGGAGCGGCTCTTGAAACTTGAGCGCCGGCGCCATCATGCGATCGCGGAGCTCCCACGGACACTGTCGCACCCAGTGGTCTTCGGCGGCAAACGTCGTCGGGTCGGCCTTGAACTTGTCCAACACCAAAAACCCTTGCTCGAGCTCGTGCAAGACGTGCAATTGGTGCAAGAGCGGGTACACCCGCTGGTACGACTCGAGCGACGCGGCCGCGAGAGGCCCCATGATAGCGAGCCGCGCGTCGCGCAGATGATACGCCATGGCGTCTCGATTTTGCTGGAGGCACAGCATTGTGCGTGCAAACTTCATCGAGACCATGTGCTGCGACTCCATCTTGACCTTCATTGCGTCCGTCGTCAGCTCCTGGAGGAGCGTCCAGCGAGAGAGCCGCCACGCACACTCGAGCGCAAACGGGTACACGGACGGGATGACGTCGGGCGACTCGACGACGATGCCGCGCACGTGCTGGAGCGCGCCTTCGAGCCGGCCGAGTTGCACCATGCAGCGAATGACGCCTGCGTACAAGAGCGACCGAATCTCCACGTCGACTTCATTGCCGTACGTCCGGTGGATCGCTTGCTCGTAACACGCCAGCGCGTCTTCCCAGCGCGCCAAGTGCTCGTGGTCGACGATCGTGTGCATGAGATCGGCAAACGTCGTGCCCGCGTGCTGCGTCGATCCCAGCAGCAGTCGACGCTGGATCGAGAGCCCGCGGAGAGCGTCCGGCTCGTCCAGTTGGCCGTACATTTGCTGCAGCTCGCGAATGTCGTTGGAGTTCAAGTGCTTCATGTGCACTTTGCCGTCGGTCGTGTAGCGCGGCACGGCCGAGACACCGTCCATGCGCAAATGCGTCTCGTAGTACTGGATCCCACGTGCAAACGCCTTGATCTTGCACGCGGCGCCCGAGAGCATCGCGGGCGAAATGTCCTTGAGGAACTCGGCGACGACTTCTTTTTCTTGGTCGGGCACCACGTCCAGATGTGTAGCGCGGTGCTGGCTCGGGCCGTTCCGCTTGCGCTCGCTGGCCCAAACCCACTCGTTGAGCGTGTCGAGGAGGCCCATGACCGTCTGGGCGCACTGGTGGTGGTGGCTCGAGACCGCGTCCGACTCGGTCGGGTCGTCTTGGAGCACCGACTCGATCTCGCGCTTGACCATACTGTACGCGTGGCGCTGCGGCAGGACGTTTTGCACGAGGTATGGCAAGAGGAAGCGCGCCATTTGCATCGAGATCCCGAGCGCCGTCTTGCACGCAAGGAAGATCGTCTTTTCCGGCGGCGACGCCAAGTCGATGAGCGCCTTGCACCACGACGTGAGCCACGTCTCGTAGGCGAGTGCCCCAAACCGATCGTAGAGCGTCGACCCGTCGTCAAACGCAACCGCTTTCTTACTCGAGGACGGCGGCGCCTTGTACTTGGTCGACCAGTACGGCGCAATGATCTGCAAGACGCGCGATTGGTGAAACTTGCGCTGCATCCACTCGGGCATCGACGCCGACATGGCGTACACGGGCGGCGGCGACGACTCGACTTGGGTCGTCGTCGCTGGCGTCGCGGCCGTCGACAAGGGCGTCGCCTCAACGCGCATTGCCGCCAAAAACTTGAGCAGCTCTTGGATCGAGAGCGCAATCAGATCTGTGTTTTGCGGCGCCGCGCGAAGCTCGTTGACCAAAAGCGTCTCGATCAAATGGCACGTGAGCTCTTTTGCGCCGTACTCGACGGTGGCCGTGCGCGAGAGCTGCATCGGAAGCCGCGCCATGTCGATGGCCCCGAGCGCGCCGAGCGACTGCGCGAGGAGCGTCTTGATATCCTCGCTCGTCTCGGTTCGGCTCAGCGACAAGAGCGCCTTGAGGATCTGGAATACCGCGACGTGGATCGTGCCTTCGGCCAGCAAAATCAAGTCCTGGAGCTCACGACTGCGCGTGCACAGGAGCCGCGAGAGGTGGAGCAACCCGACCTCGCGCACGGCGCCATCCCAGTGCTCGAGAAGGGCGAGCACGTGCGTGAGAACACCGTCGAGCGGGTGGTGGTCCACCGAGAACGACTCGACCGCGTCCACCGAGAAGGACGGCACGAGCGCCAAGAGCAGCGCGACTTCGCCCCAGCTCGGCTTGATGGGCTGCTCGACGCACAAGAACGAGAGGATCTGCAGCGCCATGTCTTGGACACAGGCATCCGCTTCTGGCGGCGGGGCCGGACGCGCCGCCGACCACCCAGATCGACCGGCGACATGCGCGTCAAAGAGCGCGTGGGTGCTCCCAATGCACGGCAGCAAGCTCGCGACGATCGAGAGGAGGTTGGTTTCGATCGCCGACGTCGAGAGAAGACGCACAAACGTCAGCCACGCGCGGCAGGCAGCCAGTTTCACGTGAACGTCGACGTCGTCCTGCAGCGCCAGCTTGAGCGTGGCCATGACTTTAGGGACGAACGGGTCGAGCATGCCTTTGGCGTCAAACATGGCGAGGAGCACCTCGAGGCACTTGATCGCACGCACGCGGCTCGGCTTGTGCGCGAGCTTGTGACCGAGGTGCGTCATGAGCGCCAGGAAATACTGCTGCGGCAAATGAAACTTGCTCGCTGCGCCGTCGTCCATCATGTCTTCGTGGAGGAGCTTGGACACTTGGTCAAAGGCGTTCCGCGCCACTTTGGTGCGGTCGCCGGCAAACTCCCACACGAGCTCATACAGTAAGCGCAGCGGGTTGTACTTAAGCACATCGCGGATGCTCAGCTCCGGCCGCAGCAAGCCAAAAAAGAACTGCCACTCGCGAATGTTGCTCAGTGACGTCGTGCGCGTCATGACCATCTCCTTGACGATCGGCACAATGTAGTCGCTCAAGAGCGCCGCGATCGGCTGCTTGAAGCCGGATGCAAACGCGTCGAGGAGGTCGCGCTGCTGACTCAGAATGAGTTGCGGCAGCACGTACGGCGCGCTCTCCTTGAGGTAGATGCCGACGCTGACTTGCTCGCCGAGAAACGTATGCAGAAACGTCTCGAGCATCGACGTCGGCAAGAGGAGCTCGATGAGCGCCACGTGGATGCGCTCGGGGAACTGAACGCAGAGCTGCTTCCACGACAGCCCATGCGACGCGACCATACGGTTGAGCTGCGCCGTCGACGCCACCGCGACCGCAGCGTCGCGCGGGTACGCAAGCCACGCCCCCGCAAGGCGGAAGAGGACGTAAAAGAACACGTCCAAGTCCAGCGGTTGCGAGAGCACGCAAGCGGTCGCCAGCGTCCCCATACCTTCCACCGTCGAGACGAGGATCCCGACGTCGCCTTGCTCGAGAAGCCGGTCCAAAATGCTCGACGTCTTGTTGCTGGCGTCGCCGAGGTCGTCGGACGACGACTCGTCCGAGAACGCGAGCGCGAGCGCCGTCGCCCCGGTGCTGTCGGGCAGCAAGAGCACGTTCGTGTTGGCGGCGACCACCGACCGCACGTCCCGAGCGTCGTGGCCCAAGAGATGCAGGAGGCGCCACACCCACTCGGTGTGCAGGTCCGCGACGGGCACATGCCGGAAGAACGCGATCCACGTCGAGACCGCCGCCACGACAAGGTCGCTCGACGGTGCCGTCAGCAGCGGCTCCATCGCATTCCAGACGGACACCAGATATGGCAGCGGCTGCCGCACGAGCGGCGTGCAGGCGCAGCGAAAGCCAAGTGTCTCGGTAACGCGTACCGGCGACTCGGGCGACGCAAGCCACATTGGGAGACAGCAGAGTCGGCCGAGCGCGCAGAGCGCCGAGAGAGCCGTTGTTGCGTGTCGACAGAGAGGCATGAGCGCCTCCATGACGACCGGGGCAGTTGCAACAAACGGGGCGACCCCTCGCCGGCCCATGGCATAGACGAGCAGCGGCGATAGATCAATCGCGAGTGCTCGGTAGGGTCCGTCGGACGCCATCGCGCTGAGAACGCTCGTCGCTGCGACTGTCGAGGACCACGACGGCACATCGAGTGACGCGCCGTCGACGCCGTACGACCAGCAGAGCAGAACAAGGCACTGCGCCATGGGTGCGCTGTCCAGTAGCGCTTGCACCACGCTGTCTTTGGTCGGCACGCTCCCGCGCCAAAGACTGAGAAGGTCCGGAACGCTGCACACCAAGTGCGGCTTGTCGCTAGGCGGTGGCGACTTGGTCGTCTGCGCGTGCAGGAACGGCGCGATATGCATCTTCTTGATCTCGTCCGGCGGCAGGTAACTGTAGAGGAGCACGACAAGCTCGAGGCTCGGTGCACGCTCCATAACGGCGCGTAGTCGGTCCGCAATCAGCCGCGCGACGCTGCCTTCTTCCTTGGTCATGTTCTCTACCGAGCGCAACGAGAGAAGAACGTGCGCGCCAACTGCCGCGACGTCGTCTTCGAAGAAGAGCGCCATGACGAGGTGAACGCACGCAATCGATAGCACCGGCTGACGGCTCCGGACGCGGCTCACGAGGTCGAGCGCGTTCGTCGGCGGTAGCGCAAAGTGGTCGCTGAGCTTGCGTCGCTTGGTCGGCAGCACAGGGCTCGACGGGTGGTACTGATGGATCGCCTTCTCGCCTTCCTTCCAAAGGAGCCCGACGTGCTCCTGCAGCACGACCCGCAGACTCGAGACAAGCTCGTGGCGCACGCTGCGATCGCCGAGGTCCGACGCGCCAATGACGTCGAGAAGCCGGGCGAGGACTCGGTCTTGGTCGAACGGCAAGAAGGCGCGGAGCAGCCCAAAGCACGAGAGAAGCATTGGACGCGCGTGGGCGTCGAGCGCGCCTTTGATGAACGCATCGAGCGGCGTCCAGAGCAGCGGCGCCACGATCGCAGAGGCATTCGCGCTGATCGCTGAGAGGACATCGTGGCAGGGCACTGTCGTCGTGGTCGCCAAGAGTGCCGGTAAGTATGCGCCGACAAGCGACACGACCATGTACGGCGGCAGTGGCGAGCTCGTGAGCAAGGCATGGACAAGGCCTGAGAGCGAGACAGTGAGCGGGCCAACTTGCAGTGATGTCACAACGACGTCGACGAGATGCGAAAAGCTTGCGTGGTTGACGATATGCGACGGCGAGTGCTGGAGCATGCGGCAGGCCATGGCGAGGACTCGCGACTGGAAAGCATGGACGCCTTGGACACATGTAAAGCGAAGCGGTGGCACGGCGAGTTTCCCGACCTCCAAGAGTGTTGCCGCGTCGCCATTTGGAAGGCAGCACAACTTCGTGTCGCCGACCATCGTATCGGCGTCCTTGCGCATATGGACGCCCGTGATCGTATAGCAGAAGACATCCGCAGGACACTGCAGTGAGAGCGTCTCGCTCGACGACCGAAGATGCGATGTGAGCTGGAGGAGGTCGTCGGCCAAATTGACGGTATCTTGGAAGAGGTGCATGAAGACGGTCACGTCGCTTTGCTGCATGAGGAACGCGAGCTCGACGCAGACGTCGAGGACCTTGTCGTGGATATCGGCGTACTCGGCGTTGGAGAGGAACTTGACGAGGTAGAAGAGGATCGTCGCTGGCGCTTGGAAGGCGACCGAGTAGTACGGGCAGATCTCGTTCTTGAGCAGAAGCAGCAGCAGCTTACAGAGCGGATGGAGGTTCTTGATCGCTTGGCCCGTCGGCAGCCCCGTGATTGAGCGCATGATCTTGGGCAGAAGCTTCCGCGTCTTCGTCTGGATGGCAAAGCATAGCGCTCCGTCCCCACGCTCCGCGCCAACGGCCACATGGCTCGTCGGCGCCATGAGGTGCGGGTGGCAGCTGTCTCGGTGCGCGAGCATGAGCCGCAGGACCTCGTCGAGGTGCTCCATCAGCCCGAGGTGGATCCACTGCTCCAAGCCGGATAAACAATGGGCTTTCCGGCACCAGTTTCCGAAAGCGCAGAAGGAGCACCCGGTGCTCCTTTGCCTTTGATGACTTGTGGACGCCCGCGCTCTCGTCCTTGGGCGCGCGTCCTGCACCAAGCGTACTCTACGCAAAGTTTTTGCAGAACCGTCGGGGCAGAGGCCGCATACAAGAGGCAATGAACATGAGCTATAGGTGCGCTTTTGCCGTTCTCTCGTTTTCGCGCCTCTGGTGGTTCTCGTTTTAGGTGCGCTTTTCCCACGAAACCAGTCCCAAACGTTCCCTCCAAAACCGGCGATGGACAAGCGGAGGTTGCCCGCCGGTGCGGCTGCGGCCAAGAAGAAGCCCAAGCCATCGCGCGAGGCTGCGCGGCCGATCACGGCCTTCTTCCAGCGCGTTGCACCTCCGCTGGTAGCTTAGCGCGCTCTGGGCCTACACCATGACGTCCTTCCGTAGCCACCGCCCACGGTGATCGAAGACATTGATAGCGATTCGTCCATGGAGCTGACGCCAACCGAGCCTGTACCCGGCGTGCTCCCGCTCCTAGAAGTAGGCACGCTGCCTCTCCAAGAAGTAGGTGCTGTGGAAGGGACGGACGAAGTGCATCCACGATTGATCCAGAGCAGGCTTGCCGACGGATTTGAGAAGCAAGCAGAAGGGCCTCGCAAGCCCCGGGTCCGGCGGCCACCAAGCGCCTTCCAAATGCTTGTACAGCGCGAGCGCCAAGGTGCCATGAAGCGCGTGGAGCTGCAGCGCTTGCTTCGGAGCACGCTGGCGACGTACGCGACTCTGCCGATGGGGCTGCGGCCCGACATCCGCCCGCAGCAGTGGATCAGCACCATGGCCTTTGACGCCGACGGCGTCATCCTCGCCACCGGGTCGTCCGACGGCACGATTGCACTCTACGACTTTGACGAATACTTTTACCATTTGCTGCAGCACCGCAACGCGAGCGCCAAGACGCAGCGCGACGTCGCGTCCGTCACGGTGCGACATCTGACTACGTCATTCTCTGGCCTCTAGATCTCACACGTCTTGTAGGACGGTGCGCCAGCGTACGTACCACCCGTCCACGTCATCTCTACGTCGTTTGAGCTCAAGCGTCTCCGATGGAACCCGAAAAACCAGGTGGGTCCATCCGCAGTACCTTCCTTTGTTTAAGGCGCCGCTTAGGACGAGATTGCTTGCTCGTTTGCCTCGCGCAACGAGATTCATCTCTTCAACCTCAAGAAGCTGCCGCGACAGCCATACCGCATTCTGCGCACCAACAGCCGTCCGTCGTCGGGCTACTACGACCTCCTCTACACCGTCCTCGGTACACCTCATGCTCCCACGAGCGCTCGCCCCAAATGGCATCTTAGGCAATCAGGTCCATGTCATTGGTGGTGACAACGAAGGCGCGGTGCGCATGTGGGACATCAACATCCCGGCCAAACCCAAGTGGCAGATCGCGCTGCCGCGCGAGTACGGCGCCGTCAACGCGCTTGTGCTCTGCGAAGACAATCAGCACTTGGTCGTGGGCACCGAGCACGGCTACCTCACCGTACGTTCTTTCCCTTTGACTCGAGTCGCATGCGACGCCATGGACAGGTCTATGACATCTTCAACTTGATCACGCCCGCGTTTGCGCAGCGGTCGGTGCCCAAGCGGCGGTCGGTCATCGCGCTGCATGTTCTCGTGCGAGGTAGACCGCTTGTATCGTGAACATGGCGTCGAGAGCATGCCCGTAGCGCTGCTCGTGCAAGACTCGCTCCTGTCGGCGAACGCGCTGGGTGTGGTTTCGATGCAGCGCGTGCCCCACACGTCGGCGACGGTCGTTTGTCAGCTGCACAACGACTGGGTTGTTGTCCTCGACGCACTCGAGGGCCGGATTCTCAAGCTACATACTGTCCTCCGCGGTATTGTTTGTCCTTGGTTGCGTCACTGGAGCATTCGCCACTGTTCCGTTGTAGAGCTAAGTTTGAACCCGATCCCGCGCGACCCCACCGTGCAGCACGGTACGTTATGATGTCGCCAACGGTAGAATTGATATATTGATATATGCAAGTAGCGTCGTTTTCATCGGACGCGCTTTTGACGGCCGAGAATCGATCCCTGGGCCACTTGCGCTTGCACCGGTGCAGCGGCAGCTTTGTCTTTGACGGTGCGGCGTTCGTGACAGGCCTCGCGGACGACGACAACCTCTACGTTCTCGGTACTTCATGCCTTTTGAACCGAGGAAAAGACAGTGCTTTGCGGAGCATAGACATGCACACGCACAGCTATGGCGAGCGGCTCCTGACACTGCCCAGTGTCCCCACCCTGCAGCGCTTCCGGATCCCGACCAAGGTCGTCGTGACTGCCGTGGCCGCGCACCCGGCCTCGAACGTCGTCGTCTGCGGCATGGAATCCAATGACCTCATCGTTGTCGGGGCGTCGTAACTCTCTTCTGAAGTGTTTGACTCGTGTGAATGGTTTGCCCACCTCTGCGTCCGTTGAAGCGATACGTGGGATGAACAAGGAACCCACAGAACCAAAGGCGGATGTAGACACGCAAGCATGTATCCCTTGGCATCATGCAGTAGTAGCCTCTCATCCTTGCCAATGGAGCAGCTCGGCTGGGCGCTAGCAGAGAAAGCAAATCGAGCGAGGTGGATGGCTGTCGGTGCCGGCTGTGGACGCAGCAGTATAGATCACGCACCACGGTGGCTACTCGGTCGAACGCTGTGACAGCCAGAAGGGCTCCGTGGCTTCCTCGGGCCATCGCCAAAGCCACGCGACCGTCGACGCGTCTGGCTCACGGTCCGTACGCACGACGCGGCGGTGGGTAAACTCATCCAAGTCGTGGGTGCGGCCTCCTCAGCCACGCTGGCAGCACGCCACAAGTACTGCAGGCCAGTCGACCTTATACTGCGCCAGTGCGATCATTGCGCAATCGACGGCCGCGTCCGATTCTGACGCAGCGTCCGTGTAGAGGGCGTTGCGGTCTCGGTCGACCCAATCACACGGCGTATCCCTCACGTTGACGCCACCGGGTTGCGCTTTTGGCCAATCAAATGCGCTGTAGGCGTCGATGCGGCCGCGTGATTGGCCACACCCTTTCGTCAGCCAAGATGGCCATCGACAACTTCAACAAATGCATCCGGATGCGTCCGGATACGATGGACCCCAGGATTTCGCCTCATTTTGCAATTCGACATGAGCCCACCGAGCTCCTCCAAGAACGTCGGCGTCCGCGACCTCGTGAACGGCGGCGTCCTCCAGTGCGTCGAGGCCGCGACCCTTGGCATGCCCTTTGAGGTACGCCGCAGCTCCATGCGATGGACGAGGGGCTAAGCATGGACATGGGTAGGTCTGGAAGACGCGCATGGGCCGCTACCGCACGGAGACGACGGTCCAAGCCTTCCGCAACATTTACCAGGCCGGCGGCGCCAAGGCCTTCTGGGCGGGCACGGGCGCCAAGATGGTCGAGTCGGGCTCCAAAGGCGCAATCCTCCTCTTCTCGAAGGAGATGATTGCCAGCTCGCTCCATACCGCCGGCGTCGGCGAGACCGCGATCGGCTTCATTTCCGGCGCTGGTGGTGGCATCTGTCAGACCGTCGTCATGGGCCCATGCACGTTCCTCGTCACGGCCGCCGTCAACGGCGACAAGAGCATCTCGACGACCCAGCGCATCCAAAACGTCTACGCGCAGAACGGCCTCAAGGTACGCTTCGCCATCGAAGCGACTCGTTTCCTGACGACTGACTACTAGGGCTTTTACCCCGGTGGTACTGCGATTGCGTTTCGCCAAGCGACCAACTGGGCGTCGCGCCAGGGCTTCACCGAGATCATCCGCAACCGCTTCAAGGTCATCTTCCACGACGACCCGAACGCCAAGCTCACGGTGGCCCAAGAAGCCGGCGCTGGTGTGCTCGGTGGTGCGCTCTCGTGCTGGAACCACCCGTTTGAAGTCGCTCGCATCCAAATGCAGACAGCGGCCGAGCGCGGCGAGCCCAAGCAAAACATGGTCCAGGTCTTCCGTGCCGTCATCAAGGAGAACGGCGTCGGCGGTCTCTTCAAGGGCATCATCCCCCGCGTCGGTCTCGGCATCTGGCAGACGCTCTTCATGGTCACGGGCGCCAAGCTCGTGAAACAAGCGCTCGAGAATGACAAGCATTGATAGAGTCCTCGTTGTTATACAAGCGTCGTCTTATGATCTGTAACCAGTTCTGCATTCGTTATATCCTTCAGAACACCGTCGAGCGCGGTGGTCTGTTGCGCAGTAGGCTGGCTACCTTCCAGTGACATTTGCTCACGAAGCGATGAAGCGCAACTACTGACAGCAGCCGCGCGAGATGAGTTCGATCGTGCGGGGCGACGCGCCCTTGACGACAAGGCCGTTCGAGAGGTTCACCACGGGGCACGAGTGGTTGACGAGGATGACGATGCGGTCGCCAATCTGCGGCGAGGCGGCCTTGCCGCGAGGACCGTGGGCGACCCAGCCGTGCTCCTCCGAGAGCTTTTGCAGCTCAAAGCACATGGCCGGCGACCCATTGGGCAAGGTAAAGTCGTGGGACGTGGGCTCGTCGACCACCGCGTCAAAGTCGGCTTCGCGAAAGACGAGCCCAAAGCACTTGCTGCCAAAGGCGCCGGACCCGCGCACGCTAAGTACAAGGCATGACTACGAGCCAATGCGCGTCCGACGACGTACCCGTCGGCCGAGAGGAACTTGGAGCCGGCGTCAATGATAAAGTAGTGAGCATTGGCGCTCACGACCGTCGCGAGAACTGTGAGCGAGACGTTCTGGACGGTCGAGACGCCGGTTCGCACGGGCGTTCGGTCTTGGAAAATGTAGTTGCCAGGGCGAAGCTGTGCGGGATATTGATTGCATCGGTTGGATTGCTTGTAGTATGCATACCTCGGTGATTCCGTCGTAGTTGCGCCGAACAAGCTCGGTCGGCGTGCTTCCCACCGACACGACCGTCACAGGCGACCCGAGCTAAGATGACACCGATTGATGTGGGGATAGAAGATAGGTACATGCAAGCCTACCGCTTCAATCGTGGCCTTGACGCGGAGCATGATGTGGCGCTCCGTCTCGGCGATGGCGACGCACTCGTCTGCTGACGTGGCGCCGTACGAATGGCCTGCAGTTCGTTCCGTGAGCTCTGTGTATTACCGTTGCATTTCCAGG